CCTAAAATTAACGAGAGGGAACTCTGGCACTGCAATAGTTAAGCGACCATGAGAATTATGCATATGCCATGGATTTTCCTAGTCTTCGTGCTTGCGGGCAGCGAATTGCATTTGTGGCTTCGTTGATTGCTGTGTTTTCGTTTTGTTTCAAAAGAAAGAACAAACCGTTTTGAACTTCATGAGCCGATTTCAAATGGTGATCCTAAAAAGTTGAGGGTGATGAAGTGTAACTGCCGAATATTTGCCAATTGTCGTTTCGTGCCAAAGCAACTTGAGCCACATGAAGTCAAACAGAACGCGAAGCATGGAGACTAGGCAAATAAATGTACTACCTATATTTCCCATGCTCGCTGAAATGCCATGTGTTGCAGCTCCCATAGACACTAGCACCACAGTTCCCTCTAATTTATATTTAGAAAACTATGGCATCCACAAAGCTTGTGTTCTAACAGTGTCTTTTGAAAGGACAAGTAGCCTTCACTCTTATACTTTGGGTCTGCTTTTTGCAAGGGCTTCAGAAATCATTTTGTCTTATGGAGAGTGCGCTATGTTTAACTACCAAGCAAAAAAAAAAAGAAAAAGACGTTTGATAGGTAAATCTTCAAGGGGTGCACGTGTAAATAGTGTCTCTGTTATCCTGAACACAAGGGAATTAAGAACCTCCCTGACACCTTCCATGAGCTGCACGATTGGTGAGCGTATATGATTATCTACTGCAAAAAATTTCTATGGGAAGGAATTTCACCCAGTCGTCCCCGTTTCAGCTATGCCTATGCGTGCCACGCTTCGACATTCCGATGTGTAGAGGCGCGGCTGCTTGCCTAATATTAAAAAATATACATATCCAAGAAGTTCGCAACAATGAGGTTTTTGTGAGAAAGCCATCAGGTCTGCTACAAACTTTGCGTTCCCCATGATACATCAAAACACATTTGAAGTGCTTGTGAACTACTGAGGGATTTCCTTGGGTCACAGTGATTACACTCTGAATAATCACTAAAGAGGAACAGTAAATCAGTCTAGACTGGTAAAAAACTGAATTTCGCAGATCATTGTAGGGGCCACTGAAATGCTTGATGAAAGTTGTCACAAATTTATAAATGAAAGATGCATGCTGTAAACATGCTGCAAACCTACTGGCACTTCGTAAGCTTGTGTTACAGTTCTTTATCACTTGCACTTTTTAGATTTCTTCGGTTATATGTGTCAGAGTCCCTTTTGCGAATTCCTGTTGTAGTTTCGAAATTTATTGAAAAAAGAAGTCGCAGCTTTGCAGCAAAGGCGATGCAATGAACGCAATAGCAACAAATTGGAAAGTCACGCGAAGAATGGCAAGCAGATTGAAACGTGCCCCGCCTTTCTCACGCGAAAATGATGCATGAAACATACTCATGCCCCTGTCACATGTAGCAACTTAAGTGCACTTCGAGTGAGTACACTTAGCTGCGAGTGTCATTTGCACGCTGTCACACGAGCAAGTCTAGTGTCACTCGCTGCAAAATACACTTGCTGGCAAGTGTGTTCCCCAACCCTATTTCACTGCGACGGCTGCGATGAAGTGTGTAGCCTTAGTACCAGTGGCTTGTACGGAATGACGCAGTTGCCCAAAGCGGCGCTCGTAATATATTTAAGCCATTGTTTTTGTTATGATGGATATTGTTATGTATAAAACAAGTCACAAAGTACAACATTAACCTCGCTACTTTCACCGTCGGGCTGTTTGTGGCCACGTCCGCTTGGAGGATGCGGCAGCGCATGCACAGCAATGGCTGCATTCGTCGCGTTGTTTACTTCCAGGTACACTTGCACATGTGTAGGTGAATCGTTCTCTAGTCATTTAAGATGGAATTTGCCACAGCTGCTACTTCCACGAAGACAACGAGGTCCAAAGATGAGACACAGGCTCAAAAATAACTAATATACATGGTGCTGCAAATCCGTCAATCGCCACTGCCATCATTTCCAAAGTACGCTTCGCTTTCTCGTGTAGCAGCGAACCGCCAAAATGACACTTCGTGAGCGTAAGTACACTCGCTCTAAGTGCACTTAAGTTGCCACGTGTGACTATCACATGTGGCACAAGTACGTCACAAGTACAGATGAACGCGAATAAGCGTCTCAGTTACTTCGCTGTGTCTGAAAAGCGCGTCATTTTCGCAAACGGAGACTGTCCAATGATTGCCGTGAACGTTGTTCGCCTGGTAACTACAACAGAATCGTTCCGGTGAAAGCCCAAGGTGTACGATTGTCCACACTGCGAGATAAGCAAGCCTATGTATGATGTCCCCTCTCCGCATGAGAGATGAGAGCGCGCACCGCCGCGTTGTTACGGCACTCATTGCTCCATCTCGCTGGTAATGCTGAAAGTACGATAGTTCCCCTGCCAGCGGTAAGTGGTAGATATAAATAGCCTGCAGTTTGAACGTTGAAGGAGGTGCTCCTTTGTGACTTTAATACTTCTTTCAGTCTGTCTGTTCATTCGTGGAATTACAAAAATTTCAACAAGATGTGCTTGAGTGGTTTTATCAAGTAGAAAGTCTTCTAATAATTAAGGAATTTTAAAAAGCCTGTGAACTTTGATGGTTTTACCTATTCTCTTTTGCTCATGTTTGTTTTTTGTTTGATGTATATTTGTCTGTGAATGCTGTATGTACACAGGCAATAAAGAAAGAAAAAAGCTCCTTTGTGGCTTAGTGGCTCACACCTCACACTCACAATTCAGCGGTTGGACGTTCGATTCCATGGGGTGGAGTCTTTTTCTGGGTTATTTTTCTTTCTTGCGTTTTCATATATATAGGTAGGTATGCACATACGGTGAATGACAAAGACGCTGACGGCAAAATTCCGCCGAGTGTGTCCATATAATTGCTATCGCAATAATGAAATTTGTTATATCTGCTTTAAATCGAGTTCGCACACTTGAAACCATGATGGTACTGATGTTCGTCTTGCTGAGTTGATAGCTTTGAACTTAATTCTCCACTTCTGCTTATTTGCAGGTTCTACCAATTTTCATACTCAAAACTATTTAGCTTCTTTTGACATGTGGGTATGTGTATAGTTACATGTAGTAAAAATGTCAAAATCATTGCAAAATCAAATTCGGATTCTTCAAGGATAACATTAACATTGGCCATAGTGCATGGATAAAGAAAGGTGTGGTCTTATATTACTCATGGAGGTAGTTCATATCTATTAAAAGGGGCACTGACACAAAATTTTGCATCCGTGATAGCCTGTGACATCGATTCCCGTGTGCATGCATATACCATCTGCAAAATATCAACAGCGAATATAGATTGGAATGTATTTCAAAATAATTTTGAAGTTCAAACTTTGAAGCTGTTGACACCATCAGAAGGGACCTGATGGGGACCCCCTTACTTTTCTCAGGTCACCGCACTGCAGTCACTAAAACAGTTTATTATGACGTCATAGCCGCCATTTTTCTTTTGTTGCATTCGTTACAGTAGTCTATACTTCTCGGCGGCTGCTTGCGAGTCTGTGGCTGCGGCGCATGCGCTTTATGTTCTGTTTTTATTGAGACTGCTATTAAGTTTCTTGTTCGAAGGGACTTCTTGATGTGGGCGGTGCAGAAGTGCGTCACAGTTGTGTGCTTTTTGAAAAGAAACTCTTAACTCTAGTGACTCGCTGGAAATATTAATGAGAACTTACTGATAAAGAAAACGAGCCCTTCAATTTACACTTCTGTCCTTTATTGTTGGAAATGTATTGTTTGACTAGGCTTTCTGTAATTTGCTAAAAAATTCACGTATATAAGGTTTTTTTCTTTTTGCATGTAGTACTAGGTCTACAGCATTGAAAAAGTAAAGAAATATTACGATTCCTCCAGCTGCATATTTTGGGGGGTTCTTAAATATACTAAGTATAGGTCATGTGTACCCTGTGCTCAGTTGCTAAGTGAGAACCTTCAAATTCAATACAAAGTTCACCCGCAAAACGGCATTGCACCACTCTGAAGCATAGTCAGCAAAAAGGTGACAGAATTAGCAGTAATTTGTCTCTGCCGTGACATCACAAAAATTGGGTAATGTAATTGGTTAGCATGTTGCAGTAGCATACCCAGATATTTCTTTTAGGCAAGCAGGTTCAACCATATGCTTTGTGTTTGTCCATGGGTTTGTGTGCATATACATGGTCATGCAAAATTTAAAAAATTGGGAGGGGGTCACTCTACCATGTCAATCTCTCGTGTGCACAGACTACTCTGAGGAAGTGTGGAGCTTAGCAAATGCCGATAAGATACTTTATTTTGATATTTAAGTCAATTTTTTCTAGACCCACCTGCGGACGTAGACACTAGCTTGACCATAGGCTACAGTACTAGTACTGGTGACTTCACGCAGCAGTATGACTAGTTTGGATGACGTCAGGTACCGAATCTTTTACAACTGGCGCTTTTACGTTATCAAAACATTCAAGATTGCCGCTTGTATGGTGGCAACAGAGCCCCAATAAAGAGCGGTCGTGGTAACGTCTTGGTATTTTGAGCCTAGCATGTGACGAGAAGCTGATATCGTACGTATTGTGGTGGAAGACTACAGTAGGAACCGAAACTAGCTCATAAAAACATACTGTAATTAATTTTTTAGGGTAGACTCGCCGTTAGCAGTGTATTTTTTAGGCTCTTGAGGGTTTGGCCTTTCACTCTACGAAAAAAAAAAGTTGTGTCGGTATTTTTTTAGAGCCCTTATTTTAAACCTTCTGCTGAGGTATCTATATTGAATTCAGGGTGGGAAATTCTCAGGTGGGTAGCTAAATGTGATATGAATGGATGTGTTTCATTAAAATCTCCTTAGAAGTAAGATGGGAGACAGATTGCTATAAAACTTGATACCTATGGTTGTTTTGTAATGTCATGTCTTCGTCACATGGTGCAGTACACAGTGTTGTTGCAAAGCTAATATGTTGCAAAGGTAATAATACCCTGTCGTTATTGTCTGACCGTGCATTGACCTTGTTTGGGTTCTGTGCTGCAGGCGGAGGCCCGACTAGCACAGCGCAGGCAGGCCCGAGCCGAGGCCAGGGCAATACGACTCCGGGAGCTCGAAAAGCAGGCCCGTGAAGTATGCACCGCTATCACGTGTTTGCTTGCTTGCTTTCACTGCTCTCTGGTAACCTTCAGCATGCCTATACCCTTTTCCTGTTCCAGAATGACGAGCAATTGGACAGGCATTGTGACAGTGGCCCAGAGCCTGTGCGACCAATGCGCATCTCGAGAGAGGTGAGCCGCACCAGCCATATTCGGTGGATGTGGGGCACTGGTCATACTGGTTCAAGATAATTCACTCATAGGATTTTGTTTTGGTGGTCATTTTTTCTCACCAAAGCTTTTACGTAATTGTTTTACTGCTAATGTTTTCATCATTTATCTTTGTATATTTTAAACATGGCTGGTTTAGGCCAGTTTGCGATGTTTATTTTATGCATCGAAGTGAAAGCTTGACTATGTCAGTTATAAAGAGTGTGCTTACCGTTCAACACCCTAAACGTGTGCATCCCTGGTTGCCTTTATTAATCTAAACTTACCTTGTTTGAGCTCATAACTTGAATGCTGCTTGTGAATTCTTGCGTAGAGTGACAAGTGTGTGTTTTAATTGGAGGAAGCTCGCATTTCAGCCTAGCGTCGTGTGGAATGCCCTTTGTGTCTGGTACTCTACATTCAGCAGATACGGAGGGGAGGCCCTTTATCGTGTTATCAGTGCTATCGGGAATTCGTAACCCGTGCAAGACGCTCTCGCAGCGTCAGCTTGTCCTTGAGTCATATTCATTGCAGTCTGTGGCAGGATGGGGCCGTCATATGTGTGTTCATCTCAATGCTTGTGCTAGTATGTTATCAAATTATGCTGTCTGTCTATTGAGCTTTCTGTTCTGCTGTTTTGTGGTTTATATTAGTTTGTGAGTGTACGTTTTCTTCTGTCATCGACACTATCTCTACCGATGAGCCATTTCATACATTTGGTTAAGCAATATAAACGGGTAGTTTATATGAATGCTTGAGCCGCCTATTGTATCCGAGTCAACATTGTTGTCACGAAATCACATTTTCATGTGGTGCAAGCTAGCTTGCTTAATAAACAAGCAGTTTGCTTGCTATTTGTTGCTTTCCTCCTCTGCCTTGACTATTCATGGATAACATCATAGTGACACACCTCCTGTGCGCAGGGTCGCCCTTTCACATCAAGCTCCTCCTACTCCGGGTCCCGAAGAAGCAGCGAGGACTCGACTGATGGCCTCGATGGCCGCGACATCAGGGTATGTATTTGGCCACTTGTGGCAGTCTCTTTCCTCGGCATGTTACTTTGGGAGTGTACAGTATAAAACTGGATGTGTAACATTGATGTCCTTTTGAAGCCTTTTACTCTAGGAACAAATTAAGATGGAATAAATGGACATATAGCGGTGTACACGAATTCTGTTGGGAACTAGGTTTCACACTGGTAGTTCAGACAAGTGAGAGTGCCTAACCTACATTTTATAGTTACACTTTTCCTGCCTTCTAGTTCTTTTGTATAAAAGTAAATGCTAAGGTTACATTAAACTTCCTTTTTTCTGTCTTTTGTTGCAACTATTTCATCATGAAAACAAAGCCTTGTTGTTCTTGTTGTAATATCAAACTGCCAGCAGATGCTAGTTAGTTTAGACATCTACTGGACATGTTTAGAAGGTTGATGTAAATAACACAGGCAGCTTCAAAACTTGCCAACATAAAACTAGGGTTACTGGAAGACATTGCTAAGCTGAATGCGTTATCTTGCAAAAAGTAATCCATTTTTCTTATTTTAAATATACGTGTTACGTGTGTGCATGTTTTTGAGGAAGTAGGAGTGATCATTGTTTCGGGATGACGTTTACTTATGTAATGTGCTATTTGTCACTGTAACAAAATAGATGTGAATCCCTTTGTCAAAATTAAACTTGTATTGGCAGCTATTTTGTAACAGCAAGAAATTATTTACAGTTTCTTCCCCTGAGCAGTCTCCAATTCTATCAGTTTAAAATGCTGTTCTCTTTCACAGCATCAGCTACAAGATGTTGAGGAGAGCTTCCGCAAGGCCATGATCAGCAATGCACAGCTTGACAATGAGCGCACCGCGCTGGCCTACCATGTGGACACACTCAAGGATGACATGGAAGAGCTCACCGAAAAGTTCCTGCACGTGCAAAAGGATCACAGGGAAAAATCGCGGGTAAGTGCTAAAGGGTTCGTCTGCCTTAAGATATATTAGAAAACGCTCTGCTTTGCGGGGCTAGGAAATAAAATTTAGCTTTTCTGGCGATCATGGCATTAATTGATAATTCATAGGGCTGCAGATGTATTTAAGGCTGGAATATTTGTAAATGAAAATTTGTATGGGTAGCAACGCATGGCAGAACAGCTGGTGATGACAACAAAGTGCAGACGGATATACCTTTATGCACGCTTGGTATCCCTGCATTGCCCCGCAGGGGCGCCTGCGCAAGTAGGCGTTTGGTGTGTAGCGACACCACGGACCCGAGCTAACGGGGGAGTTTTGACTCCCTCCCACGCCTAGCCGTGCGTGGCTTTGCCGTGTCCGGGGAAAAGGTGATCCTGGGGGTTGAGCCGACGCTGGGTGATTGGACCTTTAAGGCCCCCCGGCAGAGGCAACACACCCCTTTGGCCCCGGCTTCACGTAGACGGCACCCCTGGGCTGACCCACCCAGGGGAAATCGGCAGTCGCCTTTTCCTATCTCTCTCTCTCTACATCTTCGTCTTTCTTACTTTTTTAGCTTTCCTGTCTACTTCTCTCTTCTGCTTACTTCCAATTTTCTCGGCGGCAAGGGTTAACCCTGTGCAAATAGCCTACCTTGGCCTAGGCGCATTGGGTTATAGCAGGGTTGTACGGCTGACGTCTGCAAGCTTTCAGCATCCGCAAACTTGCAGCGTCCCCTCGTTGGGCTCCGTGGTGGGTGGCCGCCAACGCTGCTGAACAACATACAATTAGCATGCAGAAAGCATTCCCTTTACTCAGTGATCGTGCCTCCTCAAAGCGGGTACGCACCGAAGATATCAATTTTTTCATCCGGCCAAGACAAATGTTTCCTCATTTCCACGTTATACACTGCGAACAAACTAACAAACAAGCCAGAACTGTATCCCCCTTCGTAGTGGCTAGATGCTTAACCCAAACTCTCGGTGCCGGGTACAAGGTTACCAAAATGGCCAGCGGAGATCTACTCCTTGAAATACGTGACAAAGACCAATTCGATAAACTGAACACCCTAACAACGTTTGCAGACACACCCATCAGTATTACGCCACACAGGTCCATGAACTCATCTCGCGGGGTCGTATCGGACGCAGATTTGCTTGACCTGACCGAAGCTGAACTTCTGGAAGGATGGAAGAGCCAGAACGTGACAAATGTACAGCGTATTAAGATAAGAAGAGATCAAAAAGAAATACCAACCAAACATTTAGTACTGACCTTTGCTTCGAGCGATTTGCCAGAAACCATTCAGACTGGATATACAAAGACATCCGTGAGGCCCTATATTCCCAACCCCCGCCGTTGCTTCCATTGTCAGAGATATGGCCACGGCTCGCAAAGCTGTCGTGGCCGGAAAACTTGTGCCCTGTGTGGAGTCGTGGGCCATGCCTCCGACAACTGCGAAGCACCTGCACACTGTGTGAACTGTGGTGGTAATCATGCCGCGTACTCGCGTTCCTGTTCTTTCTGGAAAAAAGAAAAAGAGATCATCACTTTAAAGATAAAAGAAAACATTACATTTAAAGAAGCAAGAAAAAGAGTCTCGCCATTTTATGGCCCCACATATGCTGATGCGGCGCGCCAGGGGGCAGTGTCGCACCAGCCCTTGCCACTCCTTCGGCCTGCGCAGAGCGAGCCATTGGCTGTGGTGCCTGCCCCCAAGGCGGCAGTAGTTGAGTCTACTCCGCCTACTATTGAACAGAGACCAGAGACTCCAGGGTCCTCGGGTCTCAAGGCCTCACCTCGCCAGGCGAGGCCCAAGCTTCGAAAAACCAGCTCGCATGAGCGGGCATCCAGTGCCTCCGAGGAGGCAATGGATACGGCGGCACCCCTTGTGCCAAAAGAACGGCGCGGCTCTCTGGAGCGCGCCAGAGAACTAAAAAGCTCATAACAGGGCCTGATAATAGCCCTGTTATTTGAGCTCGACCTTTCAGCTTAAACAAGTCACTCCTTTAACGTACACACAGCACTACTTTACTTCCAATATGGAAACACAAATTATACATTGGAACGTCAGAGGACTGCTTAAGAACCTCGACGGCGTCCAAGAGCTTTTATACAAACAGTCTCAAGTGCTGTGTACAGTACAGGAAAGTACAGGAAACACACCTCAAGTACAGGAAACACACCTAAAATCCTCCAATACAAATTTTTTACGTGCTTACGTCATATACCAAAAGGACCGAGATGATGCTGTTGCGTCATCCGGTGGCGTAGCCATTATTATTAACCAAGGAGTAGCGTGTACACATTTACCACTCAAGACATCCCTTGAGGCGGTGGCTGTTCGAGCGGTACTTTTAAACAAACTCGTCACCATCTGCTCTTTGTATGTACCTCCCCACCACCGTCTTGAAAGACGTGAATTTCAGTCTTTAATAGACGAACTGCCTGAACCCTATTTGCTTCTTGGGGACCTAAATGCACATAGTGGACTGTGGGGCGATTCTCGCTGTGATGCACGAGGTCGTCTCATTGAACAATTTCTCTTCTCTTCTGGTGCCTGTTTGTTGAATAGGAAAGAGCCAACCTACTATAACGTTGCCAACAAAACTTACTCGTCTATAGACCTCAGCATCGTATCACCTTCACTTCTACCCCTACTGAAATGGAAAATCATAAATAATCCATATGGAAGTGACCATTTTCCGGTAGTGTTGAGTTCACAAACAACATATGAATGTCCTCTACATGTTCTCAAATGGCTGATAAACAAAGCAGACTGGGAACAGTTCCACAACACCACACGTTTGAGTTGGACAGACATATGTAGGTTAAACATAGATGAAGCTGTGCAGTACTTCACAGCTTTTCTAACTGACGCAGCAGCCAGGTGCATACCGCAAACATCTGGAATGCCCGGCAAACAACACGTCCCATGGTGGAACACAGAGTGTCGTAATGCGCGAAAGGAACAGAACGGGGCATGGAGATTGCTTCGTAACTCACCAACAGCCGAAAATCTTGACACCTTCAAGAAAATAAAGTCTCAAGGAAGGAGAACGCGTCGGCAGGCCAGAAGAGAAAGTTGGCACAAGTTTTTATCAGAGATAAATTCATATACACAAGAGGCCAAAGTCTGGAACATGGTTCGAAGGGTAGCAGGAAGAAAAGTACACTCACTCCCACTCGTAAACACTCAAGGTGATACCTTGGAAGATCAGGCAAACTTCCTCGGCGCACATTTTGAACAAGTATCCAGCTCGTCCCACTATACTGACACTTTCCAAAAATACAGAACAAAAATAGAAAAACAGAAACTCGAACACAAATCCACTAGATATGAGGCATATAACCAAGCTTTCAGTCTAGCGGAGCTCCGAACATCTCTAAACTCCTGCAGTACTTCTGCCCCAGGTTCTGACCGTGTGGTGTATGAAATGTTAAAAAACCTACCAGCCGAAACACAAAAAACCTTACTTTGTTTGTACAATGTTATCTGGTTTTCTGGCACTATCGCTACCTCCTGGAAAGAGGCTATTATTATTCCCATTTTGAAAGAGGGCAAGGACCCTTCTTTAGCTTCAAGCTATAGGCCTATTGCACTTACAAGTTGCTTGTGCAAAGTATTCGAAAAAATGATAAACTGCCGACTTGTAAATATCCTTGAAACAAACAATTTGCTCGACCCATTTCAGTGCGGGTTTCGAGGAAGTAGATCCACCACAGACCACCTTGTTCGTATCGAGGCACAGATCAGAGACGCCGTCGTTCATAAACAATATTTTCTCTCTGTGTTCCTCGATATCGAAAAGGCGTATGATACAACATGGCGTTTCGGAATTCTAAGAGACCTGTCCCACCTTGGTGTGCGCGGAAGAATGTTTCATATAATCGAAAGTTACCTGTCAAACCGGACATTCCGTGTCCGTCTGGGCAGTGTGCCCTCCCAAACATTTGTCCAGGAAACAGGCGTGCCACAAGGTGGCGTGCTTAGTTGCACACTTTTTATTATCAAAATGAATTCTTTGCACTTGTCCATTCCCCGCAATATGTTCTATTGTACATATGTCGACGACATTCAGCTTGGCTTCAAGTCATGCAACTTGGCCATGTGTGAGCGGCAGGTTCAGCTGGGTTTAAATAAGGTCTCCAAATGGGCAGATGAAAACGGATTTCGACTTAACCCACAAAAAAGCACGTGTGTTTTGTTCTCTCGAAAGAGAGGCATGCACTCGGAACCTGACATTCGACTGAACGGGCAACGTCTGTCCGTCAAAGCCGAGCATAAATTCTTAGGCCTAATCTTGGACAACAAGTTGACATTCGTGCCGTACATCAAGTATTTAAAAACAAAATGTTTAAAAGCCATGAATGTTATAAAAGTGTTGTCACGTACTACGTGGGGTAGTGATAGGCAATGCCTCATGAACCTCTATAGAAGCCTCATTCGCACCCGCTTAGATTATGGGGCCGTTGTCTATCAGTCTGCTACTCAAAGTGCCTTGAAGATGCTGGACCCCGTGCACCATTTGGGCATCCGCCTTTCTACGGGTGCTTTTCGCACCAGCCCCGTAGAAAGCCTTTACGTTGAGTCAAATGAGTGGTCGCTTCATCTGCAAAGAACTTACATGTCCTTTGTTTATTTCCTTAAGGTGAAAGCAGACAAGGAGCACCCCTCATACTCTACAATTAATGATTTGTCGAGCTCAACTCTGTTTCAAAACAGGCCTTCGATGAGGCAGCCCTTCTCAGTTCGCCTGAAGTGTCTAGCTGAAGAAACTGCAGTGTCACTTGAACACAGTTTAATGGCTCCTGTAGCATACCCGCCACCGTGGCAGTGGCAGACTATAGACTGCGATGTGTCTTTCCTAGAAGTTACAAAACATGCACCTATTGCCCACATCCGAACATACTTTTTGGAACTTCAACACAAATACACACGTCCTGAGTTCTTCACAGATGCCTCCAAGACTAACTCCTCTGTGTCCTACGCTGCTGTCGGCCCATCCTTTTTGGATGCTGGCCCTCTACATCCACGCACAAGTATCTTCACAGCAGAAGCTTACGCGATACTTGTGGCAGCTAAACACATCAAACAATTACAAATACAAAAAGCAGTAATTTATACAGACTCCCTCAGTGTGGTAACGGCTCTGCACAGTCTTAAAAAACAAAAAAACCCGGTCCTTGTCTCACTTTACTCCATTTTGTGCACACTCTACACACTCAAACAACATGTTGTAGTGTGCTGGGTGCCAGGGCACCGTGAAATCCAAGGCAACGTGAGGGCGGATCAGCTCGCTGCATCCGTCCATGAGAGCACCGCCATTACATCCATATCAATCCCGGCCCTTGATCTTAAGCCGTCTCTCAAACGAAACCTCAGGGACTACTGGCAGAGCAAGTGGGATACACACACACAAAACAAACTACACGTTATTAAGCCACACCTTGGTCATTGGCTGCCCGTATCGAAATTGCGTCATACAGAGGTAATACTAACGAGACTCAGGATAGGACACACATACACGACACACACACACCTTTTGTCCGGTGGCGATCCACCATTGTGTGACAGATGTGGTGAAGCATTAACAGTCCTTCACATTTTAATTCAGTGCAAACAATTGGACACTGTAAGAAAACAACACTTTCCATTACCCTACCGACAACATATACCTTTACACCCTGCAATGTTCGTCGGTAGGGAACCGCTTTTTAGTCACAAATCATTGTTAGCGTTTTTTAAAGAAATTCATAGTTTTCATATCATATACCCGGGCATCCCGTAGCATGACCTCTCCAGAGAGGTTTTTGCTGCGGTGATTACACAAGAAAGCACGTGCCTCACGGCCCTTGGACGCAAGGGTATGAACGTGTGAGGCACTTGTGCTAATGCCATACATATCCACCATCGTCTTTTATTATCACCAACTTTTGTCATCTATTCACACCACACACACCTTTCACGGCATGGTCATGATTTTATTACTTGTACGTTTTTACCCGCCTTACCGCGAGGAATTTTATGGCCCTTATACAGCCGCTAATCACAATCATCGTCCACATTCCATGTCCCATGAACTGGCGCTCTTTGGCCATCAAATGGCCCTTGCGCCAAAAACACCATATATCATCATGGTATCCCTGCATTGGCACTGAGACAGAGTGCGTAGTTTCTTACTCCACAGTTGTAGCAAGCTGAAGCGCCCCCTCTTAGTGAGCTTCATTCGGTTTGTCGCAATTTTTACTTGCTGTGAATTGAGTCCTTCTGTTTCTTGGATCCTTCTTGCTTGTGTAATGGCCAAAGTAACATTCAATTTTTTGGTTGTGACAGGCTCTGGACCAGTTACAGAGGGATCTGCGGAAGCTACAGGAGGAGAACGCCATGCTGCAAGAGGGCATTCGGCAGCGAGATGAGCTCATTGAGGTGTGTTTGTGTTTTGGGAAAGTTACTTGGAGTAGCAACAAGCAGAAAAGCGCTAAATGGTATGATTGTCGACCAACAACTGCGACTTATGCTGGTGCAGGCAAACGGTCTAGTACTGGTGCAAAATGGAGACGGTCCGGACTTGGTCACGCAGGAGGCAGCCGAACTATTAGACCAGGCAGGACATGGCTCCTTGGGTGAGGAACTGTAGTTCGCTTATTTATAAACAGATGTTCATCTTCTAAGGCACTGTTTTGTGCCCAAATTTCTGTGTGGGCGGGCCACAACAAGGTTTCACTCTTAAAGGGACACCAAAGAGAAACAGTGACTTGGTTTAGATTGATAAACTGCGCTCCGAGAACCCTGACGCCATCACAAGTTCATGATTAGCGGAGAAAATCTAAGAATGAAGTTTCATTTTCTAAATTTCGTGCCAAAATTTCCGTGCATGCCGTCGAAATTTTTTAGATGTATTTATCCTATTTTCGAAACTTCGGCTCAATGAAATTTTCTGAAACTTTGTATGCTAAATCTAAGGCACCCACAGATGACAATGTATTTCATTTTTATTGATTAGAGGCTATGTAGGAACTAATAGATGCCTTCAATATTTCTTACGGCGCGGTGTTTAGTGCGGGAATCTCAAGGTGGCGTCTCCTCCTACATTTTTTTTTTCGTGCGTTTTCTTGATCATCAAGTGTCATCGCACGGTGAGAGTGGTGTTTTCGGGGTTGTGAAACTGTACTTTACTGATATGCGAAAAATTGTTTTGATTTTTAGTGTCTCTTAAGAGGAAGTGGATGAGATTCAAAAAAAAGAAAAGAGAAAATTGTTTAATCTATTCTGAAGACATGAAATCTGCCCTGGTTTCTCCATTCAGAAGCAATATTAGTGGTGTATTGTTCACTGAAAAATTTGACATGTGTCCCAATCTGCACCATCTAGGGATAAAGCTAAGCCTTTCTATCATATTTGGGAGGGAGCATAGCTTGTGGACTCAATGAGCAAAAAATTTTGTTGATTGAATGTTTTGATGGGATGCTGAAGAGACATGTGGATGAACATATTGTTACGGGTTCACCCGTAACAATATTTTGAGGGGTTTTAACTCTTCCTATGGGCCATGCAGTCTGCATCCTTGGCAGTGCTTCAAGCAACTACGGAAAAGGGGTATAGCACACTATGACATCACAGGAATTAATGCTGGTGTTTAGGCACAGATGACTAAAATCATTTGTGTGAAAGGAGAAATTACCTCAACCAAATATTTAAGCTGCCTCGATAGCTTGAGGCCATGGCTGCTTTATTTTTTTAAGAAACTTTGGAACTATTGAAATGTTGGCAGGAAATCCAGTATTTTTTATTTGCATTTGCAGATGTCCGGTTGAAGCGGTTTGCAGAAGAAAAGCAGCAACTCCAAGATGAGGTGCGCAATTTTGAGGCCACTGCATGTATGTTACCTGAATACACAGTCAGTTTTGGTATAATGTTAAAAATAAGTGTCCATGCACATTTTTTTTGCTCACTTATAAACTGACTGTGGATTTATTCAATATGGTCTACTTGCATATAGTATGTGTATGTCCTCTCAATTTGCAGATCAATCGACTGCAGTTGGACTTGGCTGAGGAACGCCAGAAAGTTTCTCGCCTAGAACAGATCTCACTTGTGCATGGCCCACAGACCAATGGACCTGAATTGAGGCTCATTGAAGTGCAAAGTGAGTCATGTGATGCAGTATGCGAGCTTGTAACGATATTGCACATCCCAAAACGTTAGGTGCTGTACGGGAGGACGAGTTTGGCACACTCTTGCCTTGGCCAGTCTGCGTAAGTTTAGTTTATAGGAAAGGTAGCACGGGCTGTACAAAACTAGTCAGCCTGAATATGGTAGAATGTATAAGGAACTGTGGTGCATAACGTGCACACAAGTCAACAGTTGTGAACACTGATCATATTGAGATTGAAAAACTTCGGCACTCTTTGTATGGTTTAATAATTGTTGCAATACCGTCATGCTACTATTCATATAGAAAATTCGTCCCACTGTATTTGACAGCTCATGATGCCTCAGCAATGTTTACCACTGAATACTTCAGAGTGCCCGAGTTGATGGTTACAGTGCGTTAGATATTTTTTTTTTATTAGCATGGTAAGAACTTCTCTTGATAAACTTTAATGGAAATGTCACTTGCACAATAATTATAAGTTTGTCAATTCAGCTTTTAATATAAGGGAATATAACTGACAAAACTGACGCCACAGTGTGGAGCTGCCTAAAGAACTGCTGGTCTGTAGACGTGCACAATCGACGCATGTTGTACAGTTTTGTTTCGTGCGTTAATTCTGATGCACCTATAGCAATCACATGCATTTCAGGCAGACATTGCATCACTTGAGACATTAGTTGCACTTGCATAGAATACAGATTGTATGGGCATATCTGAACCTTCAGTGTTTTTTTATTACTACAGGTGTACATGAGGGTCAAAAAATGCGCGTTTTCTAAAAAAATGATATAATTATTTGTTTTGATATGATTAATACCTGTACTGTTCTGAAAAAAAAAAAGCAATAAATCGATGTCGAGACTCTACTGGAAATGCCTTAAAATTGCGGTAAAAGGCCAAAAGTGTGCAGTCTTCGAGCACTTAGCCACTGATAATGTGCTGTCGCTCACAATTGTCGATCCCATGGGGCCAAGTGCCTAGCCTCACTCTTGAAATAACGACAGTTTCCCGTGCTGCTGCACGCAAAAAATAATAAAAAGAAGCACGCTATTGCGGCGTTTTTCGAGTGCTGCGACTAGCTTTTAAAGCACGTAGTACGGATCGACGACAGCCGTTGGCTGCTGCGTGTGCCTGTGAAGCGTACTTGCAGGGGCCATGTCACGTCGAGCAGCGCAGATGAACAACGTTCTTGCCCGTGTGTTTATCTCCTTTTTCATGAAGAAGGTCGAAACTCGCTCGATAGCTACGCTGTCAATGTGAAAGTTGTTGTGGCGGCACACTTAGTAGGAATGGGTTACCAGCAGCTGGTCCAATTTGCAGCTATTCTTGGCTTGCAAAAGCCACTGCATCAGTCATTCACAGCCATCAGCCAGAAAGTCTGTGATGCAGCATTGGATACCATCCATGACAGTCATGTCAGATAGAGGGAGCTCACAGTGTGGCAAGTTAGCGGGGACGACATTGCAGTTATGTACGACAGTACGTGGCACAATCGCGGCCGCAAAAGCCACAATGGCATCGGCACTGTCGTGTTCCTCCACAATGAATTTTGCTTAGATTTCAAAGTCTGGTCGAACTTCCCCCTAGCTTGCAGTCCGCACAAGGCTCTGCCAGATGGAGCGAACGAAGTTTGGCAAGCATTTGATGGCCTTGTCTGTGAGTGAAATGTCTGTGAATGAAATGTCTGTGAGGAGTCGGATCGAAAGGGCCGTGAGAGACAAACCTATGGCAATGACGCATTTTGGTGGCAGTGGCCACTACAAGAAAGATTATTTTTGTAGTGCTCCAATTTCATTACATTTAATGACATCTAACATAAAATAAAAGTTCAATTTTAGCGTTTTTCTCAAAATACAGATTCTGACATTTTTTCAATGTTCCCCTCCTTTTTCGAGTACTTCTGGTGTTCGGATATGCATGAAATTTTGCCCTCATATTTTCCGAAGTATGACAAATGCAATTGTCTGCTTTTTAATTTTAGTATTTTTATTATTTAATAAAAAATTCTATGTAAACCTTTATTAAGGTAGCGGAAATATCGACTTTTTTCACATCTATTATTTTTCTCATTTGTTATATTTTGTATGTGCTTCCTATCTAGTTATTTGCATTCTACACTTCACTTGAAACATTACAAACTATGAATGGTGAAAAATTATGGAAGTTTAGTGATGAAAAGGGGGGGGGGAGCAAAAGGCATAAGGTTTTCACTTTGCCAAGAAAGGTAGTAGTATATTTGAAATCAGCATAAAACGTTCTATAAACAGCTCAAGTTTCATTGTGCTAGAGTGAATATTAAAAAGAAACTGTCTTCGAGTAGCATTGCCCCTTAACAGGCTTTTATACTGGTGTGACACGGGCACATTTAATCGCGAACAGGGCGATCCGGATCAGTTTTCTTGATCTCGGTGAACTTTATGGCAGCTGCTACACGGCCCAAGCTAATCCGGTTCGAGCTTGGGTCAGATGAAACGCACCAGGTGGCGCTTGCATGTATGTCATTGACAAAACTCGGCATACGATATTGCTATAGAGCCCTTTATCAGCAATATTATTGGTGCAAGAACCACTCGAACATTGCAATGTTGCGTGCCACTACAAAAACTATTTAATTAATCTGTCATTCGATGGAGTTTTCTCCTGTATTGGCGTGTGAGATTATCTCCACTTTTATGCCTGATGGCAACCGCTCGAAACGTCTACTCGCAGCGATGCGGCAATCTCGTTGTACATGCCCGAGTTTCACTTCTGGCTCTTCGGGTCTCCCAGTCGCTCCTGCCAGCGGTAAATTACTTTAAAGGTCTCTTCATTCGACCACGTAGCGCATGCTCCGACGTAGTTGAAAAGCTGGCGACACTCCGACACTCCTAATCAGTTTGCTTCGAGGTGCTCCAACTTCTCCTACAGTGGGAGACTTGAACGAAGCGCAGAAGGCAACGGTTTTCTGCTTCTCCCGTAACTACGTGCGGTCAATACCAATCTTAAAATATGCAACATTTCAGATATTGTTCCAATTTAAACAGTTTACGACTTCCTTTTTTATAAAAATCTAGCTGTTCTAATGTGTTGTTATTTAACTACGCTCGGTTTTCTTGTTTATTGTGCTTTCAAGAAGCTCGGCCATGGGGTGCAGACGACCGCAAAATCGCGATCTCCCAGCCAGATCGCGATGCGGGGATCGCGATAGTCCTCATCTTGATCAAGCCTGATCGCGATGAAAAGTGACCGTGTAGCAGTACCTAATCTGGATCTTGTTTAATCTTGATTGGCACTGATCGCAATTAAAAATGCCTGTGTGCACAGGTACTATATGCTTGCAAAGCTCAAGTATCTTTTACCGCAACACTGTGTTTTGCACAAGATTAGCCCGTGCTGTTAGGTGCTGCTGAGGATTGTTTTGGTAACTGTGGCTAGTAAAATAGTTGTCAAACTTCATAATGGCCCTAGCGGGAGCTTGCTAATCTGCTTTTCAGACATCGAAAATCTCCAATTCTGCAGTTTGGTATCAGTAGACTTGCCGAGAAGCATGGTTGCCGTCATTGAAAGGTCCATCCCGTGCTAAAGCATGCATCGTTATTAAACCAGTGTGATGGCCTTCTTCTTGCACAGGGGAAGCCAACAAGCAGGTGGACGACTACAAGTACAGGCTGCGCAAAGCAGAGCAGGAGAATATTGCACTCCAGAGCACTGTAAGTGGCAAAGACTGACACTTATTGTGTATTCACAGATGTGCGCACCTGTCAACTCCAGCCTTTTTATGACTGCAGCAAATATTGTTGTCACTACTCCTCAGAGCTGATTAGTCACTGTGCCATAGTAATGCTCTCAGCAATTTAATGCAAGAAGCAGCAGCTCCAGCAGGAGGAAAGATGTGCAGACAGGTAAAATTGTCTATAATGCTGCCTGTGCTTCCTTCTACAGGTGTCGCGTCTTGAGACGCAGGTCTTGCGCTTCAAGGCTACACTCGAGGAATCCGAGAAGCTTGAAGATGACCTGAAGGCTGAGAAACGCAAACTCCAGAGAGAGGTGAGCGCATTGTTGGTGATGCAGATGCTTGATAGTTGCTAATGAAATTGTGGTTTTGAATTATATATCATTCAAAAGGAGGTGCATATGCTCACCATGCTTCTGGTATTGCAAATTCTGACAGGCGAGTCTCTGGTCTGCTCAACGCAAATGCAACTGTGGTTTTCTTAGTTTTATAATGACAGTGGGACACAGTAAAGAAGGCCAGTGTCGCCTATGTCCTTTTGTGTTTTTACAGTGCCGAGAAGCTCAGGCCAGGATCGAAGAGCTGGAGACGGCTAACAAGCACCTCCAAAAGCGTATTGACAAGCTCAAGTCAGCACGGAACAGCCTCAAGTGACTCCAGAGCGCAGCGTCTCCAGTGCTGGCCAGAGCTTGCATACAGGGGCTTCGAGGTTTAACTTATTATTACCACGCGGTCTCTGCCTTCCTCTTCCTCCTGCCCCGACCCCTGTGCTGTCCACATAATGCGTGATGCAAGGCGTGCGAACAAGGCGCATTCCACTTGCGGCGGCCTCTGCCAGCGCCTTCGGGCATTAATAACAAGCCAGCAGCCATGCTGCGCGTGGGTTCAGTGTCAAGCCTGTGAAATATAGTTTGTTCCTGCAGTTTGTCTAGAAACCTGTACATATCTAGAGGCCAGGAGTCGCACAGAAACCGCCATATTTTGCTTTGCCCCCTGAGTGGTGTGCTCCCATCCTCGTGGCAATGAACAGTGTCTCAGCATTCGCTACGTGCGCCACACTGCACACCGAAAACTTTATGGTCGCATGCGAACATGCTCGAAGGCCAGTGACCACAGCGGTAGGCAAACGGCTGGCCTATATCCGTCCCGTAGATGTGACCACGGGATAGTACAGCTCTCGCAACTTTTTTCCAGCAGCTGGATTTTATACGAACACTGACGATAAGCTATTACTGGTAATATAATTGCGTGAATGTTTCTAAGACTTGCGGGAATTTAATGTGGTTGTGGTGGTTTGTGCGTAACAACACACAATGTGGCTCGCATTGTGTTTGTATGGCTCGCAGATCCAATTTTTCGTGTTGCAACCAGTGTGTTGCATGAGGGCCTCTTTGTCCACAGTGTGCTGGACCTTTCCCCGATTTGGCGTGCCTACGTCTAGTGGTGCAGAAGCTCAAGCTTGAACGAAGTATGCAATTCTCGCCATCTGATGATAATAGGCCTGCAGAGAAGGTGAACTGCACACGTGCATACAATAAAATGTCTACTTTTAATTCTTTCACTCCCTTTTCTTCTTTAATGAAAAGCCAAAGAGAATGTTTCCGCTGGCATCACTACATGGCCAGTGTACACATGTGCTGCTCGGTTTTTCTTAACGTTGCAGTTACGAGTGTCCCATTGCACGGACTTGCCTTAAGTTCCCTTGCTGTTGTGCAGTTTCATTTCAGTTATTCTGCAGTGCACAAACTTGTCTAATGTGCCTCTAGACGTCCTTGTTGAAGCAGGCATGCTCCCTAGGGCATAGCTCTAAGGTTTTGAGTTAGGCGATCATCTCTGTCCACTGGGCGAACGGCATTTAGGGTGTGTGTTCTTGCCAGTTGAGCACGAGGTGAGACTGTGGATCTAAGTGTGTGCAGTGCTGTGATGTTCCCACGAGTGCCAATTACTTTCCTCCCCCCCTCCCCTTTTTTTTGATTGTCACCCACTTTGCTGATGCTCAAAGTCCTATCAGTTTCCCCAACTCTTATTGAACTGCCTGCGAGCCTTTCTTGCCATAAAAACCTGAAAGAGCTTTTTTTATAAAGTCCATGGTCATGCAGTGTACTCTTTCTATATAATAATCTTTCAGAATTTTTTATGCAAACAAGTCTACCCCTTTTCTTTAGCTTCTCGAGACTCAATTCAAGGGCACATTGGCTTGGTGGGTCTCTAAGTCTGCATTCTTTGTATGCAGTGTTCAAGTCATTTGACGAACCCACATAACTTTGGTTAGGTGGCACCATGCATCATTTTTTGCCATGATAGCTCAAAAGTATCTTTCTTAACACAAATCAAGAAAGGGCACACTGTTGTGTTCAACATGTTTCAGTCATGAAATTAAGGAGTTGTAAAGACTTCCCTTATAGTGAACAAACATCACAATTGCCCATTCAATGGGACTATGTGAACTTCTGCTTTTAGTCTTCTCTCAGTTATTGTGCTTATATTTGTATACCTCACTGCAAAAAAAGAAAAAAAATGGGGAGGTCAAATAGCGTTTCATGCTGTTAAATGTTCAGCAGTTCATCATGTGAAGTAGTTATCTATTGCAGCTCACTTGCAAAAGCAAACAATGCCTTTTTGATCAAATCATTTAATTGAAGACATTATCGCTTATTTGGTAGCATTCTCAGTTCAAACTGTTCCTACCCAAAAATGCAAAATAATCTTTGTTTTCATTGTACCTGTCAAATAGCCTGTGTATGCCCTGCTGCAGTACAAGTCCTGCGAAAACTTGGCCTAATGCTGTGGTTGTAGGTAAATCGATTTACCTTCAGTTCACAGTTAAGATGTACTTTTTAGAGTATCAAACAGTGCAATTTAACTTCTTTTCTGCCCTGCCCCTTTCCAAGAAAAAAAAAATGAGCAAGGCTTTAGCTAAAAGCAATATGAAGCAATGGATGGGTGTACGAAATACATTGTGCGCACGTATTTTTTTGTCGTGCTAGCAGTGAAGCTTTTTCTTTTTTTTTTTTTATCCTGAAAGCACGGATTGTCATGCTAGACTGCTGGATACTCCGCAGGGTGAACTTTGACTGAATGTATAGGTTAACAATCAGAGGCCTTTGCGCCAAGGTGATAGCTTCCGCCACTCTGATACAGTTCATCTTGCTGATATAAACTGAAAAACAGCTCAAACTGCGCAACGGAGATGAAGCGTGTGAACACTTTGAGCAAATAAAATTTACAAAAAATAAACCTAGACACTGTCTGTTGTCTGTCAAGTGTTTGCTGCGCTGTTGTGAATCACCTATTTTGCATTATGCACAGGAACACATGCCTACACAGCCATACTGCACTAACCTGGCTGCCTCAGCAGTTTTTCCGGTAGAACTGTTTTGGAATGCGCTTGCAGTAGTGGATTGCCAATCACATTTGCAAAAGGGCACTCTATAAGCTCCAAGACACTGCACTGTAGTGCACTTCTCCGCGTGATGCCACAATATTTGACTCTGCGAAAGCGCCCCACGCGTAGCATTAGTGCAAATGATGTGCTGCAAGAGTCAAATCTTGGGTCAGTCAATGAGGATCCATTAAGAATTGCTTCTGACACACAAATGATTAAGACATGATTGTGGAGGATTCATACTTGGGCACAGAAAGCTGGCTGTGAATGATACTGTGGTCCTTTTATAAAAAGGAGTGAAAGAAGCTGATTAGCTATAAGGTTCTGAGACATTTAGTTTCCCACAGCTTCAGTGAACTTCCCTGACCCCTTTTCTCCCACATTTTTTAGGTAAAGCAGTCTTTGGAAAATTTCTACACAGGGTCCCACAATACCTCACCAGATTTTCAATTCGTCATACTAAGTTTGTCCAAGTGGCTTTTTGGGCAAGCTGGTTACATGTGTAAAAAATGTGGCATAGTGATAAAACACACAGACAAGGAAGTGACAGAAGGATATGTGCTAACATTCAACTGATCGTTTATTTTCAGAAGAAACAACATAAATAGATCTAAGCACAGAAGGTCCAATGATTGCACATGAAAACCAGCCGCATCCAGAATTTCATTCACAGTCAGCGCTATCGACGGGCAGCTGACACAGCTATTACCGGCCCTCTCAATCTGAAAATAAACAATCAGTTAAAAGTTAGCGCTACACCACTATTTTAAGCTTACTCAATGTAACACTGGAGCACAACGGTTATCTATCCTAACTGTAGTCAGATACAACTTTAGAAGTTTGCAGAATTGCCTCCCCAAAGATGGATGCACACAAGCCAGCGCCAGTAGGTGCGCTTTCCGGACTAACATCACAAGCTGAAGGGCCGGTGACCCTGCCTTCAGACTATTTTTTTGTTGTTTTTGTTGTACAGGCAATCCGCTATCTGGGAGGGACCTTTTCCGACATCTTGCGCAGCTAAATCTCGGTAGGAGTGAAGGTTGCCAATCATTGTGTCGTCACCAGTACTCAGTAAAACCCAAAAAATTCACAAGTTCAATGAATAATTATATGAATACCTTGGGTTTATTGTCGTGATACGATTATGGGAGATGCTGTAGTGGAGGGCTCGGGAAATTTTGAGTATCTGGTGTTCTTTAACGTGCACTGACATCGCACAGGATAAAGGTCTCTTACTATTTCCCCTCTACTGAAATGTTACCGCTGTGGCTAGGATTGAACTCGCAACCTTCAGGTCGGCAGGTGAATACCCTACCCGCTACACAGCCGCGGCAGATGGAAGTTCGACGAGATGAAAAATTCGTGAATGCAGGATGGCACTGGAGCCAACAACTACACAGGCGGATTTCTTCAAGGCTGCATCACCTGCAGCCTTGAGGAAGACAAATCGGCCTGTCGAAATGTTGGCTCCAGTGAAACCCCTAGTTTAAGAATTTTTTATTGTCTCTACACACCATGCTTGAATATCTTTTGAGCTCGTAGTTTAGTGCAAGCTTACCTTTTTCTCACCACCAAAGTACACTTTATTAATTGCCCAGTCTGTGGGATCAATAGCTATTCAGTAACCAGCTGAGGGCCTGTCCACATGTGCAATCATACGCCACCCAAAAAGTACTGTTTGGACTTAAGCTCACCTACACACAGAACTATTTCACGATGGACGGTCATGGCCCACCAATCCGGTGCGCGTCACTGTTTTGTGCTTTCCAGAATATCGAATGCACTATATTTTTAGGAGTACCTTTCAGCCCTTGTTGGGTTTTTTCATGTGTTGGCTCTGTACGTTTTTTATGCCCCACAGAAACTTATTCTCTAATTAATTTTGCCCAATTTAAAAATCTTGAACAGGTAATAAGATTTGTCTGTCAGGTTGCAGACGAACATGCAACATCGCAGTGCCTGTATCACACTTAAGAAAAAAAAAATTATCTCGTCCTGCTCCTGTACAAAGGCATGGCAATTATTGTCAAGTCATGGATGTGTATTGCGGTACTTCATTTCAAAATAGTTTTATTGCACAGCCTTTGCACAAGTTTTGCTTTTAATGGCACCTGCATAAACTGTCACTCGTGCTGACTTCTCCAATTAACAAAAAATTAGCCCCTGCAATCAGTCATATTGCAGTACTTTACCCTTTCATAAAACATGTACTACTTGCTCTACTCCTTCTTGCTAACTTGGTCGTGCAAAGACAGAAGCACAAGAACAGTTTTCTAAGTGCAACTGCACAACTGGCAGGCTTGCAGATAGGCTGAGTTGGCTAAAGAACAATATTTTTACACAGATTAAGAAGTGTCACGCCGCTGTTCACTCGCTTTAGGCAATGTTTGTGGGGTCCCAGCAGTAGTGCTTGTTCTTGTTCAGGCTACTGATGGTGGCCACTTCATCGTCGGTGAGTGCAAAGTCGAAGATTTTCGCGTTCTCTTCAATTCGTTGAGCATTACTTGACTTGGGGATGATTGCTGAGAAAAAAAAAATTACTACTGTAAGTGGCGAACTTGGAAAGTTTTTCTGCATCGTAATGGGAGGGGGGGGGGGGTCATTCAATGCAACTTCAAGAAGACATGACATGAGGAAAATCACTCTACCTATGCCGAGTTGAAGAGCCCATCGCAGAACAACCTGTGCCGGCTGCTTCTTGTGCTTCCCGGCAATTTCCACAATGGCCGGCTCTTGAAGAACCTGCAAACACGCAGTCATGGAGCAAGTCAACGAGATTGCGCTGCTCCTGCTAACTTGCACAACAATTATGAACATTGTAGTTACAGTGTGGCTCATAGGTGGGGCCTCAATTGAAGGCGTTGAATTGCAACTATAATGCATACTGCCTTTTAATGTGCATGTGCACGCTCTACTACTATCAAGGATAAACTGTGTGAGAAAAATATTAATGAAAACTAACAGACAATGATTCTTAAAATGAGGCTGAAGTGGATGAGGGGATGACCGCTGCTGTAGCTTAGTTGGAAGGGCATAGGACGTGTTGTTTGAAAGTCAAAAGTTCGGTCTATGCCAGCGAAAAGTTCTCTTTTCGTACGCTTTTCTTTCTTCACATGCATATTACAATTACTACTACAGTGGACTCTCGGTAAACGGAAATCTGTTTAACGGAACTGCTGCTTAAATGGAACAACTGGCTCTGATATGATGGGTTTTATACTTGAGTGCTGCAACCCAGCTCGCCTCTCAGTAAATGGAACTACTGTTAAATGGAACACATTTTCCCGGTCCCTTCAGGTTCTGTTTAATAAGAGTCAACTATAATGACATCTGCTATACTCTCTTTTGTATCATTGCTAGTTCCCATTAATATAGCTTCTAACAAACAAAAAATGAGCACTTGAATTCCCAGTTCTTCTCTTCGTTGGGAAATTATGTTTTATGTTTGGAGGCATCACTTTTGCAGAAGCTCACTAGAATTGATGAACAGAAGCAGCAGTAAACGTGAACAGTGGACGTTTGAAAAAACTTGACTGAATCTCGAGGTGTTATGTATGCATTCTTTTCATTTAAAACAGTGAAAGAAGGGCTTGCAAAAGGAAGATATGGTTGATTGATATGTGGGGTTTAACGTCCCAAAACCACCATATGATTATGAGAGACGCCGTAATGGAGGGCTCCGGAAATTTCGACCACCTGGGGTTTTTTAACGTGCACCGAAATCTGAGCACACGGGCCTACAACATTTCCGCCTCCATCGGAAATGCAGCCGCCGCAGCCGGGATTCGATCCCGCCACCTGCGGGTCGGCAGTCGAGTACCTTAGCCACTAGACCACCACGGCGGGGCAGGAAGATATGGTTTCCCTAGCATGCAGTGCTGCTATTTGTGTTTTCATTATCTTGCACCAGCAAGGTACCTTAGCCACCAGACCAGTGGTACCTTAGCCACCAGACCACCGCGGTGGGTCGTTACTGTCAGTCTTTTAGTCACATACGACATGGGGGGCTCAGACTAGAGGCTTTTTATTGCAATGTTTTTGTACCAGTCTGAAGCATGTATAGGTAACTTAGCACGAAAATCCAATTTTGCAAGAGCTGGCAATGCTGGTGAAAACATAGATAAAAAGAAAAGATGTCACTCACTTATGAGTATTGTTAAGCTACAGAACATAAATTTTTCCTAGAAAGAAGGCATTGCTCTTGACAAAGAGACACTATTCTGGTCTGGGAAATTTCCTTTGGACATCATTAACTAGCAGAAGATTTTTCTTCTATGCTATTTTTGTACTTTTTGTGCATCTTGCAGCTTACACATTAGAAAGGGAAATATCTCTCCAAATGCTGCATAATGTGTAGAGATAGAACAAGACTGACCAGCACACATTTACTTTATCCAGAACTCTTTCAGCCTAAAAGCATGATAAACAAGTTTGCTGCATAGAAACACAGTTGTGCAGAAACCCACAAAGTGGTGAAACTTTAATAGGAAAAAAGTTGTAATTCACCTTAAATCTGTATTCACCCGGTGGACTAAATAGCGATTCGAGCCTGCGGATTGCGTACGTACTACGTCACCATACACCAGCCATTCCCACGTTCCTGCTTTGGTCCGCATGAACCAAATCGTGAGACGACGGAAGCCCAGATTGCTGTTGGGACATTTGGGGAACAATGCCGAAATCTTCGCTTGTAGCATGAATTCTTTCCTGTCGTGTGAACGCTGGCTGCGAAGATATCTGAATTATGTCGCATGTCATGTGACTGATCCGCCCGCAATCACGGTCGTCGTGCGAACATAGCTTAAAGACGTAGGAGGCTACAAATAAATATTGGTACCACTATAAACAAATATCTTACGTGTTTATCAAAACAAGGAATTGCAGCTAAAGAACTTGTCTCACTCTGGCTATTAAACCTGAGACCAACACTTTTCCTGGCTAGTTGCAGGGGGCGGTTTTCCAACTCAAGCAAAGATATTCATGGGTTTCTATGACACTGGCGGCAAATCCAATCTACACACCAAGATGAATTTTCCTACAGCTTAGAGGCACTCTTTCTGAGAAATATGCATAACTTCTCTTTTTTATAGTTTCATGCTGTCTCCCATGTTCTTTCATGATCTTGGTATGTGCCTTATTTTACTGATGTCAATGCTTAACTGTGAGGCATCAAGTACAAACTGACAAAAGCAGCAATTTCACTGCCTTGGGCTAGAATGGTGTATCCTTTTACTTTCACATGGCAAGGCGCTACCTGCTTACAAACATTCTTGCATTCCTGCTGCCAACACTCAAGCTTTTCCTTACAAGACTTGGTACTAATACGGCAAGCTTGCGTTCAACCAAATGATGTACAAGAAAAATGATATCACTCATCTAAGGTACTGAGTTACCACTACAATTTCCTGCATAAAAATGAAGTGAGAGCTGGCACTCACTGCAGCAACGCCCCCTGCTGCGCCAAGGGACGAATAAGCCTGCAGCACGATTTGGTGGTCCTTGCAGTAGCGCAACAGGTCGCTTTGTACCAGGTGCGGGTGAAACTCCACCTGATAAGGAAGATGAGTCATTCCTAATACACATATACAATGGTTTAGACCCTGCAAAAGCTCACCTGGTTAACTGTAGGTCGCACACTGCAGTATGTCAGCAGTTCCTGCAAGTGCCTAATGGTGTAGTTGGAAACGCCAATGGCACCCACTTTACCTGCAGGCAGTCCACAGACAAAACAACACTGTTTACAGAGTCCAAGCCATGGGAAGAAATACTCTACAAGGATATCACTGGAATGTGTACAGAGCTAGCACCCAAATACGACTGGTATACTTGAGAACTGCTGAATAATTTGTATGTTGTTACAACAGCTCCCTAGGGAAACAGCCAAAGACACAGATGCAGATATTGTAGTCATGTGAATTGCGATGCATCACTAACATACAGTGAAAACCTTCTAATACCCTTTTTGCAGAACTGTGAAAAATGAACTGGGGGATCCTTAAGCTTTGCCATTATGATTTGAATGCAATAGCAATATTCTGTTCCTAGTACGTACTTCAACCACTTAGCGCATACTTTTTATAGTATGATGTTAGTTTATTGTTCAGATTAGTTCAGATTCATTGCATGCTTTAAATCGTAACCCTGCCCCCCCTCCCCCAAGCATAAAAAAGCATGGTATGGTACCTAGGTAGTGTGGCAAAGGTCGCCGAGCAGCTAGCACTGGCATCGAAAGGAACTTCCAGATTAGGCGGCTGTACTTCTCTTCCCGAAGAAATCGTGGGTTGTCAGCCGGTAATTAATGCTGCTCTAAGCAGTAAACATAAGGAAACTTCAAGAGACAAATTGCGTGTAAAAAAGGGATCACTCAGATGTTAGGCACGTGAAACTCGTGCCTATTCAAGAAGCAGCACCCTTAATACCGAAGCGAGCGGTGGCAAAAGCGCCGAGCTGCTATAACCGCGACATTGAAAGTACCCGCGTCAAGAAAGCGATTGGCGCTCACAAACGTGTGTCCAGAACAACTGCGCATTCGTGTGCAGACTCAATTGAAAGGTCTGGAATAAGACATCTAGCACGACCATTGCCTTCATTTGATTACTAGGGTAGCAGCGCGTGAGAGACGAGCCGGATATAAACCAATGCGATTGCTTCTGTCTTACATAGTCGTGTTTCATTCCGTTCACCTTCCTCCCCGTAATTGTGGCACTGCCAGAATAGAAAGCTTTACTACCGCATAAACAGAATCGCCCTTTTATCAGGCGCGAACACGTTGTCGAGCAGATCCAGCAGTAGCTGTTCGCATGAGGAGCACGGAGCATGAGCATCGTCTTTAAACACTGGTGAGCAACGACGTACCGCTTCGAGGCATCATAAATACGCATATAATTGGGCTATGAGGTAATTCTTAACACAATGCGTTATCGCGCGGTGTTAAAACACTTTAAATGCGCTGCTATTTATAAGGTTGGTTCGTACTGCCAAGCAAACTACGCGTGCCTTTTTAAGTAAACAGCTTTCATTCGTCGTCGAAACTGGATCACGTTTATACTGATCTGATGGCATCGCTGCGTTCAGTGACGTTTAATAAAAGGTAACAGGAAGAACAGCACGCACATAATCACGTCAAAACGTCGGCAATAGTGTGCATATAATTCCAGCACTGGCGGCATGGCCCCCTTACGACTGGTTGTGCCTCTAGCTGGAGATTTTGTCCCAATATCAACCTTTGGGCGGAGTTTCGTGACCAGAAAGCATAGAAGGACTCTGGCTTGATCTATACATTTTCCTGCAGAGAAAATGCCTTTTGCATTTGTATTAACTACTTGAGAGGGACCTTGCATTGACTTGCTGCATAACAAATTGTCAAATGAGCTGTATGATAACAGATTTTCACTTCAGATGTCTGCATCTCAGCTTACAACCATACAGGAGACTTTGCTGTTAAAATGACAACATCAAGGAAAAGAAGGATGCATGGGCAGCTTCTGGGAGCTCTAAATGCGCGAAAATACACAGGCAGAGTTTATCGACACAAAAACAAACCAAAACAGAAAAAACAGTTGTATACCTTCCTTGTATAGGTTCTCTAGATCCAGCCAGCTTTCCTTGCGCAGTACGGCTTGCTCCGGGTCTTCGGGCTTGCGCCCCTGCACTCCAGGCCAGTGAAGCAGCAGCAGATCTAGCCTTCCACCGAGCTTCTCGATTATTCCCAGCGCATATTGGCGGCACTTGTCTCGGCCTTGGGCTATGGGTGGCAGCTTGCTTGCCACCCAGACGTCGGATCTCTGCAATCCATACTCTTGCAGTGACTGCAGGGCGCCAACGACCGCTGCCTCGTTCCTGTACAATGGCGCCGAGTCTGGCACCCACACAGCTCAAAATTGTACTGCTTCAGCAGTGCAATGAACGAAATGAAGGATTGATTGAGGGCTTGTGTTTTTTTTTGTTAGACGCAAACAAGAGACAAAAAAGCTAAGGAATGTATGGGGGACATTACTTGAATATTTTTAATGCAGTCTAGTAATTACAACATAAATAAAAAGGGGTTGAAAGAACTGAAAAATCAACTCTCTCCAAGTAAAGGCTGAACCTAATATCATGCCCTATACTATACCAACTGAGCTACAGCGGCGGTTGTTTTCCAATCCACTTTATTGGGTGTTTATTTTTCTGTAATCCTGAGAGCATCAGCCATGCTGAAGCAGAATCGTGAGTTGGGAAAGTTGATGGAAGTTCATAGAATATTTTACAGTGCAACAGATTAGAAATGCTGTGTCTCTTCTCTGTACTTCTGTGACGTGTTGCGCTGTAAAATATTCTACGATGAGCATTAGTCACTCCCAGAATACAGAGCTATGTGGCTTAACGTATGGCTTCAGAAAAGTGCAAAGAGCAAAGTCAGCAACATATAGTTGCGGCATTGGGTTAATAAAATGCTTTGTTGCGCATGCTGGTTCATTCTGGAATAGATTTGAGCGCAAACGGACAACTTAAAAGAAGGAAGGACGACTATGCGAGGCATTGGGCTATTTGATATTTCAGCTTATAGAAGAAACGGTTTGAGAAGTGACGACTGAGGCGCCCACAACATCACCACCACAAGCTCTTGAGGTGATCACTCTTCGCAAGTATGGTGTTGCGAGTGCATAAGCCGTCTTTCTCCAAGATGCTGCTTCTACAAGACAAGAGAGCAACTGGAAGGCTTTGCCACCAGGTTATATAGAGGACTTAATTCTCTAAATAATCACATGCGTATTTTCCCTTAATGCAAAATGCTCACAGAGGCCACATCAATTTAATGTCTGATTTATGATACGCCTTGACTTGTATTATCAGCTTACATTGCTTGTGTTGACAAGCTATTGCCTCCATAGCTAAAGTCTGTCAATATAGCTTTGTGAATGGAAGAGTAAATTACAGCATGCTTTTTGTACACAAATTAAAAACAAAAAACAAAAAAGTTAAAAACAAAAAAATGGCAGCATATCCACGGAGTGAATGATGGAGAGTGGGGCGAAGCATTCGTCCGTCCATGCGTCCGTCTGTGTGACCGTCCATGCGTCCCTCTGTGTGACCATCCATGCGTCTGTTTGTGCGCCCGTCCCTGCGTTCTTTCATGCACCCGCCCCTGCGTCCGTTCATGCGTCCATCCATGCATCTGTTTGTGTGTCCGTTCGTTCATCTATTCAACACTCCAAGTCCCACCATCTCGCATCTTTTTATCATATATTCCCCATATAGAAGCACCGCCATCCAGCGGACATTCCAAGGACTAAACGAGAGGTGGCACACGCACACTTTCTTACGGCCTGCGCTTTGGGTCCACTTCCCACCTTTAACCACCTCGAGTTCATGGTATATTCTAGTTCACTGTATTCATGGCACTGCGACCAAACGCTCGCTAAACCTTTCGAAAACCAAGGAGGTTACGCCCAGCGAGTATAACGTAGCAACCTTTCCCTGTCAGATAGGGCTCAATTTACATGCCAATGGCTGCTAATGAGAAATGAGAGACAGGAGAATTCGGCTTTTACTTTCTTACGGCTTGCACTTCGTATCTACTTCTCATATTTAACCACCTTGTGTTCATTCATGGTATATACAAGTTCATTGTATTCATGGCACTGCGGCTCAACGCTCGCTAAACCTTTCTAAAGCTAAGGAGGTTACACCTAGCGAGTATAATGTAGCATCCCTTTCTTGTCCGATAGTGCTCAATGTACATGTCAATGGCTGCTAATGGGGATCGCAGCGTGCGCGTTGACTAAAAGCCGAATGCTCATGTCTCTCATTCCCCATTAGTAGCCATTGGCATGTACATTGAGCACTATTTTTTATTGTTAAACAACGCACAGAAGAAATCTCTCACTGGCACCACCTTGGAGGTCAAGTGTTATACCTATTTCGGGTATGTGCCACTGGTGGTTACATACGAGGGACGCCCTAGCCACGCCATAAGGAGCTTCGCCCCTAAAAAAATATTCCGATCTCAAAGTGCCAAGCACAAGCACTATGCCGCTCATCTGGCACAATGAGCTATCAAAATCGTAGCCTACAAAATTTTCATTCATGCACAAGAGCAAAAAGGAGGCATTTATAAATGAAACTGAGATGAATGGCTGTGTGCCTAAAATTAATTTACAAATAATTACCATCACTTTTGCTGCTACACTGAAATGAGAGCAAAGCGTGTCACCTTGTCTTGCAAACGCATCAGCCGACAGGCACTAGCTACACCTACACAAACAATAACTGCTGTATCCAACAGGCTGCACTGACAGGTTGTCATTGCAATTTGTGTCTTGCTTCTACTGATCTATTTTGCTGACAAGTCAATGGTCATACGCGATGATGCGTCAGTCATCGATTGTGCTGAGTGATGCATCACTATACCTGAATGCTAGCTGTTAATCTTACACCATCAATCAAGAGATTCGAAGTTGATTAGAATCACGAAATGTTTGTGTTAGGGCAACCATTTAGAAATTACTGATACTTTCCTGGATCCAGTTTACTATAAAGCAAGATGATAGATGCAGCAATATAAAAAACACGAACGATTGGCATCTATTTATTATAAGTTAGCACGAACAATGCATTGCAGTAATACGGCCTGCCGGAAAGAAAAAAACGTAAGACCAGCTTTTGGAGGATCGAAACTTTTTCTTATTCTTCAACTACTGCTACAAATAATAAACCACACTCTCCGATTCAGACATATTGATATTGACAAGGTTGTAGGTAAATTCAAATGTAGGTCGACCCTTCTAATATTGCAAAAAAAAAGGAAACTAAATGTGCAAGAGCATTTCATAAAGGAAATTTATTTACTACAATGCCGATGAAGAAAGCAAACTCGAGTTATAGCATGCAAAGGAGCTTTTAGGGCTGGTGCTTCACAGCTATGCAGAAAAGCTACCTTTGCAACAGTATGCGAGGATAGTTCTTAAAAAATTTTCTGCATATCATTGCTAAGGGTGTGGGTGGTACGCAATAAAATACTATATATGATACAGACTGAGCCATAGTATAAACTAAATCTCATACTAATGCCACAACAAGTCTGACTTGTTATTCATTTCAGCATTATTTTGACCTTACAACCGAATCTTTTCTGTTTCAATTTTAATTGAACCTTTAAATTCGAATTTAGGCAAATGATTTTAGAGATTCAGACTACACTCGAGTCAACTTACACAATTGATGCATATGAAATGTTTGAATTGGAGAGTATGGTTTATGATTTGTGGTAGCAGCTGATACACAAGAAAAAGTATTGATCCTCAAGACCTACTCTCGTGTAAACATTGTGCAACTTGGACAAAAAAACAATGATAAGATGAAATGCAGAATGTACAAGCGCACACACACAAAGAAACAATCATGAACATAGTTTCAATCATTGTGGTAGATAACTTAAATCACATGCACTGCACACCTCTCATTCTTGTATGTAGCATTTTTCTAATGTAAGAAATCTGTTATTGAAAGCACTATCAATATAAAATCAAATAAAACCCAACTGGAAGACCTTCTGGAAGCAGCCTTAATACACAAAATACAAACAACCGCATGATCAGCCTCTAAATGCGTTACTGTAACAAGTACTGCTGAATGCTGAAATGTCCGAAAAGGTAGAGTAAGGCGTTACTGTAACGAGTACTGCTGAATGCTGAAATGTCCGAAAAGGTAGAGACAGCAGGACGTACATTGGCAAGTGAAATTCTGTGATTACACATGTGAACACCGCAATATCATTACGAGGCATGGTGCCTCAAGAAACATTGCATTAGTTTTGACCATGTGGGGTTTTTTGACATGTACTTGATTCTAAATACACAGTCATTTTTGAAATACAGACAAGCACTCAGATATCTGTCTTCTGTCATGCTTAAGTTCTACTCGTGCTGCACTACCAACTAACCCACTTCGAAGTTCTGCTTAATAGCAGCTTGGTACCTATACCGAGCCACTGTGGTAATCACAAGTAGACCTAAATGTGCAAAAAAAAAAAAACTGAAATTGCAGTGATAGTGCACATCATTGTGTCAGGGCAAATTTATATCTTAATACTAATACCTGTCTGTCCCAGATTAAATAGTTTTTCTGAAATATACTGGTGTCTGTTCCTAAGAAAATGCAAAGCTTGCAGTTGATAATTTCAGGACTGCCACATACCAATCAGCCTGTATCCCTGCTGCAGCACAACAGGCATCAGGGACTTGAGGGCGGCTTCCGAGATTCGATACGTCCCAACTGGATTCGGCAGCAATGCATCTCGTGAAAACTTGTACATTGAAAATGCGTATGTAATGTAAACCAGCACAGTGCAAAGTGTATGTCTCGTGGAATCCAGCGAAATCAAGATGAATTCTGAAAAGACGGGAACCAAACTGAAAAGATGGGGCTTAGGAAAAAACAGCAGCAGCTGTCCCATCTAGTCTTTTCCTTACCGTTCCAGTTGGTTTTGCTGGATTCCACTAAAGTCAACGTGCATTGTTTATGCATTCTTTGGCCAAGCAACTTATATTACATAAATGTTTGGTGGCTAAGCAAAGGACAGGCAAGGACAAAATGCAAACATGCGCCAGCAAACACCAAACTGGTGTGCTGCATTTTGAAGGTTTCACATGGCACACCTGTATGCCTTGGCCATTGCCGGCTTAAAAAACTAGAAAGCGTCAGATGAAGCTAGAAATAAGGTTTGTGTAAGACGCAGGTGTCTGACCACATTGCATAAAATTTCTGGTTGGCAATGCTTGCAATCTAGGATATGCACTAGCATATTTCTCTTATGAAGTACAATATGTTGCAAACGACACATGTGCAAAAGGAAAGTGGATAAAAAAAAATTTGGAGGGCATATACAGTCATGCCAATAGGGATAGACAATGCAACGAGACATTAACAATGTCTACAATTACAACACAATGTCAATGCACCTGCATCGACATTGTGTTGTAATTGGCAACACAATGTCGATGCAGGTGCCTCTGATGGTGGTTGCGTTGGGGTTTTCAAGGAAGATGCATTTGAGTCCGTACGTTTCTGACATGTGATGCATCAACCAATGTTTGTTGGGGTCTGTAATGTCAACGTTGAAGTCACCGACTAGCATGAAAGGTTTCGACTAGTCATATATACACATGTCTCTGTCGATGAACAGTTTGATGTCTTCAATGGGAAGATTTGGTTCCAGGTACAGTATCAAGACGGTGATGCCACCAAAGTCGATTGCAGCACTTTCTTCATCGTCGCTCTGTGTGCAGTGTGATAGTTCCATATCTCAAGCTTCTTTGGCTTGCTTTACGTAAACTGCAGCACCACCGGCAGGTCGTACCGGGTCATCGATGGATACGACTAGTGCACAGCCCTTGATGTAGAGGCGTTTGGCGTTCCAGGTCTCGGTAAAGCAGAGCATGTCGACTTCGGTTAGGATGGGGTCCCGTTCCAGAGCTTGGTAGCGTGCATTGAGAGAAGGGATGTTGAGGAGGGCAAACGTGAACTCGGCAGTGTGATCGACGTTGTCTTACAGGGCTTGACGGTATCGCTGCGTGACTATAGGTAGCCGATGTTGGTAGAGCCGTTGGAATTCGTTAGCCATGGCTCTGTCCTCGTTGTTCGCCTTGTGGTATAACTTGTGGTCTCCTTTTGCATTCGTGAGATAGAGGTTATTTATACTCGTGCACCTAGTGAGTGCGACGTGAACTAATTTCTGTGGGTGTGTTTTACTGTATTCGTAGAGAATGGACGTGTAGGTGGCACCTTGTAATTAATGTACAGTGATTGCACTAGCTGGCACAGATGGGAATTGCTTTCTCTTGCAAGAGACGCCGGTTTTACGATCCAGAGTGAGTGTCATAACTCGAGGTTCTATGGGAACCCAGGAGTTGTCAACGACGTAACCACTTCGTCTGGCTTCGTCAGCTGCATACGCGCATCGCTGACGAGTAAGCCTACCGGTCGTAGCCACATCGGCAATTAAGTGCAACCACAGGCGTGCAACCACGAACAGCGGGATCTTGGCGGCGACGTCATGCAGATTCCCGGCGCGCTTCAGCCTCTCGGGCTCTAACTTCAGGTTTCTGTTTGCGAGCGCGCGCCGCCGCTGCCTCGCGTTCTCTCACATCCGGGTTCGACTGGCGATATGCGCGCTTCCTCGCCGCTTCCCATCGTCGAACGTTTGCAAGATCTGCTTTGCGACGTTGACGTGCAGCTTCGGCCTCTCGTTCCCGTACGGCGGGATCCTGGCGACGCTGCCTTGCTGCTGCGGCTTCTTGTTCTCGTACGGCGGGATCTTGGCGGCGACGTCGCGCAGCTTCCCGGCGCGCTTCTGCCTCTCGGGCTCTAATTTCAGGATCTTGTCTGCGAGCGCGCGCCGCCGCTGCCCTGCGCGCCCGCCTTTCGGCATCCGAATCCATACGAGCACACACCGACGGGGCAAGGTTTTGTTTGGTAGGTGTTCTGTTGTTCTGTTTGGCCAACAAATAAACAGAAAAGGCGTCGATTTAACGTTGCATAAATCAGTTGCCAGACTTTGGGGTGGTTGTTGCCAGACTGCTACCAAATCTAGCGAAGAAGTTTGCCCCTGTAGTTGTGGCTTTTCCGTGAGAATTCCGTGTCGACCTCGGTGAATTTTGCGAGTGCGTGAGCTATGCTGGCCGTTTCAATTAACAAAATGAACGTAAAACGAGCGTTCCAGAAGTCGGGGCGCGTTATCTTGCTGTGTGCGCAGCTGTGCAATTAAGAGGGGGACGACGGGGAAAACTGAATAGAGGCGCAGCAGGTGGTGCGCTGCCCCCCCCCCCCCCCCGCATATGCATTCATTATTTGGAATTTTGGTCGTTTGTGCTTATTGTGGGAGCGACCCAGCAAGCAACGGCGGCTCGTCGGCGGGGTCCTATTTACAGGTACGCGCGAGTCACGCTTAATTCGCTGCAACTGCGTCGATAAAGCAGCCTGCCAGGCGTATATAGCTGTAGCATATCCGACGTACTCCGATTAGCCAGCCTTGAAACGTTTATTCGTCACATGTACACGAGTCCGAACGATATGTCTTGTGCTGACACAGCTAGGAGAAGCGTAGCGTCCCCGTCGTGGCACGCGGTCGACGCGGCACGATCAGCTGTGGGAAAAAAAGAGGGGGGGGGGGGGGGGGGGCAGCGCACCGCCTGCTGCGACTCTATTTAGTTTTCCCCGTCGTCCCTAATACTGAGACGCGATCTCTTAATTGCACAGCTGCGCACACAGGAAGAGAACTCGCCCTGACTTCAGTTAAGCGCGGTTCATTGCGTTAATTACGTCGCACACACACTCGCGAATTCATCGCACTCGCGAAATGCACGGCGGACGACGCGTCGTTGATTCCCTAACTCTGAGACACAGCTAGAAAACGCGTCAAAACGTTTGCAAGGCGCGGTTCATTTCGTTCATTAAAACGGCCAGCGTCGCTCATGCACTCGCAAAATGCACCGCGGACGACACCAAATTTTCACGGAGAAGCCACAACTACAGGGGAAAATTTCTGTGCCAAATTTGGCAACAATCTGGCAACACTGACCCTACAAGTCTGGCAACAGTTTATGCAACGCTAAACAGAACCTCGCTCGTTTTCCTACTGGAACATGCCAATGACTACTGCTAACGGGGAATGAGAGACAGGAGAATTCGGCTTTTAGTTAACGCGCACGCTGCGAATTTCTTATTGTTCAACAATGGACAAGAGAAATCTCCCACCGGCACCACCTTGCCGGTCAAAGCGTAAAACATGTTACGTTCTACGACGAGGAACGAACGGGTGCCGCTTTGAGGAGCTTCGCCTCTAAGCTCAAGAGACACGTATGGAGATCCTAAACTCGTGGCTCACACCCACCCTGAAGGATCGGCCAAGAATCGGGTAGCTTACCAAAAATAAAAACGAATGTATAGAATTAAATACTGGCGAAAAGTAAATTAACAGAAATATTGTTTGTTAATTATTTTTGAGAACAATTGATGAATCACTTCCTACTGACTGAGCAATAAATGATTAATATCAAAGAAAATTTTTCAATAGCCTACATGGGTTAACTGAGAACCTTTTGGTATGGAGGTTTTGGTATTGAAGTAATTCTCTTAGACTGTACAATGAAATTTTGCACAGTTGCGCACACTTTCCCGTTGCTGTGCCCTAGGGTGTGTGCACCTAAGGGTAGTAAATTTGACGTTGTCAAAGCTAGGCCATAGATTTGTAATGGTATTTCTAGTGATACCTTTCCTAATGTTGAAAACTTTCTACAAGAGATGAAAAAGTGCTCCACAGTTTCCTCTTCCCCACAAAAGAACAAAGTGGAAAGGGAGTAAAACCTCTGCTCTAAACAAATAAAAATTTAATGGAGAAATACGACAGCGTAATCAAGTGATTAAAACTTCCAGGCATCGGTTATGACATGACGAAGTTTTCCAGGCTGTCATGCCGTCTTTATCGCGCGTATCTTTCTCGCTGAAAAATGCTACGTATGAAGCAGGCTCACATCCGATGGCAGGTAGATGAGCTCCGTTGTTTAGCAGAATCTTCGAGGACATCGAAAGAGCCATGGCTCGCCCAAGGAGTCGAGTACACGGAGATTACGACTTGAAAAGTAAGACGTAAACAATTTAAACGTGCGCCAGAGGATATCAGACGCTCAAGGTGAAAAACAAGCACAGTTGCCCGGTGGCCCGGTCCCGCATTAAAGAAAGCGCCAGAAACGGCCAATATGTTGAAATTTTTGCTGTAAAATTTCTTAGTAATTTAACTTTTTGTGCTCTGCGGTTTTTTAACAACCTTTTTAAAACAAGAATATCAGGAAAATTGAAACTGAAAGCATAAAAGCAACACTCGCTCTTTGACGTAAAAAAAGTCTACAAAAATGTTTGGCAGAGACTGCTGCGCCGCGCTGCGCACAAGCCACCACACAAAAACGGCTGCTGCGCTGCACGGAAGTGACGTCATGCATTTATCAATTAGAGCAGGTCCGTTCGATTCACCTGCACCGGTCGGAACCGGTTCACGGCTGTGCACGCGAAGTTCAGAAATTGTGCAGCGTGAGTTCAGCGGTGCAGGCACAGCACGACACCCGAAACAAATGACGATGTGCCGACAAGGTGTTGGCCTTATTTCTTTTCGGTTAATTTACACCACTCGGCAAACACCGACCTATGGCGAAACGCACATGCGGACAGTTTATGAGGCGCAAACACCTTGGCAAAACACGCCTCATTTGTAGAGGTGGGTATGGCACCTAAGCCACCTACGTCTAAAGTGCTGCGTCGTCTGCTCAGCTGCACGTGCGCCTGCACCAAGCCGGCACCGTCAGCGAAGGAGGTGCAGGAAAATTGTGAACCGGTGCTGCACCTCTTCTGCACCTTTCTAAACGAATAGCAGGGTTCAGCGGTTGTCAATGCTGCACCGCTGAAACGAATGGTAAGGTGCAGCACCTTGTGAACTGGTTCACGTGGTGCAGGCGAATCGAACGGACCTGTTATGTTTGAATAGTCGGGAATGGCTAGTGGTACGTCTAGACATAACGATAGAAGCTGTTAAAATTACGTCCAAACGAAAAAGTGAACAAAAATATTAGTTAGGTTTAGCGTGAAAACAATACAAAACCAACTTGTATGTCATGTCAAACTGATCGACAGCTGTGGCGTAGTCATTCTGCTTCTGCTGGTCACCGACGCGTGCGGACGCAGGATGGCAGGCTCGTCAAGAGCTGGTACAGCGGCCGGCGCTGGCCGCGGTTTCTCGTGCACATCACTTCCCAAGGACTACCGTTTAATTCTGCCACCACTGCCCACAGGAGAAGGACTCAGACGCACGTTAGTTCTGCACTGCGACATCGCAGCGCGTCCGTACGGGATTAATGACTTCCGAAAGCCGCTCAAGGAACTAGGCATCATTCAAGAGGTAAGCGGCATATGTCGCACGTCTGGCTTCTTAACATGAAGACAGATGAAGCCAAGAAGACACCTCTAGACGCTGGCCTACTCTCCGTGAAAGACCGGTCGTCGTCGACCCAGAGAGGCAAGAGGTGCGTCTCAAGTTGCATTGGGTAGCATTTGACGTCAACGCAGAGACCGTACGGCGTGCATTCCGGGAGTACGGTGAAGTGAAAGAAGTTATCAGCGACAAGTGGAGAGACGAAGACTTCGAAGGAGTTGAGTCAACCACAAGATTCGTTCGGCTGTTACTTAAAGGAGGCGTTACTGCGGATCGTATACCCCACCAGACGCGTCTCAAGAGCGGCATGGCACTGGTGGTCGTGCCAGGAAGAGCGCCGCTGTGCCTGCGTTGCCGGAACACGGGACACATTCGTCGTGACTGCAGGGTGCCCAGGTGCGCTGGTTGTCGCGCTTTTGGGCATGAGCAGGTGGACTGTACTCGTTCCTATGCCAGTGCAGCAAGTAGAGCAACAAATGCCGACCACAGTGAATTGCTCATGGATGAAGAGGAAGCAGAGAGGGCCGCGGCGTCGAAGGCAGGAGTGGAGGCGTGTCATGCAGTGGCGACCAGCGAGAGAGACACAGAGACACCTAAGCAAGACACAGATGAAAATACAGTTATGGGCACTCCAACGCAACGGCGTTCGACTCAAATGGAAAACCAGCACAAGGCTGAACCAGTCATCGGGTTCGACGCTACTTCGGACATGGATACAGTCGAAACTATGCCAGTAAAGCGACGCCTGAATGAGGGAGATGGGGCGTCCCAGCAGCGTCTGACCCAGGAAGATGCCAAGATGCATATTTGGCCTGAGCAGTCGCAAATGCTTATATTTGTTTGATGCACAAGTGGCCTGTGCATACGTTCATTCCGTATCATGTAATGCTCTTCTGCTCACGCTGGCTTTACCGCAGTGCTTTCACAAGGCAGTGAAGCTTGACCATACTTGCTTTTACGTGTATTGCGACTTATCAAAGTTTTGTAATAGCTCAACTGTTGACGCTAGAAGTGATGCATTCTATGTGAAAGTTTTATACTTATCTTCGGGGATTCATGTTTTCATAAAGTTTTCACAATATATCAGTAAGGTCGAGTAGGAAACTATGCATTCTTGGAAAACAGCCATGAACACGACAAAGACAGGAGATGAAAAAGACTCAGTACTTCGCCTTTGTCTTGTGCTTCCGTCGTTTTCACGTTCATTTTCAAAGTATCTATCAAAATGCTGACAACGTTGTTTCACTGCCAGCAACCTTTGCCGTGCAAGACAGGGAGCTAAATTTTATCTCGGCCTGTAAACCAAGCAATCGCGGCTACTTGATGTGCGATAAATAAAAGACCAAAATTTAGAATGACCAGCTGATATTGATAACAGGTGCTCATAGCAGCACTTTTTTTGCTGTGCACTTGACTTTCTGTCTTATGTAATGTTATGGTCCGTGAATACACAATGACACTGCTACAACCAAGAAAAATTGTACTAACATTTATTTGTAAAATAACTGCTACAAAATAGAATTCTGATCCCCTTCTTAGTAGTTGCATAATTTAGCTGGAAGAAGACAGCATCATCCAACTTCCTGACGACTTGACAACAGGGTGAGTCCACAATGTACTGGACCTGTACAATATGAAGAAAGCAGACGAAAAAAACAACAGATAAATCAGAGTTTAAAAAATGGCACCTGAAACTTTCAACTTGCCCACCACAGCAGTGAAAAGACTCCTGTTGTCATATCTATTTTCTGCCTGTTGGTCCGCGGGCACAAGTGCCAGTCTTGTTTATTAATAGAAGCTGCTTAGCATCACTTCATTTCAAGACTTTTCTCTATCTGCCACCCGAGAATGCGCTCTGTAGCGGTCAGGCTCCGCCTAGAGACTTGTGGCAGTGTGACGTTAATGTGGGCAATATATACACAGACTTTGGTTGCTTAATTTGTAGCAAACTCATTGTGAGCAAATTTCATAGTTGAATTCATAAAATACTTGAATGTAATATAACACCAAAATGCTGAGGCTTTAGAACATTACAAACTCAGCCTGCCTACATTAACAATCCCAGTGCCACAGGCATGCAAGAACTGCTTGCATAATCATGAATCAACTAAACCATTTTGATATATTGACAGGTTTTCAAAAATGACTTTTTGAAAATTTGATATTCATATTTTTCTCCTAAAGGGCAAGTTACTGTTGCTGAAAAGAAAAAAAAGCAAATCATATACAATATCCGATACTTTTTTTTTGCAGTTTACAGCTGCACATGGTAAAAGGCTGCATGCATGAGTGTTTGTTGTGTGCCATTCATGGTATTATTTCCGAAATTCTTATTCAGTTGACATTTAGCGATCAGCCTATAAATTTTCTTGTTTTTTTTATTTTTCATTCCGTGCATTAGATATGAATATATTTTAGTTCAGGAAAATTTGCTCAACGAAGGGAAGTTTTTCTACTTTTGGCAAAAAAACAAAACAAAGCAAGAACTAGTTCTAGAACTTTTATGAAAGAGACAGGTTTGAGGTTTGACGTGATGAGAAGTCAATAAAGAAGGAATGCCACAGAAAGGAATGCCTCAACAAAGGAATTTGGCTCGTCGGGGTAACATACATTTGGCAATGTTTTTATGTACTTCTAGTTAACGTTCCACCACTAGCTTACAACAAGGGAGAAAAATAAGGTGGTGCATGCAGAAAGTTAACTCATCACATAACGTGAAAATTTGACCCAGAACAAGAGAAGGAACAAAGACGAGTGCTCACCTCCAACAAGATTTATCTTGAAGAGCAAACATATATACTCTTAAAATGCAAAAAACAGACAAATCATTCAAAAAGCCCATAACTGCCATGCACGAAAACCTTACATCCTCAGGAAAGACAATTCGTTTTGACAAATCCCTAGAGAGAGAGAAAGTACTGATGCAGTTCAGCTCTAGTCTACAAATCTTTTTCGCCACGACAATTTCTCTTGTAGTTTTTTTTTTCCCAATGATAATGGTGTCACACAAAAGTGGTTTGGAGCCACACCTGCTGCAGTGCAAGGCCAAGAAACGATTGCGACCATTCTTGAGGTTACAAGCGTGTTCATTGCAGCACTTGTGGCTGCAAAATAATTTTGCACAACATCATTATTGCTGGAAGAAAAAACAAATAAAATGACAAGAAAAATTATCGAGGCAAAGAGGATTTGTAGACTAGAGCTGAACTGCATCAGCACTCTGTCTCGGGCTTTGTCAAAACAAATTGTCTTTCTTGAAAATGTAAGATATTTGCGCATGGCAGTTGTGGGCGTCTTGAATGATTTGCCTGATTTTCACATTTCAGGAGTATATATGTGTTTGCTCTTCAAGGTAAATCTTCTTGGAAGTGAGCACTCGTGTTTGTTCCTTCTCTTGTCCTGGGTCAAATTTTTGTGCTATGTGATCAGTTATGCATTACCAACATGCCTAACTTCATACTTTCGATCTCTGAAGTCAGTCGTTAAAGGGCCACTCACCAGGTCCCATAACGAACTGTGGAAGTTGTTGTGTATATAACGGAGAGCATTATACCACAAAAAGTTTTTCAATTGGTTCATTAGGAGCTGAGAACACAGTTTCTTCTTTATTTAACAGCCAGAAACAAGGATGAAAGGAGGCAAGCTCAAAACCCTTGCCACTCCCCCGTGTAGCCTTCACAAGCCAAATCTCTTTCCTACCCTCTCCAGCATCCAACCAAGAGATCACGTGCACATGACGTGCTCAAACAAGCCCAACCCTCGAGCGCGCGAGCGTTGTTGTTTTGTTGACGAGCATTGTTTTGTGTCTACTGCCTGTTTTTGCGACATTGTTTGGATACGCTGGCTTTGGTGCGGTTCAAAAGATGAGCATAATGAGTGCTCGAATGCGCAGGACCATTAATTTCTTTTCCAGGACAGGCGTCTGCTTGATGCAGTAACCGCGGAGACACGAACGCATGCGAAACGCCAGCACATTAGCTCGGCGTCTCGTTGCAATTCACGGGGAAAAAAATGAAAAAGACAAACACATTCTCCTATTGCGTCTCAATATGTATCCCAAGTTTTATTAATCTCCTCAAGCAACAAATTACATTAACTACGCATGTCACGTTAAATAATTTCCGCCATGTCACGTGCCACTGTTGGCAGCGTCAGAGCACAGTCGTCTACATAGAGGACCAACGTCACTGCACTGCTGTGTATGTAGGGCGATTCATACGTGCACATCATACCCTCCTTTTCTGGGGGCGCGACCTCAAAAAAAGGGGGAGAAGCGTTCGTCGTGAAATTTGACCCATTTTCGCGTCGCATAGAGTTGCAATGTTTGGCAGACGTGACCATAAACTCCCGATGTACGCATTGCACTTGTCAGCTCAAAATCGCCAAACCCGGTGAGTGGCCCTTTAAAGAAAAGCAAAAATTAGAGGAAGAAACATGAAGAATGGTTAGAAATTTTGCCATATGTCTACACCAAAATGGAATGCTATTATTAATTAGGAGAATGTATCTTTTCCTTGGCAACCAGCAAACATGACTAAGAACACACGAATACTTTTTTGTCCAAGTTAGCTGCTAAAGAGCCGAGACAAGCTCCATGAAATCCTCTTGAGCAACCTGCACAAGTAATGTCCAATACTACCCCACTATATTGTGGTTGCCGGCAGACACAATGTAACTTGTAAATACTATCTCTTGGCTGTACGCGAGCAGCCATGGAGTTTATGAGGGGAAAGTCTTCGATCATACCATTCTGTATGCATTGCTGCAAATGTTTGCGTAGCATAACTTGGTTAGGGTTCAAAGTTTCTGGTTTTCTGTCTGACGCTATATAATACATGTTAGCAATTGCAAACAAGCCACAGTCAAGTGTGTTGCACTGGTTTTGTGCCTTCATTGTTTGAATGGTTAATGTTGGCAATTGTAATTTTAGAATATGACAGATTTGCCTAACAGCATCAGAAGAGGTATCTTGATCAATTGAATCATATATGGAGACTGTGTTTTTGCCCGCACCAACATTTGTTACTGTAAGCCAATGATTGGGGTTCTGAACATGCTAGATTTGAACGAAAGGGCCTTTGATTTGAGTGAATTGTAAACATCGTCCCAGTAAGACATCTTGAAAGCCGACACAAGTAGGATATTTTTTCTGAATTAAATACTGTGCGACATTGATTATGCTATCTGATATGGAGGTGCCCTGTACCAGAACATTTAAATCTGCATTTGAAAGAGAATACCGTTTGTAGACATTTAGAATGTCTACTTTAACCGTTGCAAGGCCTACCTTTTTTACTTGATTTGAAAAAAATTTACGCTTGACAGCTCTCACTTTTTTTGGCTGCCCCCTTCTTGCTTTAACCAAAGGTACCACAAGTTTTGTACTGTTAGAATGCCCAAGATAACTTGTGGCAGTAGTTTGTGCTAACTGAGCTGGTGCAGCCTTTATGGCTGCTGAAGTTTGGTTACGAGGAAATGTGGTTAAATTTCTGAAGAAAGCCTCGCAGGACGAAAGTTTTTCCATTAACTCCTTCTCACCACAATTAGATAATACGTTAGCCACGGTTTTTCACATTTCGCAGACTCCTATAAGCATAAGTATACTTCTCTTGTGCAGTGTCAAGCTTCACACAGGGTGGTGACTGAATGCTGCTTGTTACCACTGGTGTGGCACTAGTGGTTGCGCAGCTGTCACTCAGGAAATGATCCTTGCACCACCTGTCTGGTATGCAAGCCTTGTCAAAAAGATCTTGCTTAGTAAAGTCACGCACTGCTAAAATATGTGCACAAGGCAGAGTGTACTGGTTATAAAAAGCACATGTGCAAGAAGTCACGCACAATGAAACACTGTACTGTGATCTTGGTGAAACTACAACATAAGAATTAGGAGTGGAAGTGACTTGATAACTTACATTTTTAAACTTCTCATACTGCTCTAGTACTTTACTTGTAGCCTCAGAAGTGCAATTACGGGACAATTCTAGCTGAAATGGGTCATTGAAATCATTTATGTTTAGGTTGAGCTTCATTTTTTTAAGCTTAGAGAACTGTAGAGATAAAGAATCATTATCAATGTAACCTACTGATGATTCTATTGCTCGAACCAAATGCATGCTTGAAGAGAGATAATTTTTAATCTTTTGATTGTGGCACTCAATGCGATTATTAGTATTATTACTAAATGTAGGAAGGGCTTGCCGATATGCATGTACCCACATTTCCTTACACAAGTGCCAGTTATGCATATAGTAAGAAATGAAATCTGTGCAAGTCATAGCTTGGAGGTTAGCAAGCTCATCAAAGTAGTCTTGCTCAGTGGGGGAATAAACTAAGCTTTTTAAGAGAGGAAGCAACTGATCACGTTGCTGTCTAGCTTTTTCATTAACCTTTTGCTGGAAACAATGCAACACATGCCACGTACACAAAAGTATGTTAGAATTAGGAAGAATACTGGTTAAAATGCGCAGTTCATTGAGATCTTTATCAATCATCACTACCGTATTTACTCGCGTAATCCTCGCACTCGCACAATTCTCGCACCCCCCACATCGCCGAACAAAAATACGATTTCTTTTTTTCCTCGAGTGATTATAGCACCCCCAAAAACTGCTGCAATAATGTCGTCTGCTCTTTCTAGCTACTGATGGTGATAGCGCAATTCATCTGGCGCCACCTCTTAAGCATCAAGCGTACTATTGCACAGAGATTCAATCCAACTCAAGCGAAGCCGAAGTGGCCAGTGCGCGTTGCGGCGTGTTTTGTATGTTGCGTCGGTACCCTTGTCAAGTTATGAGGCGATACTGAAGCTGTACGGCTGCTTTCAAGTTGCAAGTAATAGATAATGCACTAAAGAACGGCAACAGGGCCACTTGTAGGCCCTTGGGATTGATGGTAAACTTCATTTCTTACGAAGGAAACTGCGGAAAATTCTGTTAAATAGCCATCAGCCCAATACTGACGTCCCACGCTTACCTTTTGAGGGCTCCTGTTGAGCGACGAACGCTACCGCTACGCCCGCAACGTCCGCAAGCTTTGCATATGGTATTCTAATTCTCGACTATTTGCTTCCACTTTTTGTGTCTCAATGTAATCTTGTCTTGTGTTGAACTTCTGCTTTTATTGTTGAGGTAAGTTTTACCTAGTACTTCTTAAAGCTTGCTGTTAGATGTTGGTGTGAGAATCCCGATTTGCGGCCACTTCGTTTTTTTTCCGCTTTGTACGTTTTTTTAGAAAGTTTTCCCCGCGTAATTCTCGAACCCCCGAACTTTTCATCGGTTTTCCGGCAACAAAAGTGTGAGGAATATGCGAGTAAATACGGTACTTTGCAAGCAGACACAACAAATGGGTTGAAATCTACAAACTTTGTGAACATGGGCTCAACAATTTCAGTCGTCTCATTTCGTAAGAAGGCATAACACACAGATCTCCCACGACCATCTTGAACTAATATAGAGTAAAGAATATAACCCTCAATATTCACTTTATACGTTCCATCAATAAATAGAATCTCTGGATACTTTTCTAAAATCTCACACATGTGCATTTAAATAAACTTTGCTACCACCACCATATAGTGTACTTACTGGGTTATTGAGGACAGTTGGGTTGGCACCAGTGTTTACACAAATAGCCTGGGCACCAGGGCTGGCAGGCCTGCTTCTGAATGTCAAAGCAGCCTCACAATACTTGTACTGCACAGCTGCAGTGCACCCAGCTTCCATAGGGTCACCAGCCTCTGTGCCAGGATCGCGCTCAATTCGCATGAAATCCCGAGTCAGTGCTGGTAGATGGCTTTTGCAGACAGAAACCTCGTTCACAGCGTCATTCGTGGCAGATTCACAGTGAGTTGCGGAACTAACTGAGCAGTCTTTCAACTGCTTGCTAGGAACGCGCTGCACCTTTTTAAAACTATCACGAATGACGTTGTGCGAGACACTGGCTCGTCCTTCAGGCTTTCTACCACAGACAGCAGAAGAAGCAGACTGAATTTGTTTCTGGCTCACAACTGCTGTCATAGGTGAAGTGGACCTGATGGACTTGACAGCTGTTACAGCAAGAACTTTGCCTTCACTGTCTGCACACAGTTTAGAGCTCTGTTCTTGCTTGTGCAGTGCCGCAGCCTTCCGCCGGCTCTTCTTTGACTGCACCAGTTTCCACTCACTGTCGCCACACTGGCCGACAGCCTGTGGTACAGCTGCTTTTCCAGCACTGGCCTCCTCTTCCCCCACAGAAGAGCGCACAAGAGCACTCTCATGCTCCTGTGAGGTTCTCCTTATTTTCCTGTCACAAGTGGTGCTTTCACCTCGACTAGGGATCATTGGCTGAACAGGCCTTTCCCCAGTGTTTCCCTTGCATGGTACACTTGTGCCATGGAAAATGGGGGAAGGCAGGCTGTCCCAAGTCCACCAAGCCTTGCTTCCCTTGCAGGGAACGCGGACACCGCCAACGAGCGTAAAGCCAATACCATGAATGGTACTGGCCAGTTGGTCAGTGTCGTGTCTCTGCATGAGAGCACTGCTGGTTTTCCAGACAGGAGCTGGTGCAGCGGAAGGTTCACCTACTGCTGGAGAATATTGAACTGCATGCATACCAAGTGCTGGAAAATCGACTTCCAAGTTGATGGCAAAGTGCTCCTGCCGAGCCCACCCACTCCATGCAGATGCCTTGGACTCCTTGTAGGACTGTTGGATGTGTCTCCTCTCTAGATGGGTGGACAAGGCACAGGCCTGCCGGTGCAGAAAGTCTGCCAGCACCTTGTTGCCAAGCCGGCTGGGGTGGACACCATCCCTGCTCAGGAATCCAGGCCAGCTGTCCACAAGACTATCCAGGATAGTGAAGCCCCTCTCCAGGCAAAGCTGTGCGAGTGCGGCATTCACATTCCTGTAGTGGTCAGTCATTATTATAAGTTACCACGAACAATGCATTGCAGTAATACGGCCTGCCGGAAAGAAAAAAAACGTAAGACCAGCTTTTGGAGGATTGAAACTATTTTTTATTCTTCAACTACTGCTACAAATCATAAACCACACTCTCCGATTCAGACATAATGTATTTACATGGTTGTAGGTCACTTCAAATGTAGGTCGACTCTTCTAAAATTGCGAAAAAAAGGAAACTAAATGTGCAAGAGCATTTCATAAAGGAAACTTATTTACTACAATGCCGATGAAGAAAGCAAACTCGAGATATAGCATGCGAAGGAGCTTTTATGGCTGGTGTTTCACAGCTATGCAGAAAAGCTACCTTTGCAACAGTATGCAAGGATAGTTCTTAGAAAATTTTCTGCATATCATTGCTAAGGGTGTAAGTGGTACGCAATAAAATACAATATATGATACAGACTGAGCCATAATATAAACTAAATCTCATACTAATGCCACAACAAGTCTGATATGTTATTCATTTCAGCATTTAATTGACCTTACAACCAAATCTTTTCTGTTTCAATTTTAATTGAACCCTCAAATTCGAATTTAGGCACATGATCTTAGAGATTCAGACTACACTCGAGTCGACTTACACAATTGATGCATATGAAATGTTTGAACTGGAGAGTATAGTTTATGATTTATAGTAGCAGTTGATACACAAGAAAAAGTATTGATCCTCAAGACCTACTCTCGCGTAAACATTGTGCAACTTGAACAAAAATACAATGATAAGATGAAATGCAGAATGTACAAGTGCACACACACAAAAAAACAATCGTGAACATAGGGTCAATCATTGTGGTAGATAACTTAAATCACATGCACAGCACACCTATTATTCTTGTATGTAGCATTTTTCTAATGTAAGACATCTGCTAATGAAAGCACTATCAATATAAAATTAAATAAAACCCAACTGGAAGACCTTCTGGAAGCAGCCTTAATACACAAAATACAAACAACCGCATGATCAGCCTTTAAATGCGTTACTGTAACAAGTACTGCTGAATGCTGAAATGTCCGAGAAAGGCAGAGACAGCAGGACGTACATTGGCAAGTGAAATTCTGTGATCACACATGTGAACACCGCAATATCATTACGAGGCATGATGCCTCAAGAAACATTGCATTAGTTTTGACCATGTGGAGTTTCTTGACATGTATTTGATTCTAAATACACAGTCATTTATGAAATACAGACAAGCACTCAGATATCTGTCTTCTGTCATGCTTAAGTTCTACTCGTGCTGCACTACCAACTAACCCACTTCGAAGTTCTGCTTAATAGCAGCTTGGTACCTATACCGAGCCACTGTGGTAATCACAAGTAGACCTAAATGTGCAAAAAAAAAAAACTGAAATTGCAGTGATAGTGCACATCATTGTGTCAGGGCAAATTTATATTTTAATACTAATACCTGTCTGTCCCAGATTAAATAGTTTTTCCGAGATATACTGGTGTCTGTTCCTAAGAAAATGCAAAGCTTGCAGTTGATAATTTCAGGACTGCCACATACCAATCAGCCTGTATCCCTGCTGCAGCACAATAGGCATCAGGGAATTGAGGGCGGCTTCTGAGATTCGATACGTCCCAACTGGATTCGGCAGCAATGCATCTCGTGAAAACTTGTACATTGAAAATGCGTATGTAATGTAAACCAGCACAGTGCAAAGTGTATGTCTCGTAGAATCCAGCGAAACCAAGATGAATTCTGAAAAGACGGGAACCAAACTGAAAAGATGGGGCTTAGGAAAAAACAGCAGCAGCTGTCCCATCCAGTCTCTTCCTTACCGTTCCAGTTGGTTTTGCTGGATTCCACTAAAGTCAACGTGCATTGCTTATGCATTCTTTGGCCAACCAACTTATATTACATAAATGTTTGGTGGCTAAGCAAAGGACAGGCAAGGGCAAAATGCAAACATGCGCCAGCAAACACCAAACTGGTGTGCTGCATTTTGAAGGTTTCACATTGCACACCTGTATGCCTTGGCCATTGCCGGCTTAAAAAACTAAAAAGCGTCAGATGAAGCTAGAAATAAGGATTGTGTAAGACGCAGGTGTCTGACCACACAGCATAAAATTTCTGGTTGGCAATGCTTGCAATCTAGGATATGCACTAGCATATTTCTCTTATGAAGTACAATATGTTGCAAACCACATGTGCAAAAGGAAATTGGATAAAAAAAATTTGGAGGGCATATACCGTCATGCCAATAGGGATAAACAATGCAACGAGACATTAACAATGTCAACAATTACAACACAATGTCAATGCAGGTGCCATTGATGGTGGTTGCGTTGGGGTTTTCAAGGGAGATGCATTTGAGTCCGTACGTTTCTGGCATGTGATGCCTCAACCAATGTTTGTTGGGGTCTGTAATGTCAACGTTGAAGTCACCAACTAGCATGAAAGGTTTCGACTTGTCATATATACACATGTCTCTGTCGATGAACAGTTTGATGTCTTCAATGGGAAGATTTAGTTCCAGGTACAGTATCAAGACGGTGATGCCACCAAAGTCGATTGCAGCACTTTCTTCATCGTCGCTATGTGTGCAGAGTGATAGTTCCATATCTCAAGCTTCTTTGGCTTGCTTTACGTAAACTGCAGCACCACCGGCAGGTCGTACCGAGTCATCGATGGATACGACTGGTGCATAGCCCTTGATGTAGAGGCGTTTGGCGTTCCAGGTCTCGGTGAAGCAGAGCATGTCGACTTCGGTTAAGATGGGGTCCCGTTCCACATCTTGGTAGCGTGCATTGAGAGAAGGGATGTTGAGGAGGGCAAACGTGAACTCGGCAGTGTGATCGACATTGCTTTGCAGGGCTTGACGGTATCGCTGCGTGACTGTAGGTAGCCAATGTTGGTCGAGCTGTTGGAATTCGTTAGCCATGGCTCTGTACTCGTTGTTCGCCTTGTGGTATAACTTGTGGTCTTCTTTTGCATTCGTGAGATAGAGGTTATTTATACTCGTGCACCTAGTGAGTGCGACGTAAACTAATTTCTGTGGGTGTGTCTTACTGTATTTGTAGACAATGGACGTGTAGGTGGCACCTTATAATTAATGTACAGTGATTGCACTAGCTTGCACTAATGGGAATTGCTTTCTCTTGCAAGAGACGCCGGTTTTTTCGATCGAGAGTGAGTGTCATAACTCGAGGTTCTATGTGAACCCAGGAGTTGTCAACGACGTAACCACTTCGTCTGGCTTCGTCAGCTGCATAGGCGCATCGCTGACGAGTAAGCCTACCGGTCGTAGCCACATCGGCAGTTAAGTGCAACCACGAACAGCAGGATCTTGGCGGCGACGTCATGCAGATTCCCGGCGCGCTTCTGCCTCTCGGGCTCTAACTTCAGGTTTCTGTTTGCGAGCGCGCGCCGCCGCTGCCTCGCGTTCTCTCACATCCGGGTTTGACTGGCGATATGCGCGCTTCCTCGCCGCTTCCCATCGACGAACGTTTGCAAGATCTGCTTTGCGACGTTGACGTGCAGCTTCGGCCTCTCGTTCCCGTACGGAAGGATCTCGCCGACGCTGACGTGCCGCTGCAGCTTTTTGTTCGCGTACGGCGGGATCTTGCCGACGCAGCCATGCTGATGTGGCCTCTCGTTCTCGTACAGCAGGATCTTGCCGACGCTGCCGTGCCGCTGCAGCTTCTTTTTCACGTACGGCGGGATCCTGCCGACGCTGCCTTGCTGCTGCGGCTTCTTGTTCTCGTACGGCGGGATCTTGGCGGCGACGTCGCGCAGCTTCCCGGCGCGCTTCTGCCTCTCGGGCTCTAACTTCAGGATCTTGTCTGCGAGCGCGCGCCGCCGCTGCCCTGCGCGCCCGCCTTTCGGCATCCGTATCCATACGAGCACACACCGACGGGGCAAGGTTTTGTTTGGTAGGTGTTTTGTGGTTCTGTTTTGCCAACAAATAAACAGAAAAGGCGTTGGTTTAACGTTGCATAAATCAGTTGCCAGACTTTGGGGTGGTTGTTGCCAGACTGCTACCAAATATAGCGAAGAAGTTTGCCCCTGTAGTTGTGGCTTTTTCGTGAGAATTCCGTGTCGTCCTCGGTGGATTTTATGAGTGCGTGAGCTATGTTGGCCGTTTCAATTAACAAAATGAACGTAAAACGAGCGTTCCAGAAGTCGGGGCGCGTTATCTTGCTGTGTGCGCAGCTGTGCAATTAACAGGGGGACGACGGGCAAAACTGAATAGAGTCGCAGCAGGTGGTGCGCTGCCCCCCCCCCCCGCATATGCATTCATTATTTGGAATTTTGGTCGTTTGTGCTTATTGTGGGTGCGACCCTGCAAGCAACGGCGGCTCGTCGGCGGGGTCCTATTTACAGGTACGCGCGAGTCACGCTTAATTCGCTGCAACTGCGTCGACAAAGCAGCCGTCCAGGCGTATATAGCTGTAGCATATCCGACGTACTCCGATTAGCCAGCCTTGGGACGTTTATTCGTTACATGTACACGAGTCCGAACGATATGTCTTGTGCTGACACAGCTAGGGGAAGCGTAGCGTCCCCCGTCGTAGCGCGCGGTCGACGCGACACGATCAGCTGAGAAAAAAAAAAGTAAGGGGGGAGGGGGGCAGCGCATCACCTCCTGCGACTCTTCAGTTTTCCCCGTCGTCCCTAATACTGAGACGCGATCTCTTAATTGCACAACTGCGCACACAGCAAGAGAACGCGCCCTGACTTCTGTAAAGCGCGGTTCATTGCGTTAATTACGTCGCAAACACACTCGCGAATTCATCGCACTCGCGAAATGCACGGCGGACGACGCGTCCTTGATTCCCTAACTCTGAGACACAGCAGCACACAGCTAGAAAATGCGTCCCAACGTTTGCAAGGCGCGGTTCATTCCGTTCATTAAAACGGCCAGCGTCGCTCATGCACTCGCAAAATGCACCGCGGACGACACTAAATTTTCACGGAGAAGCCACAACTACAGGAGAAAATTTCTCTGCCAAATTTGGCAACAATCTGGCAACACTGACCCTACAAGTCTGGCAACAGTTCATGCAACGCTTAAACGAACCTCGCTCGTTTTCCTACTGGGACATGCCAATGACTACTGCTAACGGGGAATGAGAGACAGGAAAATTCGGCTTTTAGTTAACGCGCACGCTGCGAATTTCTTATTGTTCAACAATGCACAAGAGAAATCTCCCACCGGCACCACCTTGCTGGTCAAAGCGTAAGACATGTTACCTTCTACGACGAGGAACGAACGGGTGCCGCTTTAAGGAGCTTCGCCCCTAAGCTCAAGAGACACGTATGGAGATCCTAAACTCGTGGCTCACACCCACCCAGGGGGATCGGCCAAGAATCGGGTAGCTTACCAAGAAAAAAAAACAAAAAACGAATGTATAGAATTAAATACTGGCGAAACAAAAATTAACAGAAATATTGTTTCTTAATTATTTTTAAGAAAAAAATTGATGAATTACTTCCTACTGACTGAGCAATAAATGATTAATATCAAAGAAAATTTTTCAATAGCCTACATGGGTAAACTGGGAACCTTTCGGAATTGAGGTTTTGGTATTGAAGTAATTCTCTTAGACTGTACAATGAAATTTTGCACGGTTGCCCACACTTTCCCGTTGCTGTGCCCTAGGGTGTGTGCACCGAAGGATAGTAAATTTGACGTTGTCAAAGCTAGGCCGAAGATTCGTAATGGTATTTCTAGTGATACCTTTTTTAATGTTGAAAACTTTCTAGAAGAGATGAAAAAGTGCTCCACAGTTTCCTCTTCCCCACAAAAAGAACAAAGTGGAAAGGGAGTAAAACCTCTGCTCTAAACAAATAAAAATTTAATGGAGAAATACGACAGCGTAATCGAGTGAGTGATTAAAACTTCCAGGCATCGGTTATGACATGAGGAAGTTTTCCAGGGTGTCATGCCGTCGTTATCGCGCGTATCTTTCTCGCTGAAAAATGCTACGTATGAAGCAGGCTCACATCCGATGGCAGGTAGATGAGCTCCGTTGTTTAGCAGAATCTTCGAGGACATCGAAAGAGCCATGGCTCGCCCAAGGAGTCGAGTACACGGAGATTACGACTTGAAAAGTAAGACGTAAACAATTTAAACGTGCGCCAGAGGTACAGTCTAGCCACTGTACCAGAGGATATCAGACGCTCTAGGTGAAAAACAAGCACAGTTGCCTGGTGGCCCGGTCCCGCATTGAAGAAGGCGCCAGAAACGGCCAATATGTTGAAATCAGGAAAATCGAAACTGAAAGCATAAAAGCAACACTCGCACTTTGACTTAAAAAAAATCTACAAAAATATTTTATGCTGGGACGACAAAAAATGCAGGTCGACGACCCTGAATATTTAAGTGAAGTTGTAGATCAGTAGTTATAAATTTTTAGAATCTTTTATATGCCATCTGAACAGTCGTGCTTACGCCTAAAACTAAGAAATTTAACCAAACTATTTTGCCGCTGACCATATTGCTAACGATGCTAGCGCCATCTAGCAATAGTGGCATTGTATTGTTTTAAACTCAAGTGCTTTATTTTAGTCAAAGTTCAATTATATGACGTAAAAAATAAAACAAATAAATACTTGAAGACATTTTCATACGCGTTTTTACTTTTTTGCTGTAAAAACTTTTTAGTAATATAACTTTTTCTGCACTGCGGTTTTTTATCAACATTTTCTTAAAGTAAGAATAAATTCTTAATTTATATTTATAACAAATTACTATTAAACGAAGTTTTCTGCTACACTGAAATCCACTGACCACGAATCGAGTTACAACAAAGAGACGCAAACAAACCAGCAAAACAGTATGCTTTTCAAGCATGGCGGCTGTCGAAAAGCCAGCAGCGGTTACTCCGTGCCCGCAAGTTGGCGCAAAGGACGTAATCGAGAGTGAGTCGATCCCACTACCACCACTCAAAGCATGTCCCAAGTTGAACAACTTCGCGGGCCTCGCGACTGGCAGCGGTTTACCTCGCGCGTGTCTCGTTCCCGATCGTCCAAAACACAAGAGGCACCGCCAGCTCTCTCGGGAAGTCGCATCGAGCTTTCGGTTGAGCTTTTTGGTTCACCTCGTAGCGATCGAAACGTGGTGTGCCCGCTGCATCGCGGCAGCGCTTGAAATCGGTTTCTCGATAGCGCTGCCTTTGGCAGCGGCGAAAGTCCGCGAGGTGCCCGTCAGATTGTCAGCGAAGTGTCAATCGGCACCATCCTCCGCGTTGTGATCAGTGGTGTGTTTTTCTGTCGCGTTTGTGGTGCGTTGCCGATCTTTGATGATGTCGCTCGACCGACCGTGCCTCCCACTTACGACTGCCTCTGCAACAGCTTCGCAGAATGGAAAGGAAAACGCGAACGAAAGTCCCAGGGAGAGCCTCCTGGAGAAGCTCCGGGCCAAGGCCAAACACTACAAGCCTTGGGGGGACATGGCCAAGGCGCTCCGCATGGCTATCATGGTGAGCTGGGCTGTTTGAATGCTGCGCTTTGCGTGGTATCGCGTGGGTGAGTTGTGCAGTAGCTGTCGCTTGCCGACGTATGTGAACGCCTAACGTTTTGTGCGTGCTTCACGAGAATGAACGGCCACAGTTAAATAGAAGAGTCTCGGAACGTGATGCGCGTTGACTTGTAGTCTTTGAAATATTGTTACGATATTGTACACATTCGACGAGCCACCTTACGGCGTGTTTGCAGGTGTTACATACTCCAGCTCTCGTTCCGAAGAGTCAATTGCCATGAACTCAGTTTTGCGTGTGCCTAAATTTGAAAAAAAAAAAAACAAAACAAAAAAAGAGATACATGTAACCTTAATGACTGCAACTTGACTAACAGCGAATGTCGATGTATTGCAACACAAACGATGTACGCCGCTTTTCTACGAAGTAAAACTCCACACTCATTCATGTCATCTTGGCATGACTAAATATATTTACTGTTGCGAAATGTACAAGCATGTAAGTGTGCTTCCGTGCTCAAAGAACCGACATCTGCCACATGCCAGCCTACAGTTCTATCCTAAAGATGTAATTCAATGTCGTAAGTAATAAAAAGCCATTGTATTTAAAATCATGCAGCTTTTGTGGAGAGAAGCCCGGGCAAGTTAATTGCTGGGCCTGGTGACATCTGCTGTTATGTGATAAGTTTTGTGCGTCTCAAAATTTAGATGCCTAACAGAGCATTCAGGAAGGGCAGTTAGCTTCCTCCGTGGTGGCCGCAAGAGAGCTGGGACACCGCTACGCGTAGTTTGCAGTGACGTTATCGTGGCCACCATCTTAGGGCAACCAGCTGGTTGAGATGCTGCGTGAACTCTTACTCAAAGAAATAGGTGACATCAGATTAGTGCCGGAGACCCTCGTGTGTTTTTGTGTTCCGCTTTGATGCGGCTCACAAACGGAAAAATGTGGGGAGAGCCCAAACGAAGGCAGGTACTGAACGACTATTTGTCCTTTTCTGCACTGCCACTTTCTAATAAGGTAAGAATTCGCGATTGCCGCTATCTTAGGGCCTCCAGCACAGAAAACTTGTCTGTGACATCACGTGAAAAACCATGTAACATGTTCTAGTTAACTGCTCGATTCTCTTAATTATGCAATGACGCAACTAAAGCTGCCTAAATATTCTCATTCCAGCAGATATTTCTTGAAGGGCACGATTCCTCTGCTTACGTGTGTCGCTAACACCATTCGGTGATTTGCTTGCATTGACATTCTTCAACTGATGCTTCCTGCACAATTTCTTTTTTCTTACTTTTCTGTGCTATGTGTTGAATGTTGTTTCAGTGGAACTTTCTCTTGACTAGATTAGATTTTCCTCAGTCAATCAGGGCATAGTGCCTTGGGTTGTTTGCTGTGAAAGAAAAAAAAAAAAAAAGCTTATAAACTGGTGCTGCTTATAAAATGCTAAATAACTAAAGTCTTGTTCACTATTTGCTGCCTCAGAGTATTTCACCAATATCATGTTGTGACCTGATTGAAAGTATTCAAACTTTAAATATGACACTTAACATTTCTGGCGCCTCCATCTATGCTACAGGAAAAACATCACTTGGTGGACAGCGCCGAGCGCAGCCAGTTGCAGAAGTGCCTTGACATGATCCAGAAGTCTATCAAAGGTACTCATTGCTTCATGGTTGACTTGAAGTTGAGAAACTGCCGAGCATAATCATCTGTACAACTTGTTCATCCAACGAGTGAAGATGGCACTGGCTGGCATCCTTTTGATGTCATGATACAATATGGTGTAGCTTGTATTGACATTTTAACTACTCTGAACACATTGGTAGATGTAGCTTGCCAATATTAGATGCTACCCCATATTTCAAAACTTTTTTTTTCTTTGATTTCTTGCATAGCTCTTAGACAAACTGTTGCTAAATATGCTACTTGCAACAAATACTAGTTCATCTATATGCATTTGATTCCGACTTGGGAGGATGTAAACAGTCATAAAGGCTTTATGACAACTCATTTGCTGAAAAACTATGCAGTAAATGGGTAACTGCACACCATTTTTTCCCTAATATGTTGTCCTCTTCTTTTGGCAAGAATGGCACACACACAAGCCTGGAAATTTGCTATTTTAAATTTTACTTCCTTTGTACATGTAGTAAAGCTGTTCCATTCCCAAAGAAAGCAAGAAACTGATATTTCATGCCACCATACAGAGCTAAATATGCAGTGCGAGCATTGTTTACGCACTCCATTTGAAACCCACTTCTGTCAAGCATGAAGTTGTATTGTAATGCCACATGTCTTCTACATGACAGGTGTTAATTAACCGTACATAAGTGCTTGTGACACTTTCACTGCTTTGTTTCGTGGAGTGGACTTTACGCAGACTGGTTATGACATTTGGAGTTCTTGAGTGTCACGCGTTAGTCCATACCAGTACTAATGTCTTTCTGGTGTTGAAAGGCCCAGCTGAAAAACTTTTCTTTGAAGCTTTCTTTTTTGCATGTTACACCGTTCATTTATGATTTCCAGTGACTTCGATGCAGTCCATGATAGAGAGGCTGGACACCATCACACGACAACAAGGGTGAGTTTGGCTATGAGGACACTCTTGGGGAAGGCTATGTGCTTACGATATGGCATGTTCCAGCCTCATGTTTACAACGGGTCCTGGAGGCCAGGAGTGCTTCATTAGCTCAGACATGTTCTATGTGGAAGTCCTGCTGGAGCCCAGTGGAACTGTGAACGACGTCAAGATTTCCCACCACGGAGATCCCCTGGTGAGCAATACTGTCTGCTCTTAGCGCGAGATTGTCGGCAATATATTGCGACTACCTTCACACATGATTGCGTGTGCCAGATTATTTCTTGTGCCACATTGTATTTGCTCTTTTATTTTGAGGTCCCGGTATCTTTTTGCAATTTTTTCGTGTGTTTATGCACGGGATATCCTGTACATGACACAGAAAGCTCCAAATTTTAGCTTCAAAATAGAATGGAGCCACATGCCTGAGGCAGGCTGGACAACGTTTTGATTGATGAAGGTTGCCACTTTGTCGGTTAAATTTTTCGAGGCATTGTTAATTCAATTTGTGGGCAAATAGATTAATAATGATCTGAGTACTGTGGCTGCTTTAGTGCAGTTCTTTATTGTTCATCACTCTGAAGTAGACTTTTATTAAATGAAACATGAAAAGACTAAAAAATATGTTCTATTTAATGGCAGTTATGTTTGCTTAGTGTTCAACAGGATTGCAGAATACAACTGTGAAACCAATCTTGCAGAAGTGCACATACAAGTACCAGCGCTCATTACTTAGTATGAAGTGCTCATTACTTGGTATCATGTTTATATTTGATCTCCTTTCTGGTTTGAACACAACCAGCATGCACTAGTGCTGAAATTCTGTGTGCAATTAGTCTAAGTGTTATGTGTTGATTTCATGTCCATACAATAACTCATCCACTTTCTTAAATGTAATACAGTTTTTTTCCTTTTTCGTACTGGCTAGCAGCACCATCTCTCTACACTAGGTCTTTTGACTTACACATGTTTTGTTTGTTAACAAAAAATTGCAGTACCAGCATTTCTGTTGTATTGAATCAAGTCAAAGATGTTGCAATGGCGTGACTTCTGTGCAACTAAAGCGTGCGTCATCGCTTGTAGCAAGTACCTGAATGATGTGTTTCTTTCTCTCTCTCTTTCTCCTTCACAATAGAGCTGTCCCGAGCTGACGCAAGTGCTTTTGTGAGTGAAGTCACTCTTTCTTTGGCCTCTGCACTGGTTGGTATTTTTGCTAAGAGCTTTCTTTGTTTTGTGTGTGTGTGTGTTTAACCCAGGCGTGGAGACTTTGCCGAGTTTACTAAACACCTCGAAGGGCTGGCATCAATCTACCAGCTGAATGCCGACAAGTGAGTTCACTTTGTTTCAAAGAAAATTTTGACCCTGAGAGAAGTGGCTTTAAAAAAATGCAAAAGTTGCTTACCCAAAATTTTCAGGCTTGCTCCATGGAGATGCGACATTTGTGCCTCTGAATACTTAATGCACCCAAAGAAATCTTGAACCGTGAAAGGTTTATTGATTTGAACCAAGAAAGTTGAGATATTGTGGTACAATAAAGAGTGCCCAATGCCATACAAACCATAGTTAAAATGTCAAAGTTATGAAAAAGCTATTGAGTCGTTATATGGGGTGAAGCCGTATTTGTCAAGGTCAGTTAATTATGTCTCAATTGCTTTCTTGCTACAGAAAACAGAAGACCAAGGCGTACCTGGCTCTTCAGGCCTTAGAGACTGACTTGAGCATCCTGTCTCAGTTGCAAAGGTATGAAAATGCATGTGAAGATCATGCTGTATTTAGTATTTAGTTTTGTGCTGTTCCCTCTATTTTGATTTCTCACAATAGATGTAGCATTGTACTTTATTAGAAGCTTGCAGGTTCAGTCGTAGCAGCCGTAGCCACATTTCATTTCAAGAAGAAGCATGCAAATTTTTCTGCGCCATGCTTTGGATGCTCATTAAAAGACCTCAGGTGGCGAAAATTAATCTGGAGCTTGTCCAGTTGTGCCCATTACTGGTTGCGCAATTATGAGACTTTGAATACCACAATCTAAATTTCTTTTTCAATCTTATCTTTTATTCAAGCATTGCAACGCCATGTCAGCCTCTTTCTTTTACAACATTCCCAGGTTAACTTGATTAAGGAAGACTGTCTAGATCTGGTGTAAATTTAACCCATCTTGACTTCCGGTCATTTGTAGGAACTTGTGTTTTATGAAGCATCATTCCCATTCAGACTGATCTCTTTCTTTTCAGCTTTATGAATGAGCCAAGCAACCTTGTTCACAAGTCTCCGGTTGGCATCTTGCAGCCGCGCAAGGGAGGTTTGTGTAATAAATTTTTTTTTTAGATGCTGCCTTTGTTGCGATTGCTTTGCTTACCCTGCTGTGTTGGCCTGTTAGGAGCGCTTCAAATGAATGTTCGTCGTAAACATGCACATTCTTTTGGTGGCTCAGTCTTTTGGCTGCAAAATTCTGCAGGCCACTTTATTTTATAGGAGTGCGATACAGTTACCTGCTCTGAGATTGTTTTCAAACAACCATTCTTTTCATTTCGCCTTTTCACAACAATTTTAGCTCCCATGTGTGACCAGCCCTGCATTACTGTTGATTTTTCGTTCCTGTGTAACGGTTTACTGAAATGCTTCCATCACTACAGCAGTCCTTGAGGCTTGCTTCTTAATTGATTTCGTCAAGCTGTGTGTGACTGTAAACGAATATTGTTTGTCCCAAGCTGTGGCACCAGTAATACCTCTGACCCCCCATGTCTCTCTTCTTTCTTTCAGGGCATCCTATGAAACTCACATTCTTTATCTCGCCTTACGACTTACTCGACGTGGACAGCCAATCCTCTATTCCTCTGACAGTCGAAGGCAGGTGTTTCACTGCTACCATCGTTTGTGTTTGTTGCAGACACTGTGCGGACGGAGTAATATACACCTTGCGTAATTGTAGAGTTCGACTTTCTGTTGTGCAGTTTGCCTTACTCATGGCGGCTAGTCACTTCAAACAGCGTGTTCAAGAGCAGTTTGCTTGTGCTATGATGTGGAAAGCGTAAACTTGGCTCTCTTCACATCATCAGGCATAATAGACAAGCTTGAGCATGTGCAACTAGATCTCCACTTCAAGCAGAACAGGTGCCACCATTAGTTTGGTGAATGTGCAGTGCAGGGAAGCGCACTTGTGGATTGTATAAAGAGTCAATAGGCATGTTGAACTCCTCATGTTCTTTCTACAAAGGGAGGAAGACATGCTTCGATTGGGGACTGCATGAGTATGTTCGAGCACGAATTTAAAGCCATCTTGTTTGGCCTGTGCAAATGTTGGAAGTCCTTTGAATTCGAATTTGCTTCAACACAAATTTCAAATTTTTGAAATTCTGAAGTTTTAAATGAACTAATAAACATAATTATCTTATAAACCACCTGAAAAGGAAGTTTCACTGCAGCGTGAGTTAGCTATGTCGTGAAGCCACCTAGTCAGGGTAAACTTTTGCGGCTGCAAAAACGACATTTTATTGTTAAGTATACATATTATGTGCATACCAGTTAATTTTGTTTTAAATTTAGGAGCATGATATATTGGTTAGGTATAGTCATTTTAAAACTGTTACATATTTTACTGGTTATAGCATGCACCCTACTTAATTCCTGTTGTTTTTGCTATTTCAATTTGCTTTAAAGTTATTTGATGCTAGCTACCATTTGTTATGAACAAGAAAGTCATTTTTGCACAAGCCTAATTTCAGGTGGGTGCTAGTAAATGTCAGTCTGAGTTTTTGTCTTCTTCGGCTTTTCCACTTGCCAAATATGCATTGATGTGTTTTGTAACTGCAGTGGATTTGTAAGGGTTGTTTTTTAGCAGGAATTGCACTCTGATATAGATGTGCATAACAAAACAAGGCATTTATTTGGTTCTACTTTTTATGTACTGTTCAAACATGTATGACAGGCATAACTAAGCATAGGTATTGATTGATTGATATGTGGGGTTCCAAAACCACCATATGATTATGAGAGACGCCGTAGTGGAGGGCTCCGGAAATTTCGACCACCTGGGTTTCTTTAACGTGCACCCAGATCTGAACACATGGGTCTACAACATTTCCGCCTCCATCGGAAATGCAGCCGCCGCAGCTGGGATTCGATCCCGCGACCTGCGGGTCAGCAGCCGAGTACCTTAGCCACTAGACCACCGCGGCGGGGCTAGCTAAGCATAGGTAAAAAAAAAATTTTAAGTACGTCTGCACAAATTGTGTATGAACTTTATATTATGATATAAAGAGAGGTTGTTGTCATGAAAGCCTGAAAATGCTTTGCTAGAAAGGAAACGTGGCAAAATGTTCTGTGGCTCCCAAAGGAATTACTTAGCCCAGTACAAGAAACGAGGCAGTCTTGACTTAACGAATGTGATCTAGCCTGGCTGCACTCTGTTCTTGTTTCTCACAGCCATCTTGGAGAAGGGTCTTGGTCATTCTGTGTCCGTCTGCATCGAGAGCTCAGGCTCACACAAGCTGCAGACCACATCACTCATCAGCGTCACCAACACTCCAGAGGGAAAAAAGTGAGCACATGCTTTTACTGTGAGAATCGGAGTGCGCTGTTGAACAGCCTTTTATTGAAACAGTTTGTGATATGACTCGTGCAGAGTACCACTATTAAATTTTGTTTGCCATGAGAACGCTGATTACCAGCAGAGGTGAAAGGAGGGGCTAGACTTTCAACTTTTAATATGGATGACCTGTTTGCAAATCATGCCATTCGGTCCACCAGACCAGCTGAACTCTCCTTGGTGTTCCTTTAACACCGATGCTTGAACCTTGCAGTCTCCCGTCGTTTGCTGCCCTGAGCAACCTGAACAGCACAATGCTGCCAGCAAGCTTCGTGCTCAAGCTGCCCAAACCCTTCCCCATGGCTGTGGCATTGGTTCGCAAGATACATGCTGTCACCTGTAAGCACTCCCTTTGCCACATGATTCGCTAAATATAAATTTCTGCAAAACTTAAAGCAACTTACAGTAATTCACAAAAAAATACAAAATTATCACAAATCTTTTTATGTTACTTTCTTTAAAAAAGCAACATTTTGGAAATGATTGCAAATGTGTAAAAGTAGTGAATATTCATACACTCGATACTTCGCTCAGTGGCACAAGTAGACCCTCAGTAAAAAGAAACCTGTTAAACAGAACTGCTGCTTAAATGTAACAACTTTCTTCAGCACGATTGGTTTCATACTTGGATTCTCCACCTTTGTTCATCTCTCAGTGATCGGAACTCCTGTTAAACAAAGAACATTTTTCTGGTCCTTTCAGGTTCCGTTTAATACGAGTCTACTAAAAGTGATAGTGCTAAGTACCTCAGACAAACATGTCTAAGCAATGCTTGCATTAGACGGCAAGCAAAAGTATGAAATATCAATTAAAAATCACTTTGCATCAAAGTTGGCAGCCCACATTTTTAAGTAAGAACTGTGACTTGAGGTACTCTGTGCAAGGTATGTTGGCATGCATTAGTAGAGGCCGTCACAGTTTTGTGCACCATGGCACACAACTTTTAAGGCTTGGTTCTAAAGTCTGCACACTAAGCTAGAAGGTGCAAGGGTTCATAGGCGCACAATAAACTATAGTTAGGTGCCCTCTTGCTCTAGTTGTGCCTCCTCACTTATGGTACGAACCAACATTTGTGTGCCCAACTTACTCTAAGAGCACTTTCAAGTGATTCCTTTCTGGTTACGAACGGTGGTAAATAATCGACTTGTCATCTTCAGCTGTGTTAAACTTGTTATGTAATAATGTGGCTCAGAATCCTTTGCATTCATTGTAACAATCCCAATAAGTAATCACGATCATGTAAATGTGCAGGACAGTCGTAGCGCATTCACATTGGCAGGAAAGCATTTTTCCCACTGTGACAACTAGTTACTGCGCAGTGATTGAGTGTGCGGACACCAGCACGACACAGCCTCTGCTCTCCCTCATCATCAACCAGGCGTCCGAAGGGAAGCTCTCCGCTTCGAGTGACCGTGGACTCAACGTGGTGAGACGAGCATCTTTGCAGAATGTGCTCCTGTAATCCTTTGTTTTTCTGCATTTGCACGCAGCGGTCGTGCCTGTAAATAAGAGTTTGCGTTCCTCTAATATGTACTTATAGAAATACTCAAGTCTTTTAGTATGCGATGAAGACATAATGTGAATGTATAACTCACACTCGGCCCCCCGCATGCTGTAGAATGCAGAACACGTTCGGTGCATTACGTCAATGAAATATGCATCCGGTGAAAACAAACCATTGCCGGGAACAGTGAAGAAAACAGTTAGTAGCTCAGCTACTTTCCTGTCATCTTCACCATTCCTGTGATTGTTTGTTTTGGCTAGAAATATATCTTCTTAAACGTGTGGCATGCTTGGCTCTCTTGCACCACGACATGGTAACCCTACAGTCTGTGTTTGTCAGCGAAAACTAGAGGTAGAAAGTCTATTATGCCTATACAGGTCTGGAAAGTGGGCCATAAAAGGATATTTCGGGGCAAAAGAAGCCAGAGAAGTGGCCGGTTGCAAATCCCGCCCACTGCCAACGACCGCCATTTTGTTAAGACGTGCGTTAAGTCGTGAACTTGTGGGAGCAGAGCGTTGTACCAAAGTTTCTGTCTTTGCAAATTGTTAAGTTCAGTGACAAGCTGAAGAAAACTATAATATCTTAATTTGACGTTCAAAAAAACAGTAAGAGTACCGTTTTTTCGAAAATTGGGTGTCATGGAAAACTAGGTATCTGCGTAGGTGAAGCTGGCGACATTTTTTTGCGAAATAACCCTTTCGGCTTGCAGACACTGCCCGATCAGCAGCACTGTTACTACCTGTTGTCGGGCAGTCCGGAACTTCCAGGAGTCATGGTGTCTGGAGTGCCCTTCACACATCCCACGCATGTGCCACAGATCTTGGTGTTCCTGCGGCAGCAGCTGCTGTTCAACACCTTGGTGGCCAGCTGTGTGCGACCCTCTAGCCGACAGAGTTAGTATTGTGCTAATAGCCAATATTTATATCTTCATTTTATTTACGCTGCTTCCCTTTTATTCATCATAAAAAAAGCTAGTGGATAAGACCTTTGTCGATGTTCTACTGCAGGAGACTGTTGAATTGAACCAAGGTTACTATAACCTGGATTGCAGTTAATCTGTCGAAAGTGTGTGACACATCAATACACACATTAAGCCATCTGTTCCAGGAATTCTCAACATTTCTCCATTGAGAACAATATGGGCTTGGGCTTGCCTCTGTAACCTTTGCATTTTAGACATTTATTCTGTAGTGTGTATTAGGAGCATGACTTTAATGAACATTAAATTTTCCTCAGTTAGTGTACAGCAAATGTATAATTGCTCATGAACATTTCTTCAAAGGTGATATGGCAGTTTCCCAAAACCAAGGTGCTATGTATTTGGTCACGGGACCAAATACATATAGCACCTTTAGTTTCGGGAAACTGCCAACTTTGCCAGTGTTTGGACTTACATTGCGATTTGTCTTTGCAAAACTCTGCCATAATGGGAAATTCAGTGTCTAGTTTTTATATAGCACCTGTTTTTATTTTATTTTTTTGCACGTCTTTTCATATGTTCCGACTTGGGCTTTAAATGCCACCACCAATCTAGGAGTGCTGTTTCTTTTGCGTTTTCGTACATGTAATGAAGATAGTGGACATGCGGCTTGACCAAGTGGGGAGAGAGAAACTACGACAAGCGATCGCTAATAGTAAAATTGATGTCCAGATGTCGCAACTTCTGCCTTTAATACACCAGATCGCTCAAGCGCGAATGCGCTGCCACTTACTGGTCGCTACCAGATCACCGGAACAAGCGTCTGCGGGAAACAGACCCGGTATGACTTTTCGTCTTCCAGATAAAATCAGCCAAAGACATGCTAATATACTGCACCGGATTCGCCTGGGCGTCGCCTTCACTCGCCACTACACCCACCTAATCGGCCATGCGGACAGCCCGAATTGTGAGCGCTGCCAAGTGCGCGAAACTTTAGCTCACATATTTTGTGACTGTGCATTATACGTGGCGCAAATAAAAATGCTAACTGCAACGTTGGCAAGCATCGGGCGAACGCCATTGAGTGAAAGCCACATATTGTCAGCAATGAACGACCAAACAGTGTCAAAAACTGCTACAAAGGCTGTTTTAGATTTTATAAAAAGCACTGGACTAGATACTAGACTGTAGGGTACTATGCTAAGTGACTACTGTACATACGCACCACTTCTTCTTGTCCCCGTCATCACCCTTCATCCCTCTTTCCTTCCCCCTTCCCTTATCCCCTGTGTAGAGTAGCAGGCTAGAGCGAACTAGCTCAGGCCAACCTCTCTGCCTTCTAATAAATTCTCACACACACTTTAATACACCCTCGTTTGAATTGGTGGAGGCGCCTGGGTACACATGGTCATCATCCTGGAACTGCTCAAACTGTGCACCATACTGCCATGGCCTGTCACGATGGCCGATTTGGGACCATCTCAGGGCGCTCTTGATGTCGCACCAACGCCTGTTTTATGCCCTGACACGCTCCGGCAGCGTCATCCTCCCATATATTCACTAGCGCAGATGAGCACGACGTGGAAGACTGGCTTGCCGAGTATGAGCTGGTGACTGCTTGCAATAAGTGGGACGCCAGCGACAAGCTGACAAACCTATACTTCTACTTGACCGTCGTAGCGAAACTCTGGTACAAGAATCACCAGACCGATTGCACTACCTGGTGAGATTCCACGACAGCGTTCATGGAGTTCTTTAGACGCCCTGCTGTATGCCGGCTTCGAGTGAACAACGCTTCTGCGGCAGAGTCAAAAGACAGGGTGAAACATTCGTGAGCTAAATTGAGGATGTGCTCTCTCTTTGCAAGCTCGTCAACTCATCCCTGGACGAAGCAGGCAAGATCAAGCTCATCTTGAAAGGCAGTGATGACGATGCATTCCAGGTACTTGCTGTGAAAAATTCTCATACGGTCGCAGACGTCATCCATCTCTGCCAGAGTTACGATGACCTAGCTGCGCAGGCAGCGCCATTTCACACGTGGCGTTGCTCAAGACATCGCAAATCTTTAATCTCTGGGCTTACACCGTGATAGCGCCGATCATATGGCTTTGCTTCCACAGATAAAGCAGTTCATTCGTGAGGAAGTCGCACGGCAACTCTATAGACTATCCCCCGCAGGGGCGCCTGCGCAAGTAGGCGTTTGGTGTGTAGCGACACCACGGACCCGAGCTAACGGGGGAGTTTCTACTCCCTCCCACGCCTAGCCGTGCTTGGCTTTGCCGTGTCCGGGGAAAAGGGGATCCTGGGGGTTGAGCCGACGCTGGGTGATTGGACCGTTAAGGCCCCCCGGCAGAGGCAACACACCCCTTTGGCCCCGGCTTCACGTAGACGGCACCCCTGGGCTGACCCACCCAGGGGAAATCGGCAGTCGCCTTTTCCTATCTCTCTCTCCCTACATCTTCGTCTTTATCTCTTACTATTTATCTGTCCTGTCTTCTACTCTCTTCCGTTTACTTTCGATATTCGTGGCGGCAAGGGTTAACCTTGTGTAGGTATCCCACCTTGGATAATTACATTGGGTTATAGTGACAGCGTACGGCTGGCGTCGGGAGGGCTTGTTTCAACAAGTCCGACCGCGTCCCCTTGTTGGGCTCCGTGGTGGGTGGTCGCCGCTGTTACCGAACACATTTATACTTGTATGGCTTTACAAGCATCCGCCGACCTTGATCGGTCTCGCAAGAGAGGCCGCACCGAAGCAAGTTATCACGTCTCGAAAGAAACTAAAGTTACTTTTGCGATGTACCACATTATCCACAGTGACAGCACACCTCTAAGAAAATTATCCCCATTTTTGGTGGCCAAGTGCCTAAAAGAAAAAATAGGACCCACATACAAAGCATCTAAAATGTCAAGCGGTGACCTCCTTTTGGAGCTAACCGAAAAAGACCAAGTGCCTAAGCTATCCCAACTAACCAGCATTGGAGAAACAGCTGTCACCGGTTCGGTCCATCGCTCTCTAAACACCAGCAGGGGAGTAATCTCTGAGGAAGACTTCTTAGGCCTTAGTGACGAAGAGCTCCTCGAAGGTTTCCAAGACCAAAACGTCATCAAAGTCCAAAGAATTGTAATCCGTCGCAATAATCAGGAAGTGCCCACCAAACACGTAGTACTAACCTTTGGAACATGTGAAATGCCCACCTCTCTTAAGGCTGGGTACTTAAAAATAAATGTCAGACCCTACATTCCCAACCCCAGACGCTGTTTCAAATGTCAGAGATTCGGACACGCCTCGCACTCTTGCAGAGGCAAAGAAACATGCGCAAAATGCAGCGCAAACGACCACAAATCAGAAAACTGCTCATCCTCACCCCACTGTGTTAACTGTGACGGGGAACACCCAGCGTATTCCCGGTCATGCCCATGTTGGAAAAAAGAAAAAGAAGTGATCGCTCTGACCATCAAAGAAAAAATATCATTCAGCGAAGCGCGAACACTGCTATCATGCCTTTTCTACAGAAGTTACGCCGATGTGACGCAGTCGGGGGCAGCGTCACAAAGGCCTCAGGAGTCGACCGCTACCACACCCAGTGGTTCTATGGTGACTCAAACCGCCCTCGTAAAAGAAGCAGCGCCAGCTGCTCCATGCACATCAAAAGGCCCGCAGACTCCGGTCTCCCTGGGCCCTAAACTCAATAGAGTGCCAAGGCCTGAGATCCGTTTCTCAGCGCCTCACTCTCGATCGTCCAGCGCCTCAGACAAGGCAATGGAGATCGACCACAAAACTCCGGTGTCATCGACACTGAAGGACAAGCGCTCTCTCGAGCGTACCAAACAGGACAAGGACAAAGTCCCAGTAACCACAATAAGTAAGCGATAACCGTAATGGTTATCGTATTTCTCTCTATTTCTACTTCTTAATATTCTCACCTATCATCTTTTATACCGATCGATCCCCAGAAGTATATTTACTTAACTTTATTCTGCCATGGCTTTTATCGTACATTGGAACTGTAGAGGCTTAATTCATAACTTAGGTGACATAAAGGACATCATTAACAAATTCTCACCAGTAGCCTTTTGCCTCCAAGAGACAAATCTTGGTGCAAAACAAAGCCATTTGCTAAAAGGCTTCAAAGTTGCCCGAAAGGACCGCGAACATTGCAACCGTCTTTCAGGAGGAGTAGCCATAGTGGTGCAGGGTAGCACTCCTACGCGAGATGTCCAAATAAACACATCTTTCGAGGCCGTAGCCGTCACCATCCTATCATACAAAACCATCACCTTCTGCTCACTGTATATCCCACCTCACACCCTTTTCACCACCAAAAACCTAGAAAATCTAGTGGAACAGCTGCCAAAACCATTTATCTTAGTTGGGGATTTCAATGCTCATTCAACCCTTTGGGGTAGCGACAAAACTGACGCAAGAGGGCAAGCCGTGGAAGATTTCATTTTATCAAATGACATCTGCCTTCTTAATTCCGGTGCTTTTACCTACTTTTCACCAACCTCGCGCACTTTTAGTTGCTTAGATCTCGCCATGTGTTCATCGTGTATTTTTAATGATTTTAAATGGGACGTCGTCAACACGTCTTATGGTAGTGATCATCAACCCGGCATCATAAAACTCATACCATCTTACCCAACTCTAACAAGCAGGCCACGCCGGTGGAAACTACAGCTCGCGAATTGGCCAGTTTTCACAGAAAACGCTAAGCTCGATGAAGTTTTCTCATCGGAGCTTTCTGTTGAGGAACTAAATGAAGAGTTCGTCAAAGTTTTAATCTTAGCAGCAGAAAAAGCAATACCGCAATCATCCGGCATCGTACGCAAGAAATTCAACCCTTGGTGGACAAACGAGTGTACTGATGCCAAAAAACTACAAAATAAGGCCTGGGGAATTCTACGAAGATACCCTACCTACGCCAACCTCATCAACTTCAAACAGGCAAAAGCCAGAGCCCGATTTATTCGAAGACAGGCAGAAAAGGATTCATGGCAAAAATACATATCATCAATTAACAGTTCAGTCACATCTAAACACATCTGGGACCAGGTGAGGAAGTTCAAGGGAGAGTACTCCTCCTACACAATACCACTGCTTACAAGTCCAGACACACAATCAACACTAGAAGACCAGGCCAACCTATTAGGAGAACACTTTTATAAAGTATCATGCTCAGCAAATTACACCAATTCATTCATGAAATATAAAGAAAATGCAGAAAGACAAAGATTGCCTACTAGCAGTACCTCAAATGAAAGTTATAACCTTCCGCTTACGCTGCACGAATTGAACAGGGTACTTTCTGCCGGTAAAAAAACGGCAACAGGGTCTGACCAGATACACTACGCAATGTTGGCACACCTATCCCAAGCATCCGCGAAGGCACTTCTCCAATTCTTTAACAAAATATGGTACTCTGGCATAATGCCTGAAGATTGGAAAAAAGCCATAGTCATACCATTCCTAAAACCTGGTAAACCCCCAACAACCCCAAGTAGCTATAGACCCATTGCATTAACAAGTTGCCTTGCAAAAACTTACGAAAGCATCATAAATATTAGACTTACCTTCACTCTGCAATCGGAGCACCTAATAGATGCACACCAGTGCGGATACAAAAAGGGCTGTTCCACCACTGATCACATTGTTAGGCTGGAACAAGAAATACGACAAGCATTTCTACACAAACAGTTCTGTCTCTCGGTCTTCTTTGACTTAGAGAAAGCATATGACACAACTTGGAGATACGGAATTCTCAGAGATCTAGCTAACTTAGGGATTCACGGAAGAATGCTGAACTGCTTACACGATTTTTTATCGAATAGAACTTTTCAAGTACGGTTGGGTACGGTACTGTCACGAATATTTGTCCAAGAAAATGGTGTACCACAGGGCTGCGTTTTGAGCACCAGCCTGTTTATAGTGAAAATGAACTCCATCAACAGGGCTATACCCCGTACAGTCATGCACTCCATCTATGTTAATGATCTGCAAATTGCATGCCGAGCCTCCAGCCTATCGTCCTGCGAAAGGCAACTCCAAATTACAATAAATCGGCTTACAAAATGTGCCGACCAAAATGGTTTCCGCTTTTCAGCCCAAAAAACCACAGCTGTTCTCTTTACGCAAAAGAGAGGATTGTTCCCCGAACCCGCGCTCAAACTATACAACATCAACATGCCGGTAAAACAAGAACACAAATTTCTAGGAATCACATTCGACCGAAAACTAAACTTTCTGCCACACATAAATGCACTGAAAACTAAAGCAAACAGAGCACTCAATGTGCTGAAAGTATTCTCCCATAAACACTGGGGTTCCGATCGACTCTGCCTTATACGTATTTACCGATCTCTTGTACGCAGCATTTTAGACTACGTACGGATGCATAGTCTACGACTCGGCGCGAAACTCATACGTCCGCCGTCTTGACCCTATACACAACCTCGGTCTCCGTCTGTCAAGTGGTGCTTACAGAACATCACCTGTGCAAAGTCTATACGTAGAATGCAATGAGCCCCCTCTATGTGATCGAAGAGCATTACTAACCTTGTCATATGTTTTAAGAATAAGGTCGTCACCTGAACACATCTGCTATGAAATTGCCGCAAAATGTGACTCGCGCTCACACTACCTCAACAAATCGAACCTAATCAAACCACTTGTCCTACGTTTCGAGGAATACTGCCGCTTTTATACCATCCCTGATGGATCACTAGATGTCGCTATTAAACCACCAAGACTGCCGCCATGGTTTGACCTGTCACAGCTATGCGATTTTTCACTAAGCCGTTTCAACAAAAAAAGCACCCCACCAGAACACATAATCCAAGAATTTTATACACTTCAGCACGAATATAGGGATTACGAAGAATTTTACACAGATGGCTCAAAAACGGAGGACCACGTGGGTATTGGGATTGTGACGACGAAAAGCGCAATTTCTGTGAAAGTACCTCGTAGCTTTTCTATTTTTTCAGCTGAAGCTTATGCCTTGAGTGAAGCAGTTCGAAAAATCATCGCTGAAAAATACAAGAAAGCAATCATATACACCGACTCACTAAGCACACTAAAAGCACTACATATAAAATCCGAATGTGAGCCTATAGTAGGCGACATTCTAAACATGGTATACTTAAACAGCCAGGCAACCTGCATCCGTTTCTGCTGGGTCCCAAGTCATGTTGGGATACCCGGAAACGAAAAAGCAAATAAGTATGCTTCCCAGGCAGCCCATAAAACAGTAACAAAAGTAAAAATTCCCTTTAAAGACACCCAGAGAACAATTCGCCTGGCCCTACTAGCAAAATGGCAAAAGCAATGGGACACCTGCACGAACAATAAGCTCCACCTGGTGAAACCCACACTCGGGGAATGGAAGACCTGCCGTCACCAGCAACGGTTTATTGAAGTTGTATTATGCCGACTTCGCATTGGACACACACACTTGACACACAACTTCTTACTCGCAAAGGAAGAACAACCAACGTGTGAGAAATGCCAAGAAGCGTTAACACTTATGCACATCCTAATCACATGTCCTACCATTGAAACACAGAGACAAAAACATTTCAGCCAGCTATACAAACAACACGTACCTTTACACCCTGCTTTGTTCCTAGGAGATGATCCTCTAGTACCTCTGCCTGACTTGCTAAACTTTCTGAAAGAATGTAACCTGTTAAATAAGCTTTAAAATCTCATCTTTTCAGTGTCCATTCCTGAAAGTCTTGTGTCTGGCGCAGCATAGCCTTAGCTGCTTTTGCGCCATAAAAAACCAAATTAACCTAACCATCTATAGACTATCATCACTTCCAGATCAGAGCCTATGGGATCCTCGACGCCTTCTCTTCACCAATTCATCGAGATGCAAGTTGCCGAAGCATTGTCCTCTAGTTCAACCCGATTGCCTGTTGCCGCCCCACTCACCAACGCTGCCATTGCTGCTCGAGCGTGTGCTCCACAGCCCCCTGCCGCCTATTAAGCTACTCGCAGAGTTTACACGTCTCAGCCACTACCGACACATCTGCCTTCAGTTCCTTATTCAGCCAACGAATGTGTCCAGTTGTCACAACTTGTGCCTCGTTTGATATAAATCAAAAGTATTCGCAAAAGCTCAGCCACCAATCTTTTCACACCTTTCAGTACTCACCTTACTGTTGCACATAACCCTAATGACATGTGCATGACTTGTTCCTGCAAACGTGGTTAGCACTCAAGCTCCTTGTAACGGTTTGTCTTTGTTCCCTGCTCCACTGTTCCTGCAGATGCCGAGATGTCGCACATGTTCGAGGTGAACACCACATCTATATCAAACATAAGCATCTCCTTCGAGCACCCGCTAGATGAATCTCTGGCCACAGGTATGAGTTTTCACTGCAGATTTGCCAATAGGTTGCTGTTTGTGGCTTATATGCTGCCTCTTTCTCCTTGCAGTTGACCTTAACCTTAGTGAGATCACCAGTGTCAAGTGTCGTATCTATACTCTCAACAGCGACATCAGTATCTGCACCGATGAGTATGCCAGCAAAGTTATGCAGCGGTGAGTTCGTTTACTAGTGGTATGTATCTGCATTTTGCACAAGAAAAAAAGAAGTGAAATTGTTTCTCAAACTGTTTGTCATGTATAAAAGGTAAAGCTAAGCTGCAGATATTATGCTGTAGGCATCAGAGTGGCAGTCCAGGCAATATAGGACCTTGCTGTGTACATACCAGCAGGGGTGTAGCTGGGGTTTTATTATAAGGGTTTGTATGTGCATGTGCACTTTTGTATATGTGCGTGTACTATACAAAATGTAGATGACTTAAGCTTTTCTAAGGGGGCAGAGGTTCTTTACAGCCCCTCCCTTCACACACACGTGCACACACACACACTCTCTCTCTTCCTGAGGCCTGCTTATGAATATACTATAGTATAGTAGAAAAATACTTTTTCCTCTTCCTTCAGCTATACAAAAAAGAGATAGAAATAGTTGTGTTCAGTGTAGCAGTACAGTAGTCCTGTGACACACTGTAAGCTAGCTTTCCTCTAGAAATATCATGCACATTTGTTATCCAACCAAATATCCTAGTAATGCGGTGGTGCTGGAGCAATGACTGGATTCATGTACTCCCAGCAGTCGTGTTGCAGTGAGCTTTGTGAGCACTGGCTCATGGGCAGCAGCCATTTTTGTGAGTCTGGTTTCAATAATATTTTTCATGCAACATGCTTGATTCATTCATTGCACTTACAAGTTGAGAAGCTCTGCACATGACTGCCTTTAGAGCAGTTTTTTACCTTATGCAGGTGCCTCTCCATCCCAGTAACTATGCGAGCAGTAATCCGAAAGGCACAAGGTCAGCGAGCACGGATGTCCAGCCAAGGGGACTCGTACTGCAATGCACTGAACAGCAGTGGAAACACATATCTGACAGGTCTGCCTGGTTATGGCCCCAACCCTGCAACTGGCTCATTCGGTGACTTTACACCTGCCGGCAAAGCTGATGGCTATCGGGAATCTGAAGAGGAGCCCGGCACACTCGGTTCGCTCCTGGGAGGACCACTACCCTCGCAGAGCCCCAACATGATGTTGATGAGCATGCTGAGCGACGTGCCCTCGGCAAGCAACTCGCCCGCTGCTCCAGGGTTTCCTTTTTTAGGCCAGGCCAAGCCTCGGAACAAACGCAAGAGAAAAGCAACGACTTCATCAGATGGCCGCAGCCCCAAACGCAGAGAAGATGATGGCGGTGGGACAGATCCTGAGGAGGAGCCTTTTTTAGAGTCTGAAGCGGGGCAGAACAAGGCGGCGCTTCTGAACCCCGCTGAGCCGGCTGGCGCCACCGCGGAACTTGCCACTGACGACACCGCCAGCTTCCTTCGGGGTGCAGGGGGCGCACTCTTTCCCGAAGAAGGCGCAGATCCGGGTGAGACAAACAGGCCTCCGGGCCGGAAGGTCAAGCGTGTTCGCAGTGAGGAGGCCCGGGAAGACATCAAGCTCGAGAGGGAGGGCTCTCGGTCCCAGGACAGTGGTCCAAAAAACTTGCTTCCCGGTGGGGACTCCGATAAGCTGTCCCGCTCGGCGTCACCACCGGTCAGCTTCAAAATCGAAAAATCAGGGGACAGTCTAAAGATTTCCAAGACCGAAAGCAAGTCAGGGTCGAAGCCTCGTGATTCATCAGAGCTACGGAAGAAGATGGATAACAAGAAGGAGCGCAAGAGAAAAAGAGCTGAGAGTGTTGACTCCGGATGCCGTCAGCCAGCCGTGGCTGCTTCTCCAGAGCCACTAGAACTCTCCCAGCAAGCTTTTAACTTAACAACAAAGCCTCATGGCTCAGTGAGCCCTTCAACGTCTCGCCCTCCTCTGAAAAAGTCTGCCAGTTCACTTGTTAGCAATGGAAAGAAACTTGCTAAACCACTCCAGCCTGCACCTTCAAGTGGTATAAAGAGCAGCACAGAGACTGATAACCGACCCGCCATGAAGTCCCCCCAGAAGAGCAGCCCCAGTAAGCCAGTGTCTTCTGTGTCAGGCAGCTCTTACGTACCCAGTAGCAGCCCTGTGACAAAGCAGCCTCCATCATCGCCAACAGGGACATTGAAGTTGAAGCACCTCAATTTGCCTTCATCAACAACAATTACACCAGTTGTGGCTAAACCTTCTTTACCATCACCAACGTCTACTGCACCTCCCAGTATTACAATAGTGCCTACTACATCTGTAGCCGGTGGCTCTAACAACTTAAACAAACCACCTAAGTCACGAAAGGGTTGTTTAAATGCAGTTATTGCCAAGCTAACCAATACAGTGGCTTCGCCACTCGTTGGGCCACCAGTTCCTGAACTTGCAGGTAGCAGGCCAGACATAACCTTAAAATCATGTGAGAAGAGAGACAGCCCAACACTGGGCAAAGAAGTCAAAGAAGGAAGGACACCATCAGCCGAAGGTAGCGCTGTGAAAGGAAGGTTCAGGTATCAAGCTCACAGTCACCAAAACATCTGGAATTTATAAGTGCTCCTCAGGAAAGGCCAAAATGGGGGCCTCATCGTCCAAAGGAAGCCTCTCAAGTGGGCCAAAAGTCAAAAGCTCACAGAAGTTGATTGGCTTGCCTGTAGGGGTACCAGCCAAGAAACTTCCTACCAAGAGCCCTGCAAAGCTTAGTCCAAGCCAGGGGTTCAACCCATGCGACAGTGCCATGCCTAGTGCACTTCCAACACTGGTGCCACGTGTAGCCCATAACAATGCAGGCTCTCTGAAAAACTCGCCTAAACTTGCAGCAATGAGCAAGGCAGGCATACGTCCGGAGAAAAAACCCAGTGATACCACAAAACCCATTGTTGAGAAGGAAGCCACCAATTTGATGCCACCGCCTCTGCATTCTAGAACTGGACCCAAGAGCGTGGAAGGTGGCCAGCCTCTGTCTGACGAAGCTGCCCTGAGAATGCTTCTCGCCCTGGGGAAAGTCCAGATGATGACCAGTGGCGTGCACTGAAAGGGAATGCAGGTAGCGAAGACCACCTGGCACCTAAAGTCGAAAATGGACCAGAAGTTGGACCTGTGGCCTTAACAGTGCCACGGGTCACTTCTGAAGTTCGTACCTCTGAGGACAAGGGACCCACTACGGCCCCGCCACTTCCTGTTTCCTTAACCAAGTCAGCATCCGCGGCTGCTGCCCCTACCGGTGATGATGACAGCAGCCCTGAGGATGGCCTTGTCATTGATTTTGCTATGGACAGCAAGAAGGTGGTGCCCCCTGTATGTCACAGCCCCCCACGGCCGCTAGAGCCTGTGGTGGCCCCCGAGCTGCCAGCGAGGGCGTCCCCAGCGCTCAGTCTCAGTGCCAAGTCGCCATACTTTGTGCCGTCCCCATCACTTAAATCTCCACAGGCAGGGAGCCCACCCTCCAACCATTCAGTGTCAAGCTCACTTTCGAGACCCTCACCGTGTGTCATTGACGACGACCTCATGGACGAAGCAATCGTGGGGCTTGGAAAGTGATGCATCCCGCTGCCATGCGTGTTTGCGTATTGAACGCTTGTGAGGTAGCCGTGCTCCAGGACAGTGCTGAGGAGTTAACATGTGCTGTTGTGCAGCCAGTTGCTGTCACAAACTCGTGCAGTGTTACTCATAGCCACTGCAAGTGGAGCAGCTAACCCAAAGCACCTTCAGCAGCACAGTTGGGACATATTTGACTGCCATGTAGATACTGTACATAACTTTTTAAGAGGTAATGTACATTAAGTGTTTATGTAACCATCGTGATTTTAGTTTACCTCAGCCCAAGACAGTGTTGGACAGTTCATGTGGATGCAAATACACGCATACTACATGAGGCGACAAAAATGCTTATGGCCTCTTACTATTAGAGTTACTGTCATCTTTGTTGACTTGCAGTCTAGACAGTTGCCTATCTTGGAGAATGACAGAAAAGTTTTGTTCACAAATCCAGCTGAAAGTGGCAGACAGCCAGGTAGCATCACTTTTTGTCATCAATATTTATTGTGGAATCATTGCATTTCACCTTACTGGCGCAAGTGCTCAGTCTTCAAGAGTTTAGATACCGTCAGTGTATTATATGGCATGCTTGCATCGGCACTTGTTGCTAACACCACCAATCTGAACCTAGCAGCACCTTTCTGGTTTACACATCTATCATTTGATTGGGCTGTTATTCCTATGCCAATAAGAGCACACCTTAAAATGGAGCATGAAATGGTTCAGGCAATGTCTGTAGATGTGTTCATTGTCAAGCGGGCTGATGTGACAAGTTTGACAGACAAATAGAAGGCAGATCACCAGATGTCATATAGCTTGTCTGTTCCCTGTGGCTTCGATTGGTTACATTAACCCGATTTACGTTATTTTTCTGTAGCATTGGGTTTCATGAGGGCTCTTCCTTTTTCTCCCCATTTATGATGCACAAGCTCAATGGAGGTATCCATTGAAATAGATATTGCTGTGGTTGCAGTTCTCTTTTGTGCTTTTGTCGCTATACAGGTTAAAAATGAGAGGCATTTCAAAGGTGAATGTAACTTAATGCATAGTATTTGCACTAGCATAAGAAATTTGTTTTTTTTATTTTCCTCTTAGTTCATACTTACGGAACTATTTTATTACTGGCTGAAGACCCAAAGTATAACCACAAAGCTCTAAAGCACCTTCAGAAACCACTGACTGAATTGTGTCCTATGATATGTCTTGCCAGATTGAAGGACTCTGGTCTCGCTTAGTCCTTTCTTCCACACTACAAAGAAAACCTGTGAAAAGTGAAAAAAAAAAAGCCATGTGACATCGTTAGCACACTGCTATCGTGCCACACTCAAGCGTGCAATGGGTGAACCAGGTCACCTGCAACGTTTTATGGGCAGTTTATTGCCTCAGCAGCACACGGCCAGCAGCATGATATTGTGCCATCATCTGACAAGAGCTGCGTGACGGCTCTGTTGCTTACCCGTGACAACAGTCAGTGTTGCAGCTGGCCACGTTCGCTGATTGCACGCTTAATTAAGGTGGGCACGATAGAATTGGATAAGCACTTTGTCACATGGCACTTCCATATTTCACAGGCTCTCTTTGCAGCGTGGCAGAAAGGACTACATGAAACATATCATACAGGAAACAATCCAATCAGTGTGTTCTAAAGATGTTATGAAACTCTGCTATCATAGCTCGGGTCTTGAGCCAATAACTAAGAACTTGGGTAATTTAACATAATCAATTGTATTCATTTAAGAAATGAAGAAATAGTTTGAGTAACTATGGGTTACCGTGAATAGTGTATGTTCAATGCAATCCATTTCTGACATGCCTTTGATCTTGAGTCTTAGCTGAAGTTTGTGGCGCAACCTGTAGAATACACATAACATAGAGCTTGCATTGCGCCAGTGGTTGCTGATGTGGCTATTTCAGAGGGTTAGGGCATGTCAACAATGTTTTCTTTTTATTGAAGACAGCTACTGGTATTGTTGCAGCAGCGAAGGCTACATTCCAAGCAAACATAACTGGGCGAGTGCTGTGCAATCCAAGTTCGTGAGTTTCCTTTTAAAAGTAGCTGGTTTGCCATTTGTGCGATGTTCTCCACTCCATCTATAGTATGATTACAGTGTAGATGGGTCCAAAACTACAAAAGAAACCCTTCTACAAAAGCATGTAACATTTGTTGCTAATGAAAACATTGTCCCTAGCAGCTGGTTTATTGATTTGTGCCTTTGAATGGGCTGCTAGCACCAATTATGATGAAATTGGCATAGTTAGTGTTGCAATACGGATACTACTACAGTTTCATAATATAATGATTGCATAACTATCACCTGTAATATTTATTTGAAGTTTACATTTGCTACCATGATGGTGTCACGATGGTGCCGCCCTCGCTGGCGCTTCTGCTCTTGCTACTGCAACAGGCCATGGGTATCCACAGGGCACGATGGATACCCATGGGGGCATGAGTATCCATTAACATCCAGTGGGCAATTCCAGAGTATAGCATAGGACACCCCGGCAAGAGAGTGTCACAACAATTGTTACCAAAATTGTATAAGTACTACCTCGCAAGTCCTTGATTGACTCCTCTGTACCATATCCAACGGTATGTCGCAGTGTGTGCATATGAGCTACCCGAGATGTCAACGACTACACATTGGGGTACTTGTTTCTTCACAATGGCTCGTTATGTACCTGCTCACATTCAGTTGATTGTTGCAAGCAATGCTGGCACAGCTAACTTGTCACACAGTGAATGTATTGATTGGGTAATAAACAGCAGCTTGTTTTTTACAGCACTTGTCATAGGAACTCACTGGGTACCTATCATGACTCTATGATAGACACCCAGTGATTTTAGTGGTGCTGCCATGACTAAATGTACCGCAAGACAGTGATGGTGAAGTGCTAGTTTCCCTTTGGAAAACTTAAACCCCCAACAAACTGCAGCATCATGGCATCAATGAAGAATACCAAGAGTAGTAGTACCTCTTAAGGAAATGGCTGTGGTGCAAGACACAGTTGGAAGCACGCATTATGATTAAGAATCTGCAAATTTAGCAGCATCAAACGAAGTGGGATGTGAAAATAGCGAATAAATTATACCATTTGTATCTTAGACATTTTTTGTTATGTTTTGAAAATGCTAGTCAGTACCTTCGTCATGCACTCTTGAATTTCGTGCTCTTCAAACTCCAGCATATTATGAATGGAACTTGTAAACATTTTAGGCCTTGTACTCTTGAATTTCGTACGCTTCTGAGTGTTATGAATAGGATCTTGCAAGCACTTTAAGCCTTGCTACGACAGCACTGAACGGGGCAGCATAACAACACATTGAGAAGCGCAGCAGTTTTATTTTTCCAGCCAATAACTCTCTTCTAGCCTTCAGAAGGCACTGCAAGTGTCCAGAGAACCACAGGAATTAAAAGCAGGGAGTATACAGATTAGCAGTACTTAAAAACGTTAAACCTTGAGAAGAACTCTTCAGATACAAACTGCCAAAAATTGCATAGTTTCATGCAGAAGTTAAGTTGGACACCTTCTGTGGAAGGCAGTGTTTTGAACTGCACTTGGCAGAAACCAACATAAGGATCTTCAAAGCTCAGTACATGTAAATTCAGAGCAACCTAGATTAATTTAATTAAATATTCTGATTTCCAGAGATAGCCATACTCTGTAGATGCACTCAATACATTACTAGCATGCAACGAATTACACTGAATTATAATTTGTTTTAGACAGAGCCACAGGAACATGTGAATTAGAAAAAAGAAATGGTTTGAATTGAGAGCAACCTATATTAATCAAATTGAATATTCTTTCACCAGATAGCCATACTCTGCACAAGCATTTAACACACAACTAGCATGTAACAAATTGCACTGAATTAAAATTTAAGAGAGCCACACCAACATGTAAATTAGAGAAAAAAAAGGTTGCATACAGTCGGGATAAAATGAGTGGAAATGACTGATCATAATTAGGCAGTTGTGATGCAATTATGCTCATTTGATATTATAAAGCAACACAAAACATTGCTTCACATCCAGTTAAAATGACATCTCTGCTGGAATTGATGTATTTTCATGGACACTTCCATAAATTTGAAAAAGTCACAGTATTGCATATAAACACTTTGTAACTGACCACTGAATTATTTTGAAGCTCGTAGAAAATTTTCTCTGTTAATGCGGTAACTTCCGCCGAAGTTGGACGTCAGTGGATTGCCCTGCTTCTGCACCTCATTTTGCTATGTTTTTTACATTCATTTTACTCCTCTACTTTTCCAGCGAAGCCCATTGGTTGCTTGTTTAAATGGTTGATCACTAGGATTCTGTTTATGCAACACTCGTTCCAGCATTACGCGTCTAGAACATAAAGCAGCCGCTAATTAGAGCCGCTAAGGTTATGACGCCTTTGAGGGCGCTAAGCAACGGACCGCGGCAGCGCTGTTACTCTTGAGCAAGCTTCGATGACTTGTACTGTAGGTAATCGTCCATTTGAAGAGAGACAACGCCGTTTCATGCACCACACCCGCTTCAGAGAGCGGCGCGTGGTCCAGTAGAATAAGCCTGTCGTCGTCGTCGGTGTTTATCACGGGGTCGTTGGACTTCGCCTTATGAGGCAAGTGCTCGATCTTCAGCGTGTCGTACGGATACGTTCTCACTGCCGACGGTATGCTCGTGTCGTTTTCCAGCGAAGACAGTACCGCCTTCTTGAACTCTGCCGCAGTTATAGCCGAGGACACATCTCGCATAATTACGTGCCGTATATTTCGATGCTCGAATGAGCGTATCACGCGCACGGTGAGTATGAGATTGTCCCGTCGAGTGTCCCCTGACATGACAAGCTGGAAGACCGCCGTCTGCCAGCTAAACACTATTTATGTGAACCAACACACGTCACACACCGAAGTTCTTTCCTCCTCTGTGGTCACTGTCACACATGTCAGGAGCATAGAGAAGGAGCGCGGCAATTGATTTGGGTGTTGAGTGGCTTGATGATGATAACTATAAAAATAGTGCCGTTTGTCACACTTAAAAAAAATTTTTTTCATCTGTAAAATAACTTCAAAACAAATAAAAAAACGTGCACTTTTAAATATGACTTACATGTAGTTAAAAAAACAAGTACGAAACTGACATAGTTATAAGAACCTTTAGCCACCAACCATATCTTTATTCAGTGCAAAAAAAAAAAAAAGATAACGTTGTTGAGTTGTGCAGGAATGCCGCTTGAGTGCAGCACAGTTGTACCGAGCATTGCGTATCGCTGTTTTGATACATTGATAAATAAATCATGTTTATTCATGTTCTCTTTGTATCTTTATGATGTCTTTAGATGTCTGAGTCATATTATTTTTTTAGACTTTGTTATTATTTTTTAGACATTTACACAACCAAAAGCGCAAAGTGATGATGATGATGATTAAAGGCCTCCCCTTTGAATCGGGGTGACGGCATGCGCCATCTAGCCTATCTTAATAGTTCGAGTTTAAATTCTGCCCCTCAACTCGGATGTCTTTAATTTTGCCCAGCCGCTACTCTTGGCTGGGATGTTATTTTATCGACTTCTCTGCTTTTCCTCCACCAATACTCCAGCCGCTGCTTAGTAATACCTACTGCTGACCAGTTAATGCTTCCATCAACCGCGAAGCCCAGCGCCTCAGGAAGTGTGACCTTCCCCCCATTTCTATCCGGCTGAATCTTTTGACATTCCATGACTATGTGGTCGATTGTTTCTTTATTTATGCCACATCCAACACATGTCTCATCCTGTGACGAATATTTGCTCCTGTAAGTTAGAGTTCTCAAGCAGCCAGCCCGCGCCTCAAAGAGCAACGCACTACCTTTATTGTTGTCATAAAAGTTCTCTTTCCGGATCGCTTGTTTGCTTGCCTTGTAGATTCCCAGCGATCCCTTCTTTTCCATCCTCTCTTTCCACATGAGCGTCTCTGTTTCCCTCACTTGCTTTTTAACTGGCCCCCTTTGCTTATTTGCCGCGGTCAAGTTATATTTAGTCGCCAGCTTTCGCGTCCTCTTCCGCCATTTGGTGTCCACACTTTTCAGGTACAGGTATCTGTGCACTCTAGCTGCCCAGTTCTTCTCATCTAAATGTCTAAGTCGCTCCTCAAACCGTATTTTACTTTGTGCTTCCCTCGCCTCAAATGAAGCCCAACTCATATCGCCTTGTACAGCCTCGTTTGTAGTCTTACTGTGAGCTCCCAGAGCTAACCTGCCGACTGCCTTTTGGTTAACCTCCAGCCCCGACAGGATATCTGACTTTAAGCATAATACGGCATTAGAGAACGTGAGCGCCGGCACCATTACCCCTTTCCAGATGCCTCGTACTACCTCGTACTTATTGTGTCCCCAAAGTGCTCTATGTTTCATTACTGCTGCATTTCGTCTCCCTTTCAGTTTGAGGTGTTCTTCATGAGCATTCAGGTAGCCTTTTCCTTCATTAAGCCAGATCCCAGATCCCAAGTTTTCCAGATCCAGCCAGATCCCAAGTTTTCTGCGTTTGTGCTGCACTCTTGCGTCAGTCAAGGTAAGTAATTTGCGCTGCTGTGTTTTTGTCGGTTGTAGTAAGACACTGTAAAATGTGATTTCCTACTCGGGCTCTAAAGGCCTGCAGGTTTCATCCAATCAACGGTTTCGTTTTTCCTCTCGCGATACGCCTGCGCTACTTGAGCATCAACCAAGCAACATTGAAAAACCGCGAAAGGCTGCACGCACGAGGCACGATTCTCGTCGGGAGCCTTCATCGCGCACCTGGCTCTGAAAGGTTCTGTTTTGAGTCTCTGCTTCTGCTATTTTGTGGCGTAAACTGCGTAACTGGTGTAACTGCGCTGCTCAAATGTAGTACTAACTGGCATTTTGTATTGCGTCTAATAACGGTGTAAGTGGAATAGGGATGCTAAGTGTCTAGGGCGGTGGTGATTGCATGTTTTGATCGCCGTTTCGTGAGTATGAGCAGCTTCGGCTTGTTTTAATGTAATATATCGATAACTTTAGCATAAGCTCTTAACCAGCTAGAGTAATCTATGCATGCTTCCCCTTAGGCGTGAAAATAAACCGCGAGCTGGGGCTCGCGGGCGCGGCTCAGTGGCCTCAATTGTAGCGGCATTGTCAAGTGCGTTTTCATTCTTGATTTGCAGACCGTTCGTGCGACAGCATGGTGATTCTTACCAGCTTCCCGCCGCCCGACGAAGGCGTCCGTCACCGCGAGGAGGCGACGGCCGCATTTATCCAAAGCAGAGACCTTGGCAAGGGAACGCTCTACATCGCCGAGAGGTGCGTGATGCTGGCTGTTTCTCTTGTACCGTTACAGCCTAGAAATGCTGACTGACTTATGTGAACGGGTTCTGGGATACCTGGAACAGCCTGTGCGACAATTTAGGAGACCACCGTCTCTGGAAGAACATAGGCTCATGCAAATCAATAGTCTGATATGTTCGGTGCATTAAAAAAGCTGCTCTTGTTCGGCCCGACCAGTAGTGACCTTGAACTTAATTTCCTAGCCTTTGGACTAGTATGTTAGCAGAAAGCATTGTATAAATACTAAAGAAAGAAGGTTAGTGGTACACAATATTTGTATTCTACAATTTTCCTCCCTCTGAATGTTATCACTTTGAGCTGCATGTGCTCGTGCGTGATATTGAAACTTTAGTCAGCAGTTTATATACATAGCGTTTCTCCCTCATTAACCAAAAGTATGTGTAGGCTGCCTGCAAGGTTCTCTCTCTCTTCTTTTTCCCCAGAAATACTGAAGCTCATGTTATTTTCTTTTCTATTAAAAGAGGGAATACACTTCACACTGAACTTGTTGCACTTGTTTTTATTCTTGTCACGTCAGTGGTTGTTATGATACGGCAGATGTAGCAGGTGTGTGATATGGCATAAATGTGATACGGCAGGTGTGGTACACTTGATTACTGCATTTTGCTGAAGAGGAGTTGTACACACTTGCCTTTAAGTGCATTGGGAAAGCATGGTCAATGCAAGCTAACAGTGCATGCCTGTGGTATGTGTGGAAGCTGTTTGTAAACATGACATGTCAATGAGTATAGTGCTCAACTTGGCTCTCTATAACGCCGGAGGGTCGCGCGCGGAACAGCACGAGCGACATCTGCAGTCGCAAATATGCCACATCTGAGCATGCGCGGTGCCAATCATGTGCCTGCCCTGCAGTTTCCACCCTTCTTTATCACCGCGGCCACAACGGCTGCTTTGGCCGTCGAAGCGCTGTCAACATTGCAAAATCAAAATAAAACAACAATAAAAAAGAAATATTCTCGCTTCGTGATATCATATCACAGCGACAACAGTGTTACTTCGTCTTTATATCTTGTTTTTTCGCGAAATCGCTCGGAGCGCTTTCGTCAGCCAAAGCGGTTGTTGCATCCGCGGCGCTAAACGGGGATCAGTATTGCAAGGCAGGCGCATCGCTGGTGCCGCGCATGCTCAAATGTGGCGTATTTGCGACTGCAGAAGTCGCCCGTGCTGTTTCGTGCACGACGCTCCGTCGTTATAGACAGCCGAGTTGAGCACTGTACATACTGGAGTTCAATAATTGTCCACATGTCCATGCTATGGCACCATCTGATGAATGCAAATGACCTTCTTGCAATTAGTGCCACATTTTTTATGGTTCTTCATGGTTCAGGCACTACAACACAAAGACATACGCACTACAGATGGATATGCAAGTCCTTTCAAGCATTTTAAACCAAGCTGTGACATTGGTAGAATAATGAGACTGCTCCTGTATGTGTCGTTGGGCAAAATAAAACTAGTATATGGATCCTTCTTTCCCAGTATTTGCCACATTCAGTTGAACATGGTAGTGTTTCATTTAGATAAATAAATTATTGCTTTCGGGAACAAACAACTGAATCATTGCAAGTGCCAAATGTGTCATCCAATAAAGCTTCCATTCCTATTCATCTCATCCTGTGTTGCAATTAATGCAGCCGTGTTTCGTGGGTCGGCCAGGACAGCTCTGGCTTTTCCCTGGAGTACCCATCGGTGGCACTGCATGCTTTGTCGCGGGACCTGCAGTCCTTTCCAGAGGAGTGCCTCTATCTGATGATTGATGGCGATCTGGGCGAGGGTGAAGAAGGTTGGTGTGCTGCCGAACCATCCTGTTACAGTTTCTCGTCAAAACCTTGGAATTCGTTAAGGATCATTGTTTCGATGCATATGCTTGCATAATGTTTCAAAGTACTAACTTGCTGCTCTAAGTGTGAGGGTGCTTCTTGTCTTGCGATCGTGTCATTTTATTCTTTTTTCAAAAAAAGCATATATTTGGTGTGGCTTATGTTTACAGTTTTTTAAATGTGCCTTAATGCGTGCTGAGGGACAAGTTGGTGGCTGCAGAAGCTAAACTGTAAGAAAAACATGTCTTGATATCTCGAAAAAAAACAAACAAAAAAACTTGAAAACCTTGAAGAGAAGAGTGCGATTGCATAAGCAGGCCCCATTCACATCGCCTTCAGCCATATTGCAAGAAAAGGAAAATTTGTGCACGTAAGATTGGCTATTTCAAACGGTTTCAAAGTACAGAGTGCCCATCATGTCATAATTCTTCCTGATTCGAATTGACACAGCACCCTCTCTCTACACAACCTTTAGGTGCCATGCACATTTGTGGAGCTGTACACTTGTAATGGGGGAACAGCTTTAAACCACCCACTTGTTGCACAATTTGCATGTTTTGATGCTAGGTGTGATCAACTATTCTGTATTACATGCATTCACAAGTTTCCTCCCACTACAGAAAATTTTTTCGAGTTTTTTTTTATGCAGTAGTTTCAAGCCGTGGCATGACTTCATCGTAGAACACCTCCTTACTTAGCAGAAGTCCTGGGTTCCATTATCACCGAGACCGAAGATTTCTTATTATTTATTTGTATCTGTCTCGAATTTTTGCTCTCAGACAACACCTATTTTTTTGCTCAGCAACCAACGACCCCAATTTCTGTAAAATGAGCTATTTAATGCTATTCACTTTAATACTATTACATATATTAGAGTGATTGGTACCATAATTAGTCAGCCGAACGTGGACATGTCAAATTATTCACTCTATAAAATATTCCTGACATCCCCTTGGAAATTCTATGCTGTAGAACTGCCAGGCAGTTATGTTGAATTCTGGTTCACCTTCATAATCTGCACATTGGACATTGTACCTGTTGCTATTGCACTTTTCCTGCATAGTTTGTGGTTGCTTGTCATCATATCTGAGTAAATTTTTGCCAATGCTGTCACACATGGCATTAAATTTGGAGGACACATGAAAGAATATGAGCAAGGCGTGGGACTCGTACAGCAAAATTTTATTTATTTATAACAGCACTGGATTTTCTTTAATATATGCACGACTGCAATGCAGCCGTGTAATGCGGTGAATACTACTAGCGGCAAAAACTGAATTATACTACGTGCCTGGAGCTATTTGCTTTCGGCAAGAAAGCTTCACGCCCTGCTGCTTCAAGAAAGTGAAAGGCCTCCTGGTCTGTAGGAGCAGGAGGGCTGGAGTAACCCTTCGACTGGCAGACAAAGAGGCCCACACAGAGACCGAGCTTCCGCAAGGCTGACGGGAGACTGCTTTTCCACATTTATTGCAGGCAGCTTTATGGAAGGGGAAGATAGGCTATTGGCCAGCTGGTCACACGACCGGCATGGTCACTCCAGGTTGGCTTAGGAAGCAGGCATAGGTGGAGGCCTAGCTCTATCTAGCGGCATGTAAGAGGCATGTATCAGTGTGTACCACACTGATGCATTTAAATGGCACCAGGGGTTGCACTGCACAAAAGCGTGGGTGAAAAATTAGTAATGAGGAATCTTTGGTTCCGAAATGCAGCCTTCAGGAACCAGTGCTTTTCTCTATCTCGAGAGACTCGGACGTGCAGTTCTCCAATAGGCTTCAGATGCACATATTTGATAAGTCAAATTATCAATATATCAAGCTATTTTCCAACATTGCGCAGGTTTTACATAACTACATTTGACTGCATACTATGTTATGCCACTGTGCATATTCAGAATACGTGAAAGCACCTTTGTGAGCAATTTGTGCCCAGAATCACTATTTTACACTAATTTTGATCATGGGCCCTCTTACTTTGACTATTGGTTACATGTGGTATATACTGCTACTTTACATTATTGTGTCTTGGTACACACGTATGCACACATACGCTAAGAGGTCTTTGTCGCTGTATTGTGAGTGAATTGTGCTACAACTTTCTAATGTGTTGAATCACCATTCACCTTCTCGACTATTTGTAGAGTCCAGCGAGAATGGACAGGATGATGAGCAACCTGCTTCAGAGGTCCGCTTTGTGCCAGATGACAAGTCGCATCGTGAGTGAATTCACTTGCTCAAAGGAAGCTTGAAACATGTAAACATGTACCTTTCAAAACATGATAAATCCAGCATTATCTTTATTCACTTTTGCATTTTCGTGCTTGTAGCGTAAGTATATTCCATAATTTCCTGCCTTTTTGTGTTGCTCTCATAACGCTTCTACGTACATGTGAAAGGAAAGGCTGGCATTGGTGTTTGACAGTGTTTGTTAGATCGAACAAATAGAAGTGCTGGTTAAATTACAATGGGCAGTTTGTTGTTGGCAAGAGCTAATCATGCTTTTGCTGTCATGAAAAATAAAATCGGGGATGATGTTGGAAGGTTTCTTTAACAAGATGTAAATTTATAGTTTACTACCCTGCAGGGAGCCTGGAAAAAAAGAAAGAGTGAAATAAAAGAATAAGTATGAAGCAACAAGGCATTCACATACAGGCCTTGCTGGATACTTGAACTGTATATGAGCCTATTCCACCCAAAGCTATCATGACCTTGTCATGCCATTTTGAAAACTAGATATAATTTTATAGTTGATACAATAACATAATTGCAAAACTCCACTTGCTCCTCTGTGTTTGTCAAACAGAGAAGTAGGGCGGAGTGGAGCTTTCATCATGCTGTCACCCACATACAACCATAAGGACACTTATGTGTTCTTTTCATAGCAGTTTGACTAGGGGAAAGTAGTGTGTGCAGAAACAATATGCAAGTTATGCCCTTTTTTTCTTTATCTTGGTTCATTTACAGCACTTTTTGTAGAAGGGGATAAGTGGCCTATTATAGCAACACTGTATCAAATTTTTCCTGCATTATGGCTCTGTATCAAAATTGGAACCATTGCAGATTTATAGTATGCCTAGATTTTAAAACAGTTTTGTGTAAACATGAATTCAGAAACGTGGAAACGTGAAACATGAATTTTCCCATGTTGATACTCTGTAACAACGTAATTCCTTCTCTTTCTTTGGTCATCATAGATTTTGCCTGAAGTAAGTAAGCAAAGTAAACATTTAAAGTTCTTTAGCCACGCAAGCATTAACAGGCAGTAGTACATGACTGTCTCCATTGTTCACTGCAGTGGAAGCTATGTACAAGGCCATGTCAGAGTGCCAAGCCCTGCACCCAGATCCCGCTGATTTTGGCGATTCAGATGGTGAGTCTTCTGGCAGTTTTGACTGATCGAACGGCTGTCTCAAGCTGACATGCACTTTCTCGCTCTTGTGCAGACGATGGCGTTTATGAGGATGCTGACGAGGAGGACGAAGGTGCAGAGTATGATGTTCGAGCAGCCGAGCAGCAGCGTGGCTGCCACCAGCTTGAGGCAGATGCAGGTGCTGCCATTTGTTCCTACTGTGCAACTCTTCCCCATTTATTTATCTGCTCCGTGTACATGCACACATTGTCAGTGTTTGTCGGTGATCACTATTTCAGCGAGAATTTCAGCAGAAACTGTCTCTGCATTGGGCGACTTAGATGTTACTGCCACGAAGGCACTGAAGTAACACACCTTATTGCCACTGCTTAAACAGGTCATGTAATAGGCATTTGCTGCTGCCAAGCTTTCTTTGTACATGCTGTGCCTTCTAGATGTGTCTAAGTACAGTAGAATTTCGATGATACAGCTGCAGTTGATCCCAATTTTGCGATATACTAGTTTTGAAGTTCGCAATGATACAAGTTTTGAAAGTGTCCCAGATGGATTGCATTACATAGAGTATGGCATGATTTGGGATTGGGCAAAGAGTTTCTAAATTCTTCGTGGGCAATACAAATATGCAAACTATTGGTACAAGCAAGTGGGGAGAGTACCCTTTGCACCCACAGCCCCCCCCGCCATCCGTTCTCCCTTTTTTCAACCTGGAGTCTCTTCCAACCCAGCCATAGGGATAAGTAGCAAGGATGTGAGGGAAGGAGCCATGCAGCATCTTTGTTTGCTCAGTAAACTGTAATTCAGCGCTTGCCTGAGCAAGCTCCCCCTTTCCAATGTTGCTTTCACGAGCTTACTAGTGTGCTGGTAGGCTAGCACATCACCCCACCAGCAGGACAAATAGAGTGTGTAAAGGCAATGTAGAGGACGATATTGTGACTATTGCAACCATAAAAAAAAGGGTCAAATTTGGAAAACACCTACAAAATGGGCACTCCAACTAAGCACCTACATGTGCCGGCACAGCCCAGCCAAGTACAAGACCTTTTTCTTCGTCATCATTTCTGCACCTGTCATGAAAACATAATCTGTTGCTGTGTCCTCATTGAAAAGGTTGTTTGCATTATTTTTGCAGGCAACGGTGACTGGGAAGCTGGGGACGAGCCCATGGAGACGGGGCAGTTTGAAGACGCAGAGCCAGACCATTGAAATTAGCTTCCTTCAGTAAGCAGTTCATTGCGTCACTTTCAACGTGTCACCCTGCTACTGTGCCAGTTAGATTTGCTGGCAACATATGTTTACATGGTTCTTAAAAAAGAACCATGTAACAGACTCTTCTGTTTACAGCTCTTTTGAAGCAGAAAGAATGAATTCTTGCGTTCATTGACAAGCAGGAATGGTGCAATGGTGTTTTCATGAATTACTCAAAGGTGTTTGATAGCATCAGTCAAGAAATACTTTTGGAAAAGCTGCTTTAATGAGAACTGACAGACAATTATGCCAAGGAGAGTATAAGGGATACTAGAAGTAATTAGAATGCCGATGTGAAAAAAAAAAAGCCCGTAAGTTAAATTTTTATTCTTTTTGGAAAAGCGGGAGTTATATGCTATTCGTGGGATTCCAGCACTCCTAAAAACTTGCCTACAATATCGATGCCAGCATGTAGCGATAGGAAACCTTGTGTTACCTGCCAGAGTGTCACCTCAGGAGCCCCCAGGGAAGTATGCTAGGCCCATTATTGTTTCTGCTATATATTAATGTTATAACTACTATAAACAACAGTCCAATCTATATCTTGTATGCAGATGACACAAGCCTCCTATTTAAAAGTAATGACATGCAGTACCTGATCTTCATTGTTAACGAAACAATAGCAAAACTTTGTGCATGGAGCACTGTTAATTGCCTGTTAAAAAATTTAAAAAAAACCTGTGTTGTTCCATGTCCAACAAAGTTTGCCTATATTAGAACCAGTGTAGGAGTTTAACGATCGCAACATTCAAATGGTTGATACTGTAAAAACGTTACGAATACTGTTCAATAAAAACATCAGCTAGGATTCTTAAGTTAGCTCATTTGTGTTTTGCCAGAATAAGTGTGTTGGCATTCTGGTGAAATTTCGCTCATGTACCTTCCTGTATCCATAAAATTGTTGATCTATAACACTCTATTTATCACATATTAAGTGTTGCTTTTTTATTCGGGAAAATACAACATCAATGAACATTTACAAACTGCTCATGCATCAAAAAGAAAGCGTTACGTCATATCACGTGTGCTGATTACAATGCACACACCGCTGATCTGTTTCGTCGCTTTAAAATTATTCTGTTGCCCAAACTTTGAGTATTTTTTATATATGCGATACAGAAAACCTGTTTATAGTTGTGATCATGCATTCCTAAGCATGTCATCTGTGCGAACGAATACCATTGTATACCCATTTTGCTGCAAAAAGTATTGGCACATTCCGTTCTGTCGTACTCAGCATGGGCAGCAGATATGTCATGCACATTCAGCTTTGCTGAACAGGCTAACCTCGCAAGACATTCAAGTAGAAACGTGCAGTGCAGCATACATAGCATACGAGGATACTGCATGCCATAATGTCAGTACTGTTTCTCCACTACTATAAGTGTTTTTTTTAATGTATTTGTAATTACTGTGAAGCTGTTAATATTGTATTACACTGCACAGGCCTGAAGATTGTTTTGCAATGTTAAATAGTTATTATGTCTTGTTTGCGTATATTGTGGCCATTTTTGTATGTTTCGTATTGGGGGGCTCAGGCACTTCTCAAGTGAATTGAATTTCACTTTTTGCTCGAGCATTTCCGCATTTTTCATGATGCAGGATAAATTTCAACTTTAACTTTAAAGCAGTTCTGTTCTTGAAAACACTAAGCCAACAAGCTTTGAAAACACTGTGCAGCTTTTCTCTTATGTTTAGCATTGTAACTGTCCTTTAAAGGGCCCCTAAACCACTCAGGAGTCGAAATTTAGTTGAGGTGATGAAGTTGTGCTCGAGTTTACATGAACACGTAACCGTGAAAATTTTCGAAACGGTGCCGTAATAGCAGAGTTACACGCGTTCGATGATTCGAAACGCGATGATCGCTTCTTTCTCTTTTTCCTTATGCTACCTTCTTTCAAAACCGCTTGGCCTCCTCCTTGAGTCAGCTGAGTGCCTCTCCTCATCTCGCGTGGCATACGTCATTGCTGACGTGCTGTTCGAGACAGCGTCTACTTCCGGTTGCCGCGATCCGCCACTCCGGCACCCCAGCTCGCCATTTACTGTGTTGTGTGTGTCATCTGGGTGCACTGATTCTTGACTAGCCGCTGTTGCTGTCGTGCTGGCCCGTGCCCCTATGCTAGTGACTTGGCGGTTGCATTACGGACCGCAGATGTTGATTCGCAAGTGGCAACACGATCAAGAACAGCAAGGTGCACGCGAACAGCTGTTTGCAGAGTGACCGGCAGTCGTCGGTTGTCGTTCGGACAATCGCAAGCATCGAAAGCTAGTAACGTCATCGAGTTTCACTGGTGATGTCACACATGTCAGTGGCAGGAATGACGGGGACCGGAAAGGAGAAGCTATTGTTTTTTTCGATATTCTTGCACCCGCTACCTGTAGCCCTGCGGCGTGTCGCATCGTTGATCGCGACGGCATTCCTGCACGCGATACGCTTGTTTACTTGAAATGTTTGGGAAAATATTAGAGGGGGTTTAGGGGCCCTTTAACAACTTCAACATAGGTTCAAGAAAGTCTGGGAAGTGCATGTTAGCAGCTGCCAGCGTTGTGACAGCTATAAAAAAAAAAGAAGCTTTTCAAAAAGAACACTCATTCATCGAGCACATGTTTTTATAGATTTCATGATGTAGAACTAACCTAGGAGGTAAAACACAAGGAGATGTTTTGCCCACTGTTAAAGCAAAATATAATGAAGCTTGTGCACCCTGCAATTAAAATAATAATGTAGTTAAGATGAGTACCTCTTGTTTAAGGTTATGCATTTTCAGGTGTGTTCGAGTGGCTTGCTTTATTTTTCTTTTTTCATTGCTGCATTCCTAAATTTTTACATTGCTGGAGAATGATGTACTCGTGTTTAAAAGATCATGATATGAATAATTTACAAGAGCACAAGAGACCTAATAATAGAATGTTTTAGCAGTACCAGTAGTACTGTACCATTTGTACTACGACATCACTATTCTGTGTTAGCATACCAAAATCCAAACGCATTTTGAACACACAAGTTTTTATGTGTACAGTAACATGATGAAATGGTGACAGTGTCTAATACAGGTCTTGTAGACTAATGTCTTCATGCAGACTGCAGCAGTAAGTTATTGCTGGCCTTACCTTGTGGTAAACCAACAACACCGCTAGAACACCCTAGTATCTGCTTTTGGTTCTGGCTGTGCTGCCATTGGTTTGAACATCATGTGGCTTTTATGTCTGCAAGGATGCATACACATTGAGGTTTTTATAGAAGAGTCCTCAACGTGAAAGATGAAATGGAGCATGGTTACGAGCAGCTTGTAGCAGACTGCTTTCGAGAAGTTGTATGAGCTTCCTGAATGCCACTGTACATAATAGGCGTCAGAAGTGAAATGTGGTGCATGCTAATCACGAAAAGTTAAACTTATATTTTACAGCACTCCAGTGTTCAGCGTAGCTCAGGAGACGCCTAATTCAATGAAACTTCAGGTGTGGTGATTTCACAGTATCTTATACTCAGGCTTTTTTTCTTTCCCATACATAGATTGGCCCTGAGCCAATCCATGTTTCTAAATGTATTATATAGGCTTTGTGAAGAATGCTTTTAACTTAACTATCTTGTGTTGTAGGCCCGTGTACTCAGATTTGGGTGCACGTTAAAGAACCCCAGGTGGTCGAAATTTCCGGAGCCCTCCACTACGGCGTCTCTCATAATCATATAATGGTTTCGGGACGTTAAACCCCACATATCAATCAATCAATCTTAACTATCTTGTTTCTTTCTTTTGTTTCAGCGTTGCTGGACGCTTCTGCTATAAAAGGAGAATACATCTTGTCATTTGCATGAAGAAATGGCTGAGCGGTCCATTTCACCAACCTTTGTTCAACTGGTTGGTAGGATCAATGAACAGCGGGAGGATACTGCAAAGTTAGCAACATCACAACGAGCGGCACCTTGTGTTTGCTTGCCTGAAGTCGTCTCCTTGTCTGCGTGGAAGCCGAATAGACATTGCCTGCTGCTTTGTTTACGTTATGACGCTGCGGCGATTGCACGAGATAAGCAGAAATACATTATGCATATGGAGAGCACCTTTACTAATGAATTTGACATCACATAATACACTGTATTTATCGCCTCCAACACTACACTTTTGCTCAGCCAAAGAGAAAAGCGTGTTGACCTGTTTCGCATGTATGTGCTATGTGCCCATTATGTTTCTCATTCTTTACCTCCTTGAGGAGGATCATGGCAACGAATAAACTTTGTTACTCATTCTGCATTCTGTCTTGTCAGTTTTGTTAGTATCACCTGCATGGCATATAGGTTATGATGGCAATGAACAATTGGATACCTCTGCCTCAATACTGTAGCAATGTATATTCTTGAAGGGATCTGACCTGTTCTAGAAAACATTAAATTTTTTATAGCTTCAATGAAAATTTATTCTTTTGTAAAAATTGTTTTTGCCGTGTTCAAGCGTTTTTTATGTTAAACTTGCAGTGAAAACACGTTTGCATTTTCATTACTATAGGGATACATGGTGTTATAGCTCTGCTTTTGACTTATTATTGCTTCTAGGGAGCTGTGGTGAAATTATTTAGAGTTTGTAATAATGTATTCCACAACACTATTGTATTCCTTGGTTTCTTTCCTAGTACAAATTTATTATTGTGGAAAATTGTGTCAAGCTTAGCGCCTGTAGCATTCTGGTACCGAAGTTCGTACAATTTTTTCATCCAGCTGCATAAGCATGAGGCGACGTGGACAGGGCGACACAGGTGGTTGCACCCGAAGTCCAGGTTAACAAGATTGACAGCCGACTAGCCCACCTCTGGGAAGCCAAGACGTAACTTCATGCAAGGTGGAAGACGCAACAACATAAAGGCTTCGTAACATCGCACAGATCAATGGTCAGCTTTGAGAGCATTGCCGGAACTTAAGCCGCCAGCAGTGGTACGACATCTACAACACAATCGAAGGGCAGGTGCACAATGCAATCATGTGACGCCGCCTGCGTCACCGCTATGCGCGAGAAATGACCCGCTGTGCAGAGACCTCTTCGTAGAGTTCGGACCTCCTGGTTCAAAAACGTGGGAGAATGCTTAGTTGGGTATAACGATATTACCAAGCACTAAACAGTTAGGCAGGCGGATGTGGCCCCTACCTCACCCCAAGCTGAAACGATGCCAGGCAGTTTGGCGACAGCTGTAGACAAACACGTTCCTCGGTCCGGTGCGATTACGGCAAATACAAGCGCAATACCTGAGTGCTACATGCAAATTATGTCTGGTAACTCTAGCGACACTCTCGCACATGTTCTGGAAGTGCACTGTTACAGCAGCTTAAATGGCAGTAGCTCCGGATGCTCTTGCGTCGAAGTGGGCAGCCGCTCTGCGGAGCTCCAACTTCAAGGCACGGGAGTGGGCAGTCCAGCGGGCCCGAGAGGTGGCGATGAGGCGAGGTAGGTGTTCTGTGGCGAGGTCTTGAAGTCCCCTCATGGGAGATCTAAGCCCGGGTTGTAAACATCTCCGGACTTTCAATAAAGTTGTTTCCATCCATGAGTCATACCTAAAGCAGCCCTCTCATGTGCAGCTACAATTCACGGTTTTACTTGAAGTCAAACAATTCTCCAGTGTGTGCAAATGCCTTTCATTATGTCCAATATTCAATGCACGGTGTGAAGTACAGGTTCACTATCAAACAGGTCTCTAGTGGGTGCAAATGCCTTTCATTATGTCCTATATTCAATGCACGGTGTGAAGTACAGATTCACTACGGACTGATAAAAGGTATCGTGGTCCTTGTTATAAAAAAAAAAATTGCCCCTGCCTCTCCGAAGGGAATCGTGGGGAAATGCGAATGGATTTTTTGCGCCGAGAGTACATGGCGTAGTAATTTTGATGACGTAAATTAAGGAGGAGACGACGATTTGTACCGTAACCAGTAAGTGGGGCGGAGAGTAGGAGCGGCGAAGCACTGCGCCTACCTTCTACACTATGGTCCCTAGAATATATTGCCTCCACACACGTGAGAGCTCCGCCGAGCTTCCGCGATGCGAGCGCCCTCACATGCCAGTGCGTGCTCTTCCTCTCCACTCACTATCCGCTACTCCGCCCGCACCAGCTGCTTCGGTTGCTAGGAGCAAAAATAAGCGCGCGCGCCCGCAGCTGTTTCTATGAGAGAGGGAGTGAGAGCGAAGATACAACACCTGCCGGTGCGCGGACGCCGCCGGACGCTGGACATAGCCCGCTGAAATGCATTCGCATTAAAAAAAAGGGGGCATTCTTATGGTATGCACGGTGTCCCAGCTAACTCGACCTCTTACAGTTCTTTGCGTTGTCCTGTTCGTGAATAAGCTAACTGCTATTTGTCAATTTCGATGGGACCTATGTTTACATGCACAATGCTTCGTTTGAGTCACCTTTTTGTATGCTGGCTACGAGTTAGACCATAACTATGGTGCGGTTGTACGCAGATTGTCTTTGTACCTCCTGCCTGGGACTGTTTATTTCTGTTTTCTTACTACCCATTATGATTTCTACATCATTTGATATGGTTGCATGACTTGCGCACATAGTGGCTGATCCAGAGGGGGGGGGGGGGCTTAGGGGCGATCGCCCCCTCGCAATGTCTGTGTCAGCACCCCACCCTCACTTCAGAGCTTGTAGTCCACCTTCTATCACCAATCAGCACAAATGAGTGAAACCATGGTGAACATACATTACCAGTATGCGATGACGGGGTATTTCTGCTTGCAAAGACAAAAATTTGACAGATCCCACGTACCTGGGAATCGACATTATGCGAAGCATGCGGAGGGAAGGTGACCGTGTTGCAAATTTTTGATTGAGCGACACGTCGTAAAATGACTCTAAATATATGTACAAATGTTGCATGCACAGACATGTTGAAAAGTTGCACATGTTTATATAACCAGTTATTTGCACTTGCACGACGATGCCAACTGGAACATGCGTATTAGCAACACCAGGAGCTGATATGAAGCGCTGATGCTTGCGAGGATGCTGGCCCTGGACACTGCTACATAAATCAACTTCAGCGCATGGCAACTAACTACAATTGACGTTAACTCGACGTGACGGTTGTATCAAATGAGTACATGTGTAACGTTTAGAAAATTGTGTAGGCAGCACTGCAACCACAATCGACGTTTGACGAAGATCAGCGTCTATTTGAAAAAGTAGTTTCGAAGCCTGGCATAGCTCAGTGGTAAAATGCTACATTGCCACGCAGAATGCTTGGGTTCGATTCCAGATGGGACCTGTAGATTTATTCTTTGCATTCGTCTGGTCAGCGCTACCGATGTCGGTGATTTCTTAACGCTTGCTTGCGCATTAAAATTGCCTTTGAGTGTTCTTGTCGTTTCTGGGTAGATACTGAGTGTCAATCACCTGTGGCACATACCTTCATACCAGTGGCACATACCCGCCCGTGGGTATGTGCCACTGTCTGGCGGGACGTGTTTGACGACGTACGCGACGGGATTCTGACAGTATTCATGTCTTGACCAGCGCGTCACATTCTTCAAAACAACTTACCCCCCCATGCTAATTTTGGTTCATGCCAAGTTAAGGGGGTATGCATCTCTCATAATCATATGGTGGTTTTGGGACGTTAAACCCCACATATCAATCAAAATCAATCAATCAATCAAGTTAAGGGGGTGACCACGAGAGCACCCAAACGTAAGTGGCTAGATAGATAGATAGATAGATAGATAGATAGATACGCTCGCCGACATTCGCTAAGAAATGCTTCGCATTTAAAAAATCATGACCACGCCCCCATCTCTAATGTGATGCCCCTCCCCCCCCCCCCCCCCCCACCTAAAATGAGTGGCTGGATACCGCCCGTGCACATAGTATTGTGTGGGTTAGGCTCTTAAGTGCAGTACGTTCTTCTGGCCATCACCTATTTTTGTTTTACTAGCATCGCAATATTCTGTGGTGGCACGTACCACCAATCGTTGAGCTCCTTTGTTTGGGGACGTACAAATCGCACTAGAGTAGTTGTCGCAGTTGCCCTTTGAGCTCGCTATGAGACGGACGCTTGAGGTTCGCTTGGTGTTAGAACAGGAATTTATATGAAGCACCAACGCGTACAGAAGCGCGAATGAACGGGAAAACGACGTGAAGGCGCTGGTTTCCATTTTCACAGTAGTGGAAGGGCTCTGAATTTTTTTTGCTCGCTGGCTGGTTGCCGGCGAAGATCCAACTGCTTTGGTGTCTGCCGCTGAGAAGCAAGTAAGTCGTGCGTCCCTGCCACCTTAATTCTGATATATACGGGGAATTAAAAAAATGCCCCTGTAATTGTGTAATTATATTGTAGGTGCATGCGCTCAGACCAGTGATAGACCCCCCCCCCCCCTTTTTTTTTTCTTCTTTTGAGGCCACGCTAACGTTGGCTGGCGCTAATGGTCCCTTAACTCATTGAAACATATTTTAAGGGGAAATGTGCCCAGTCTACGGCACATGTGTGCCGTCGTCCACGGGCTTTTTATTTCAGAGTACGAGAAACCGACATATCTTTACACTAGTGTGACAGCTTCGCCGCAATAAAAGGTAATGCGTGGTGGTGCACGCTTTGCAGGCTGGCCGTGTGTGTGTGTGTGTGTGTGTGTGTGTGTGTGTGTGTGTGTGTGTGTGTGTGTGTCTTTTATGTGCACAGAGATTTTGTATGCTTCCAAGATGGCGTGTGTCGCAACACTGGTGTGTGTTGTCCTCTTGCGAAGTGTTGCGCAATCCACTTTCGGCTGCAACTTGGGCAGCGTTTGCAGCTTAAAAAACCGGATGCACACATGCCTACAACAATGGGCATGCGCTCCAGACTGACGTCATAAACCGGACGGCCCGTAACCCCGCCTTCGTAGAGCATTGCCGAGTTCACGAGTGGGACTATTTGTCTGGTGTGCGACTGGTGGTGACGCTGCGAACCGCGCTTGTAAAGGGTACAGCCATATCAATCCATGCATCCATCGTATGACGTCACTTCGAGGATTTGCGCGCCTCAAGGCTCCGCGCGCGTGAGCTGCGCGGATCACTTCGTCTTTGCAACGTTCGCGTGACTCGGCCTAAATTTGCATGACCACATCGTTGTTCGAGGCGTTCGCATCACGCCTGTTCACTTCATCTATTCGGCGTTTCTATGAAGTAATGTGCGCGGTAAAAGGGCCGCACCGGATAGCTTCCACCTTCGAGACGTCTTATAGACGAGTGCGTAAGACACCATGCGTAATTGCAGATTGCTTGAAACCAATGTATTGAATATATATATTGTTTGTCAGTGCTGATGTCTAAGCTTTGCACTGTCACGGACTGCGGAGGGACAAGGGCCTTTGTCAGGCTGTTCGCCTTTAGCCCTTTGCCCCTGCAGTGAGCTCTGTGTCCGGCTTACTGTAAATAAAGTACTACTACTACTACTACTACTACTACTACTACTACTACTACTACTACTACTACTACTACCAATAGCGTAAGTCATTGATGTGTCAGGGGGGCCCTGATCCCCCTTGTGTTTAGCCGTAGAGGGGGAGACCCTTCACAAAGTTCCTCCTCCCCCCTTTTTTTGATGTATATTTTCAAACGTCATGCATGAATTGTTTGACAGTGAAGTATGCCTAACGCACATTCCCTAAAACCAACTCTGAAATCTGAAGCCTTTCCAACGAGCAGAAACGACCGAAGTATAAAAGCGAAACCTTCTATTTTCGTTTCAAAAATGCATTGTAGAACACGAGCTTTCTAAAATGCTGCGGGTTTCTTCTAGCATGCAGTGAATGTTTATGTTGGCCGACTTCATTATGTAAATTAATTAGGAATCCCAGATTATGTTTATTTATTTATGTAGACTATTTGTGGAAGCCATCGACAATGGAGTATGAACCCCATCACCCGACTATGATTGTGTTACTTTAAATCTCCGGTGAACCCAATGTAGGTATGTATAAGCCGTGTCTCGTGTGCGTTTGTTACACGAAGAACATTGCTACCTCGAATTAGTCGAAATAGGGGCGGCCGTACTTCAGGACATTCGTATTTCCAGCCGCCAGTGTTAGAAGGAAGCGGCAAAGAAACTACTTTCTCGTCTTTGAACTCGGTGCTGGTTTCCCCCAGGTGGCAAACAACAACAACAAAAAATCTTAAGAGTGGTTTAGGGGCCCTTTAAGAAAGCCACTCTCCTTTCTCACGTTTTATGTTATACCGGCCCGAAAAACGTGTCGATACTGCCTTGCACCATGGCTGCGTGACTGGAAACTATCTAGATAATATTAGAGCCTCCGACGCGATTACGTGCTCGACGCGAACATTAGAGTTACTTCTGTAACTTACGCGACCGCTATAGCGTTAACGCTGGAACCTTCGATGATACATGTACGCGTATAATGGCCGACGCGCTTGACGGCTGCTAAGTTTATCGACGATTGACGCTCCGTCAACGCCTATATGCTATAAACATAGGAGGTGTTGGCTCTGCAGGTGCTCTGATGTCAGTGCACTACTTGCTGTATTTTCAGTGTCTATTTCATGGCCACAAGTTCGGCCAAATAAAGAGTTTCCCCTTGAGGATGCGCTGACTGCTTCCTTAGTCCACGTCACGACCTTGGGACATCATCCTGCTGTCCAGTTCTTTACCCATTCGATTTTGCGGGTGAGTGCAATTAGGAAGAATGCAAATAGGAAGAGTGCAATTAGGAATCATCACCACCAAGGAAGAAGAAGATTGATTAGGAAAAGACCTACAGTTGTTCCGTTTTCCACAGTATAGGCTTCAACTTAACTGCAGATAATGTTCTTACTATTTCGGTGCCTCTAGCCTGGGACGTTGCCACAGAAACGTACTCGATGCTGTATGCAATTTTATTCAAGAATCTAAGCGCATGTCATTATAAGGCCTGCTTTAATATATTTTTGACGAATGCTTGCGATAATGTGAATGAAAGTCGCACATTCATTCGATTTTGACCAGGTGAGATAAACTCAACTGTCTGGTCTACTCAAAAGGTCGGTCTTCTAATATAGTATTAGCTCGCATTTTGTCTTATTGATTCATCTTTATTTTATTTTTTTACTCTTATTGGTTCATCTTCATTTTATTTTTAGTTTATTATTTTTTATTATTTCATTATTTTTGTTTTTTGACAATAGGCTCTCAATCAGTGTATCCCATATTAGGGTACTACTAGATTTCATGGCCGATCCCCCCCCCGAGTGGGTATGTGCCAGTACGTACAGGCAACAAACAAACAAATTTAGTTGCTTTGTTCCAAGGCTTCCGCGTATGTTCACCTTCTGCACGCATTCGCACTCTTCAGACATGGACAACTCGTCGACGGTGTCCCTGTGGGCGCGCCAATCAACGAAGCGTCGGCGTCCACTCTTCGACCTCAAAGAGCGTTCGCCGAGGCTCATCCTCCGCGCCGCCTTCACCGGCACCTTGCTGCTGGTCAGCGTCGCCATCACGGTGGCCATCCGCCTCTTTGCCAACTGACGTGTCCCGGCGGGCCAGACGCAGTGTGCGTGAAGCGACTCCACCCTCTCTCATTGCCTCGTGAGCCTGAGACCGTGACATCTCCTGTGTGTACAATGTATGGACTATATATACGTTTCCCTAAACGCCAACGGCCCATCGATGAAGGACGAATGCGGAGGCTTCTCGGAGAGTACCACGGGAACTTTTTTTTCTGCCACTTCAGCGCTATTTACGCATGTACTGAATGAATTTCTGAGGGGTGGTTGTAGCAGATGTCTTGCTGTGGAAACAAGCGCCACCTGAAGAGCCCATCTTTCGGTTCTGGATGGAGCGGCAGCCCAACCTTTCGTGTGACTAATTAAACTCTCACGTATCTTCGCAAATTACCAATTCCTGCTCGTTCAATTTCCTGCACTGTGTCTTAATTTGCTCGATATTATTCACTGAGATGCCTTAACTGTACCTCGTAATTTCTAAACGCATCGCTTAAATCTAGGCCATGAACAGTGAATTTTGGCTCGAGTGTCTGTCGGTGTGCAGGAAAAAGTGATGCGCACAGTGTCGCGTTGGCATCAATTTCGCGCGATTCACAACAACATTCGCGTGCCTCAGAAACCAGTGGTATGCGCCATCGTACGGCGTCGGTGATTACGGAGGGCACGTTACAGTAAACTCTACAAATCTGTGTGGAATTTTTCGAGCGGCAGTACTTGTTCAATTGTTACGCTGCACAAATTATCGGTTAAGGCAAACCATGTTGACATAATAGCAGAGCGCTTCATCCATGTTCAGATGGAATTGTATAAGTCGGATCCGTCTCCTTCCTGTAAGTTTACTTATGACGTAGTTGCATAGATCCATACTAGCATTTTTCTAAGGGTTCAGGTACTTTAAAGAAGTTTCAGCCTGGCGATACTTCGTTTAATAAAGTTCACTTCCATTTAATTCAATCAGATTCGAAATGCGGCTGAATGCGCGCTTTCACGTTCTCGCGGACAAACAAAACAGACAGTAAGCTTGCATAATTGGTTACTTTCGCTGCACAACACGCATTTTCTTTTTCAAACTACCCGTATCTTGTGCAGGTGTCCAATTCTCGATAACTTCTATTTTTTTTCTATATTTTCATCATCTACGACTACTGGCGTATCCTGTCGTCTGAAGAACTGTGTCGTGCGAAAAATTTAACGCGGTAAACCACGTGTCGTCTGAGTGCGCTACCCAGCACATTTATAGATCTTGAAGCATTTTATCGCCTGAAAAGCGTGCACCACTGCGAAGTTATAGAAAGTGTGGCGAAGCTAACAAAAAAAAAAAAGAACGGAGTAGACGGAATTTTTTGCGTGTGTGTGTGAAGTGTGGTTGTACGTCGGACCACCCATTTCGCAGCGAAGCTATATGTGCTAATGTATTGCCACGCGCTTATTCTTTTCATTTTCGTGTGGTTGAGTTTCATCCAAATAAAAAGAAAGAAAACTGATCGCACCATTCAGGGGAAGGCCGCGCAGCAATGTCTGGGATGCTTCGCGATTAGTTCAGATTGCTCCGTTAAGATCACTTGCAGAATGTGACTATTCGAGTTTATTCCAGAGCTTTCGCGAGTACCAGTGATAGCGCGGGAAGTTTCCACCACTGTATTGTATAAAACACGACGCGTTCCGGCGTTGATGCAGCTTACCGTGGCGGCGTGGTTCGGCAACTCTGACTGCCGCTATCACTTTACGACGTGTGTTGCTTGTACACTGACTTTTAATTTTCTGGGCACAAGTGCACCCAATCGTTTTTTTTTTCTTTACCGGATGTGTTTGATTTTTTCACCGTCACACCCACGTGACAATATGATCGTTCTTCACGTTTTGTGAGATAGCCACATAAAATATCGTCCGCGATGAAGGCATCCGGGTCGATTGCAAATGAACCTAATGTATACACTACGATGGAACACTGCACGAGTATGGTGAGCATTGTGATGGGATTTATGTCGTATTATTAATTAAGCTGGTCATAATTTTGTCATGGTTCTGGCATATAAGCAACCCAGAACTAATTAGCGTCATGTTCTGCAAAAAAAATATCATAATACTGGTACTGAATCTACATTTCGGGCATGAGGTATTAACCAACGTGCTTAATAAAGAAGTTTAAACAGTTGTTAGTTTTTACTCTGTTGGAATTGCCCCGCCGCAGTGGTCTAGTGGCTAACGTACTCGACTGCTGACCCGCAGGTCGCGGGATCGAATCCCGGCTGCGGCGGCTGCATTTTCGATGGAAGCAGAACTGCTGTAGGCCCGCGTGCTCAGATTTGAGTGTACTTTAGAGAACCCCAAGTGGTCGAAATTTTCGAAGCCCTTTGCTACAGCATCTCTCATAATCATATGGTCGTTTTGGGACGTTAAACCCCACGTACCTATCAACTCTGTTAGTATTTGTTTACACGTTTATGTTCATATAGCGCCATAATGTGGCAAGTTTGACACCCCCCCCCCCCCCTTTTTTTTTCGTTCCAGAAGCAGCTGCTGGTCGATGGAATGGAATGAAAAACTTTATTTCAGTCCTGCAGGACGCGCTTGACGCGTAGCGGGGCGTCTCCCACGTAGAGACCGACAACGCGGCTGCTTTCTAAGGAAGGGTGTTGCAGATATATGAATCCTGCACCAGTCACACGACAGAGTAAAGAGTGTATATTTCATGTTCAAGAAAGTATACATCAACCACCAGATGTAACAGAACAAAGAATTAAAGACAGACATGCTAAGGTGTTGCTATATAGGATCAGTTACCCTGACAGCGACTGGTAGTAATCGTGGAGGAAGGAATGGAGCACAGTTGTTTTTGCGTGCCTTGCGAGATTCCGGCAGATTGTATAATTATTCGCTTTACAAAGTCTTAAGCATCCATTTTTATTTTATGCCAACTTTTCATTACAGCTTTTGTCTTTTGGAATTGAAAATGACAACGTGGGCTCCCAGATGGGTACAAAAATACGAAATGATTTCTGGGAAGATGTTCCTTCTGATGCGTTAATTTCGGCTGCTTGCGATAGTACAATGCGTCGTGGACAAACCGTAGCTGTCACTGTTACAAATTTACCCACCATATGAGGGCCGAATCGTAGCGATACAGTGCGGTAAACCGTCCACTATTGGTGCAGCAAGCTTGCCACGAAGTCTCTAACTCTTGGGTTTAACGAAAGAACGACAGTGCCTTTGTCTGTCATTTTCCGTCCATGTGTAGCGCTGTTTGTTCCCGTCTTAATCATGTACCAACCAGCCCAGTTAGGTGCCGTTCTTAAGACAATATCACGCGGCACCTTACGCTGTCATCATTAACGTCTTTGCTTCAGGAGTTACTTGACTGATCTAGTAATTGATTGTACGTTAAGTCCAACTGTCAGTCGGAACCGTAAATGTTAGAATCTTTACATTATCACCAGAATGGGACATCGTTGAACGGATGGTGATGCTGGCACGACGAAAAGAAAACGAGTGAAAGGGAGAAATCGATTTGGATCGCTCTCGGTGAATTCTGCATGCGCAATTACGGTTTACACTAAGCGCAAACACAGCCAAAACAACTGTACTCCTCGGAGAAGAATAGACGACAAAAGTGGCTTAATGAGAGCGGATAGGAAAGAGGCGCCCTCCAGCGTCGTCACTCCCAGGGAGCCCACACACCACCGTGCTGTTCGGGGAAGGCTTTCGGGTCAAGCGGTCTCAGCCTCGGTGACATGGACGTTGCTTCGTACTCTTCCAGCTTTCGCTTCAGCGATGCCAGCAGCTGCACGAATATGAAAAGGGGCAGTGAGAAGAGCGTTTTCGACGGCCAGCTTAATCGCGTGCATCGTGGTTCGCCGTCTCCACACTCTTCCTGGTAGCATTCTTTATTAGACTGAGCTTCGCTAGCTGCTGCCGCTGTTGTATACACCCATCACAGTTATTCTCTCGCTGCATTACGTACGCACAATTCTCAATATCTACAATTAATGATCGCGTCACCAGTACTATCGTGAGCATAAAGATTGTGCTACAAGGTAATGAACCTCAGGTGAAAGATAGACGTGGTACATCGAGCACTCTGAAAGAAAGCGATTAGGTTGCAATTCTGTCTGTTTTCGCTTCATTTATGTCCGCGTCGCGTTACATTAAACTTTCTTTTTCTAGTTGAATTGGTATGCCGACTATCTCAATATTCGTTCGTGCTAAGTTTGATTGCAAAAAAGAAGTGCTCCTGCCGATTGGCGAACACTACGACGCTTCAAAAATAACGAGTGAACCAATCGACAAGTTCATAATGCCTTGAATTCGTAACTATAGCCTATTTCCCGTTTGCCAGCCGGTATCGTTATTAGTGATATTTCCAGCATCAGGATGGGCTGAAACTCTATGTTATGAACTATTTCAACGTAAGGCGTATCTGTGAATTTAAACACACGGAATCGGAGTTCACAAAGTTCGTTTGGTTATAGTAATTGTCCTTTGCTACTGGCCCATTACCCTTGCTTATGCTATGTTCAGCATTACGACTGGTCGATCTCAACCGAACGTTACTAGCGTAATAAACTCTGATAAAAGACATTTTGCAGGACCCTTAAGCTTCGCAAATAAGAGCGGAACGGGATGGCATGACCGGGACCTGTTCGCATCGCCTTAATGTTCTCATGACGTATTATTCACTCCTGGGTGGACATTGCAGTTGTGCCGATAAAAAAAGAATGTCTGTGATCGTGACTTTGTGAGCTCTCCTTAGGTTGACCACTTCAAGTAAAGTCGCGAAATGCCCACTACGTCAAAATTTGTCATTTTGCAAATAAGCGCACTATTCATGGACTGAGCGTCCACGCATACGCAATTGGACTTTTTTTTTATGTTGCGGCTGAAGATATTTACGGCTGAGGACTTTGTGATGGGACCCCCTTTTTTTTTTTTCGAAACAGATCCAAGCACAGGCGTCGCTTTGTGGTAGAATGCCTAGTTTTGACCTCGGCTCAAACCCCCTTGCCACCCCTTCCCCGCAATCTTTATTACTTCATTCTAAACAAAAAACATCGAATAAAAATCCAGGTGTCTTTTTATCCCAAAACAATATTGATCACCCGGCTTGCTTGCGCAATCCCTTTCTTGAAAACTCGATCGGTGCTGGCCGATTTCCTATCAAGAAAGCTAGGTCACGCTGATAACGCGCCTGCCGTTCGTGACCTGAAAGTGCGGGACGCGTTGCGATATAGTGCAAGGAAAGTAACGACTATATATGGTTGTAGGGGGGGGGGGGAGTGCTTCTTTTACTCGATCGTTTCTTTTAGTGTTGGATTCACTGGGGTTTTCCGAAGCCCTGAATCGGACATCGAGCTTTTCGTCGCCAAATTCTACACCGGAATTCCTGCGAAACGGGTTCTTTTAACGCTGTTGCGCTAATGTACGCTCCCCTCCTGTTCTTTTCTTACCTCTGTTTCGGTGTCCGCGAGGTTGTGCAGTTCGCAAGGGTCCCTGGACAAGTCGAAAAGGTAGGGCGGTGCCCCGCTGACGAAGTTGGAAGGTTCGCCTGATTCGTCACACAGCACCGACGCATTCTGGCGCCACTGGATGGACGCCACGGCGCTGCTGGCGTTGTTGTAGAGACGTCGCAGGGCATCGGATGCCTGGGAGCGTGACGTCAGTTCGCCCAGGTCATCGTCGGACCTCGCACTGCCCGGAATCGGGGTGCGTTCGTCCGAGCTGCACGCAGGCGTACGCGCGCACGTCTCTCATTAGGCTCGAGTAGAAAGGAATATATATATATATATATATATATATATAAATATATATATATATATATATATATATATATATATATATATATATATATATATATATATATATATATATATATATATATATATATATATATATATATATATATATATATATATATATATTGTCACGTGCTACAAAAGGTCTTCAACTAGGAAGAACTGAGCCGGCGGGGAGACGCACCGAAAACTGGCAATATGGCTGCTTCAATAATAAACAACTGGCCAGAGCACGCGCTGCCCCAGAACATCGTCTTCCATTCTCGCGGGCAGCCATGGCTTGCGCTCGCCGTAACTAGCGGCCAAGTGGCATTATTCCCCCTCTGAGAAAAAAAAAAGGCATCACTCTGATGCTCGGAAAGTACAAAGGCAAAGTCGGGGCGAACCAACAGAAAATACGCGCATACACAAAAACAGCGATATGGTTCATGCGCAGTCGCACTACCGCGTGAAGTACGGCTTCAGGCGCACCACGTGGACAATCTCTGAGGAGTGCCTTCGCCGTCGTGGTGAGAAGGCGCCGTCAGGGACTACCTCGTAGTTCACATCGCTCACGCGTCGCAAGACTTTGTATGGTCCGAAGTAGCGACTTAGCAGTTTTTCTGACAATCCCTTGCATCGAACTGGAGTCCACACCCAAACTTGATCGCCTGGATGGTATTCAACTTGTCGATGGCGAGCGTTGTAGCGGCATGCGTCTGTACTCTGCTGGTGCGTAATGTGTAGGCGTGCTAACTGGCGTGCTTCTTCGGCGTACTGGGTAAGCTGCACAGCATCAGGAGTGATCAAAGCATCGCAATTGTGTGGAAGCATCGCATCCAGCATGGTCTGGACCTCACGTCCATAGACAAGACGGAAAGGCGTGAATCGAGTAGTTTCCTGGACGGCAGTATTGTACGCGAATGTGACGTACGGTAGCACCTGGTCCCAGGTCTTATGCTGGACATCTACGTACATAGATAACATGTCAGCGATGGTCTTGTTGAGTCGCTCTGTCAAGCCGTTGCTCTGTGGATGATATGCCGTGGTCTTGCGATGGCTCGTGTAGCTGAGCTTGAATACGTCATGAATGAGCTGGGCCGTGAATGCTGTTCCTCTGTCTGTGATTACGCACGACGGGGCGCCATGGCGAAGAACGATCTGGTCCATAAAGAATTGGGCGACGTCGGAAGCAGTAGCGCGTTGTAGTGCCTTTGTTTCGGCGTACTTCGTCAAATAGTCGGTGGCTACTACGATCCACTTGTTGCCGGCAGATGATAGTGGAAAGGGCCCCAGTAAATCCATTCCTATTTGATCAAATGGCGCTCTGGGTGGTTCTATTGGTTGAAGAAGCCCCGCGGGCTTTAGTGGCGGGGATTTGCGGCGTTGACATTCCCGGCAGCTTTTCACGTATCGCTTAACTGATGCAGAAAGCTTAGGCCAGTAGTATGCTTGTCGAACTCGAGCGAGAGTTCGAGAGGAACCTAAGTGACCAGATGTGGGCTCATCGTGGCAGGCAAGAAGAATGTCGTCACGCATGTCTGTTGGCACGACTAGAAGATAGGTTCTCTCATTGCCGTTGGAGTTTTTCTTATACAGGACCCCATCTCGCAGACAGAACGATGACAGACTTCGAGAAATACATCGAGGTATGGACGAGTTGCGTCCTTCAAGGTTTTCGATAACTGCGCGAATTTCATCGTCCGCACGCTGTCGCGTAATCAGATCTGTTGTAGTAAGGGCCCCAAGGAAACCATCGTCATCCTCGGTGTCGTGGCCACAAACTTCGACAGGTGCACGGGATAATGAATCAGCATCTTCGTGCTTGCGGCCCGATTTGTAAGCGATCGTGAAATCGTATTCCTGCAGACGAAGACTCCATCGTGCCAGTCGCCCACACGGGTCCCGTAGGTTGGCTAACCAGCACAACGAATGATGGTCGGTCACTACCTTGAAGTGGCGTCCGTAAAGGTAAGGCCTAAATTTCATAGTGGCCCATACAACAGCGAGGCACTCTTTCTCTGACGTGGAGTAGTTGACCTCGGCGCGGGAAAGAGTGCGGCTAGCGTACGCTATCACTCGCTCTGTGCCCTCTTGTTGTTGTACGAGGACAGCACCAAGACCCACGTTGCTGGCGTCAGTATGAATTTCAGTATCAGCGTCTTGGTCAAAGTGAGCGAGGACTGGTGGTGTCTGCAAACGCTCCTGTAGTTCAGAGAAAGCTGCGTCCTGTTCTTCCTCCCAGACGAATGGAACATCTTCGCGAGTGAGTCGAGTGAGTGGTTCAGCAATCCTAGAAAAATTGGCTATAAAGCGGCGGTAGTACGCGCAGAGCCCCAGAAAGCAACGCACTGCCTTCTTATCATGTGGAACAGGAAACGAGGCCACGGCGGTACTTTTGTCAGGGTCTGGTCGAATACCGTCCGCACTGACAACATGGCCGAGAAACTTAAGTTCCTTGTAACCGAAATGGCATTTTTCTGACTTCAGTGTCAGGTTAGCAGAGCGGAGCGCTTCCAGCACAGTCTGCAGACGCTTCAGGTGCTCCTCAAAGGTGGAAGAAAAGACGACAACATCATCGAGGTAAACTAAGCACGTGTGCCACTTTAGACCGGTAAGAACAGTGTCCATCATTCTCTGGAATGTCGCAGGTGCAGAACAGAGGCCGAAGGGAAGCACTTTGAATTCATATAGGCCATCTGGTGTAACGAAGGCGGTTTTTTCACGATCTCGTTCATCAACTTCGATCTGCCAGTAGCCACTTTTCAAGTCTATCGATGAAAAATACTTGGCTCACCGCAGTCTGTCGAGGGAATCGTCGATGCGAGGCAGCGGATAGACGTCTTTTTTAGTCACGCTGTTAAGTTTTCTGTAGTCCATGCAGAAGCGCAGTGATCCATCTTTTTTCTTCACGAGCACGACCGGAGATGACCAGGCACTTTTAGAAAGTTGGATAAAGTCATCTTGCAACATCTCTTTGACTTGAGTATTTATAACGTCACGTTCCTTTGCCGAAACGCGGTAAGGGTGTTGTTTTATGGGCGAGGCGTCGGTATACGTAATTATTCGACGTAGCTCGGTCTGTTGTTGTTCCGAGAGGGCCGAGTTGACATCGACTTTTCCAAGTAGTGAAGTCACGTCGCTTGGTGTCGGTCGAAGCCCGTCGTTGGCTGATGTAGATGCGAAGCATTCAGAAACGTCTGCGATAGGGTAGGCGAAAGCGATGGCGGTGTCACGAAACAGGGTGCCGGTACTCGTTACTAAAATTAGTCACAAGTAGGGCAGAGTGTCCGTCATAAAGCGTGACGAGGCTGCGTGCAGCGCAGATACCTAGCGCGAACAAAAGCGTCAAGTTGCCTTCGGCGACAACCTCACCATCCCGTAACTTGTCAGACAGCACATCAACTAGGACGCTTGAACGCGGAGGCAACGTGATGCTGTCGGCAGAAATGCGAAGCGTGCTGTCACGGATGTCGTCAGGTATGTCGGAGGATCCAGCTGTCGAAAACGTCACGGTACGCTCTCGAAGATCGATAATAGCGCCGTGCTCCCGCAAAAAGTCGACTCCGAGGATTAGGTCTCGGGAACAGTCACGAAGTACGAGGCAGCTGGCGAGAAACGTACGTCCCCGAATGCTCACTCTGATAGTGCACATGCCGATTGGGGTGACTACGTGCCCGCCGGCAGTACGAATTTGTGCTTCGTACCAAGGCGTTACAACTTTCTTTATGTGCGCTGCTAGTTTCCCGCTTATGATCGAGTAGTCCGCACCTGTGTCCAATAACGCACTAACGTCGTGGTGACCGTCGACTACCACATGTATATCCAGAGAAAATCTGCTTCTGGCTTTCGTCGCTGTCGTCGGGGAATCGCTCCGTGTCCGTGCTTGCGTCGGTGGGAGGCCTTGCTTGCGTCGAGTGTCAGCGGCCTCGCTCCCGAAGGTCGCTGTCGTTAGTTTTCCCGCCTAGGGCTTGGCGAGCGCGCCGGCGCCGCTCCTGGGAGGCTCCGAAAATTCGGAGAAGATCGCCTTGGGGATGGGGACCGTGACTGCCGCCGCAGTGGCATGCGCTGCTGTGAGAGGTAATCTTGAATAGCTCTCGGTCTTTCGCCAAATCTCGGCCGTGGTGCGTCGACGGCAAAACCCTGTAGTCCGAGGCGACGGTAGGGACATTCCCGGTACACATGTCCAGCTTCACCACAGTGGTAACACAGTGGCCGTCTGTCTGGTGTGCGCCATACGTCGGATTTTCTGGGAAGTGGCTGCCGATTTTCTAAGTGCTGAATTGGCTGCAGCGAAGGAAGTGCATCCTGATGCATAGGATTAACGAAGCGCGGTGAAGCAGGAATATATCGGCTTACAGCTTCTGCGTATGATGCACGATGTGGCTCCGCCGGGACAGGTGGGACATAGCTGGAAGGCGGAACTTGGAGAGCCTGTCGTACTTCGTTTCTGACAAGGCTGCAAATAGACCCTGCAGTAGGTTGGGACTGGCACTGAATCTTTTGTAGTTCGTCGCGCACCACCGATCGAATGAGATCGCAAAGAGACTCGATGTTGATGTTGCCTGCCGCACCTCCGATCTGACCTATTGACGAAGCGGCACTCACTTGCCGGTCGTACACAGTAGAGCGCTGCTGCAGCACTTGCTCCATGGTTGTGGCTTCGGTCAAAAATTCCGCCACGGTCTTTGGGGGACAGCGAACGAGGCCAGCGAAAAGCTGCTCCTTCACTCCTCGCATTAAATGACGGACCTTCTTTTCTTCTGCCATGTCGGGGTCAGCTCGACGAAAGAGGCTCGTCATGTCCTCGACGTACATCATGACGCTTTCATTCGGCATTTGAAGGCGCGACTGAATCTCTCGCTCGGCTCGTTCGCGGCGATCGGGATTGGCCCAACTTGCCAGCAGGTATCGACGAAAGACGCTCCACGAGGGAAAAGGCTCACGGTTTTCGTACCAAGTACGAGCGCCGTCCTCCAAGCTGAAATACACGTTCCTCATTTTGTCGAAGTCGGTCCAACCATTGTAATCCGAAACCCGTTCGAACTGGGCCAGCCAGTCTTCGACATCCTCCAAGACGGAACCGTGGAACACCTTCGGCACACGTGGCTTTCACAGCGTATGATGCGTGGTCGCACCGCTTTCCTGTGCGTTGCAGGTTGCAGCGCCTTCCACAGCGTTCGGGGATGTGACAGACGTCATTTCGGGAAGAGGTCCACGCTCAGGAGGTAGTCTTCGGAGTCTTCTGCTTGAGCGGTGGACAGGTGTTGTCACTGCAGGTACAGGGCTACCTGGAGGCGTTTGGATTATCGGCTGGGGGTTACCCAGCAGCTCCACCAGTTGTCACGTGCTACAAAAGGTCTTCAACTAGGAAGAACTGAGCCGGCGGAGGAGACGCACCGAAAACTGGCAAGATGGCTGCTTCAATAATAAACAACTGGCCAGAGCACGCGCTGCCCCAGAACATCGTCTTCCATTCTCGCGGGCAGCCATGGCTTGCGCTCGCCGTAACTAGCGGCCAAGTGGCAATATATATATATATATATATATATATATATATATATATATATATATATATATATATATATATATATATATATATATATATATATATATATATATATCCTGTGACGCTCTTTTGAAGATAACTAATTATTTCTGGGCTCTACGTACCTAAACCACGACTAACGCCGTAGTCCGGATGGATTAAGTTTGGCTAGCTGCGGTTTCTTAACTAACAAGGGGGACAGGTGGTATACAGGCTGATCATAAAGTATCGGCATTTTATGAAGCCAGATGAAGCCAGACTCCTACAGATGCTCTGGTAACCAGCTGTATGTATTTCATTTTTTTCTACTCTACAAATTTAGGGCAAGTCACCAGACAGTCTGTCGCCGTGTTAGTACGCATGATTATGTATTCATGTAGACCGTTGCCGGAGCTTGCTTCTTTGGTATGTAGTCATTCAAAAGAGGCCGAGTGAGTAGACAGTCTAATAATACGTGAAATATGAGCCCATTTCGGACACAGCATAATGAAAGGCCGTCGTCCCGGAGTCAGTTGGGATCCGCATCCTCAGTGATATGTGTCTAACTTGATGGAATTCAAAACGCAGTCTTGTATAAACAGTCGCAAAGCAATGTCGTAACTACAACCGCCTGGCGAGCCATGTATACTGTGCTTTATCGCATCTCTATCACGTTACACTTCTGCGAGCAGGCACTTCGTTTTTTTTCCAGAATCATTTGCGTGGCATCTTCCCGGTTCATGATCAACGCGATATTTTCATTTCTCTTTTGCTGTCGTGTGCATAGTTATACCTGCCAGCGGGCGGCGCTCCCAGCACGATCTTGTGGTCACCGTATCGCAGCGCAGCCGTGTTGCTCACGGGGTCGATGTTGTACAGGATGTCGGTGCGCGGAGACGGAAGATCCTCCGACAGGTGCCTCCACATGTCGATGCCATCCAAGTGCTCCAGATTGGCTGCGTCACCGCCTACGTAGATGCGCGAAAGTAGGATGATCACACTGCGCCGGAGTCGATGCGCTCGTAAACCACATCACAATTACAGCACTGATTCAACCCTCGGTGCTGAACGATATTCAAAATGTCATTATTTTTTAAAATGTTATTATTATAATTTATTCGATACCTACAACTCCAGAGGCATTACAGTGGGGTAGGTATTTACAACACATTTGTACAGTTATATATTTTGTCATACATAAAGCATAAAAAAATGAAACGGTAATGATAGCTCGATAACATACGTTAATCAAGCAGTATACAATAAATGTGCGAAAAACAATACAAGGCTGAGTCCCTTCAATAGGAATCGAAGTCAGTTTTCTTCATAACGTGTAACAAAAGATAAGAACAAAATAGAAGCAGTACGTCACAAAAACGTCAAAAATATACATGGGTCAGACAAAAATAAAAAATAACAAACACAATAATTTGAGCAGGGCAAAAAAGTAAACATGTAAATTAAACTGTCGCTTCAACCAGCGTTCCGGCAAGGCTGTCTTCGTCAGGACAGTGTCTTCGTCAGGGCAGGGCAACTCTGACGAAGACGCACTCCCTCGTCTTGATTGAGGCATTCCCTATACTTCTATATACGTCATGGCATGCGTGCTAGATACACACCGGCGGCCGCGTAGAGCGTGGGCAGCCAGTCGGCGACGTGCATGAGCTGCTGGGACACCCTGCCGCGTGTGGCGAGCAGCGGCGACCAGAGGAAGGCGGCTGCCCTGGAGGCGCCCTCCCACAGGGTGCCCTTAGAGCCACGCAGGGGCCAGTTGCAGCCGCGGCTGGCGTGAAGTCCCAGCGGGGCGCCACCGTTGTCGCTGCTGAACACGACCACCGTGTTTTCCAGCATACTCGCCTCCTCGAGGGCTTCGACCACTGCGCCGACCGACTCGTCCAGCACGTCTACCATGGCTGCGCCAGAAGAGAAATGATTCGATTTGCCCGTGTACATTCTTTACCAATATGAGATTGGACGTTGAAATTGCATCTGGTTAAATGTCACAGAGGCTAAGTAGGCAGTTGGCATGTGCGAAAGCGTTCATGAAAATAAATACTCAAGCGGGAATGTAGCAGTCCAGCGCACGTCACATTCACAACCGCAAATTATAAGTAATCCTTCAATAAACACGAATTCAGTGTTCCTACTCATATTGCTCACGATAGATAGTACGTCTCCGCATACCGTGCGCTCAGCAACGTCTCTGTTCTTGTGGTTGGAAAATACTTTTAACTAGAGATAGCTGTAAATTGTTTACAGAAATATTTGTGACAGGCTGAAAGGTCTTGCAATGGCAAGCTAAATTTTTTTCTTACGCTGCCTTGTGTCGTTAAACTTGCTCGTAAATGGCCGATTTAGCTGCAATTAGGCGGATTCGCACTCTCAAGAGTGAAATGGTTTGAACCCTCAAGAGTCGTAAAACTTTTAGGCTTATTAATGAGGGTGTTAGCCATGGTATTTTCTACCAACTATACTTCGTATAGATAAAGCTCAGATAGTGATGTTTCTAATTACACTTCATACACGAGGGAGTAGAGCGTGTTCGAGGTAGTTTCTATGCACCTTAGCAAAGTAAAAAGAACTATAAGACACGGTTTAAAGCAGTGGACTTGAGTAATGGCTAATGCCCTTGACTATTAATTAGTCACCGTAATAACATATTCATTGTTTCCCGGTTAACAGCGTTTGGCTAGGTACTTCCATTTATTTGTACCCTTTGCATATCAACTATGAGACACAGTTTAAAGCACTCGACTTGAGAAATGGCTAATACCCTTGACTATTAATTAGTCACCGTAATAACAGATTAATTGTTTCCCAGTTAACAGCGTTTGACTAGGTACTTTCAATTATTTCTGCCCTCTGCGTATCGTTCTTTCCTTGTTCGGTTGGTATACAGGCAGCGGCTTTTACAAAAGCCTGCGTATATTGCGACCGTTCGGAGGACTCACCAGCGTACACGGTGCGGTTCTCCTCTCCGATGTAGGAGAACTTGTCGATGTTCTCCTTGGGTGCAGCCAGTGGAACTTCGACGCCTCCGTGCGGCGCCTGGTGGCTCAGGTACATAAAGAAGGGCTGTACGCGTTATAGGCGAGATTGGACATTCCTCAAACGTCGAAATCACAGTGTTCACAAATCATCACGCACGTGATCACGAACACGAAAGTGTCTGGATCTAAAATTTTCGCACACACGTTATTGTGACAACATCAACATGAAACCTCACCTCGGACGCGTTGTGAGCCTTGATCAGATTCACCGCCTTGTCCGTGAACAGAGTCGTGGAATAGCGGCCACTGTCGTTGTTTGAACTGCCGACACCTTCCCAGAAGTCCAAACCAACGTGATCACCCTGTGCAAAGATGAATACCGTAGCATGTTTGCAACGTGTGACGAAGGGCGATGAATCAATTTGTTATCTGTGTTTACTGCATTAAAGCATGTTGTGAGGCGAACAGATGTAATTTTACTTCGTTTATCGCGTACATGGCGCACACCAATGTCTTCTTATGTATAGTCTTCTCTAGTATGTAAACGATATGAAAACTGGAGGGAGAGTTTTATCGCTATTATGAGATCACCACAAGGATCGCGCGTGCTGAAGATGTCCGCCGCCGTCGCCGGTGTCCGTAACAACTATCACGCAAAATGAGGGGAAAAGAGTAAGCAAATAAAATGCACCTGGGGCACAATATAATTAAAAAAACCGGGTCCCTTGCGTGCCAGCCCAGTATTCTACCACAGAACAACGCCGGTGCTTCAAAATCCGTGGCAAACTGACCTTAGGCAGACTGGATGTCGGGATGGAATCGCTGATTGATTGATTGATTGATTGATTGATATGTGGGGTTTAACGTCCCAAAACCACTATATGATTATGAGAGATGCCGTAGTGGAGGGCTCCGGAAATTTAGACCACCTGGGGTTCTTTAACGTGCACCCAAATCTGAGCACACGGGCCTACAACATTTCCGCCTCCATCGAAAATGCAGCCGCCGCAGCCGGGATTCGAACCCGCGCCCTGCGGGTCAGCAGCCGAGTACCTTAGCCACTAGACCACCGCGGCGGGGCGGGATGGAATCGCGGTAAGATGAATAATAAAGCGTTTTGGAGCAACCAAGAAACAAACCGGCATCACACAATGTGGATTGCGTAACGAGTAGGTCGTCAAATGCTCAAACCTACCACAAAAGTTTTCATTGTCGTCAGCCACAGCATCAAAAATTTGCACAAAATTCCTTACAAGTGTGTAGAGGGTATACCACGCTTCTCCGAAGAATGACTGATTTATTGATTGATATGTGGTGTTTAACGTCCCAAAACCAGCATATGATTATGAGAGACGCCGCCGAAGAATGACTATAGGGATGGTGTGGTGGATGCCTTCCGACTACATTGGAATCACGATGAATATTGCTGTAGTGGGTACCCTCAAGTGTGCTTGTAGTCGTTACCCAAAGAGTGTTTAAAAAAGGGCTCTGAAAGGCCACCCTTCCAGCTTTAGCCGTGACTGTGCTGCGCGTTCCACGTAGGCCTGCATGGCGGCTTTTTCGTTCTGTCAAAGACAACATATGCTGCACTTACACGTGTACAAAAACATGCACAATGCGCTATGAAGGACGCTATGTATAGCAGAAAGCAGGTTGAGCTACTTGGAAGGGACTCATTGTGCGGCAAAACAGACGGGAATCGATTAGACATCGTAAAAGAAAGAAAAGGTCATGTTCAAACAGTTATCTCATAAATGTCCTACCTACACAAGAGGTACTCCGGCAACACATAACAAATACGAACGTGATCATGGGAGGTGTAGCCTGCCCTGGGAAGACAGCTGGCGATCCGCTGTGGCCAGTGAGGCCCCGTAAGAGGGACCCCGCCCGCGATAAGCCATCCGAGCGTTCTGTTTCATTAAAGTTATTTATTTTTTCTGCACGTACACCCACATGTGTGCCATTGGCGAGTGATTCTTCTGTTCCCGAGCACGTGCAGTCAAGTTGTGTGTCTTATTCACCATAACACCATTCACCATAATGTTCGACATAACGCCATTGCGTCATCGCCTTCCATTTTTAAGGTCAAAGCTTAACGACAATTCTTGACTGTGGTGCACCCGAAAATTTCGCTAACAAATTTGATCACCTTGGGTGCTCCGATGTGCGCGAAATATTGAGATAACAAGAAACAGAGAGGACCCCAAGCATAAAGAAACCAAACAAAGTTTTAACTTCAGGCACGAAGTCCCACCTTCATCTAGTAGGAATGCTTGCAATGCTTGTAAAACAAGGTCTCTCTATGACGCCAGTGTTTGTCTACTGCATATTTGTTGGCTCTCGTTGGCACAGATGAGTGTTGGTAGTGCAGCTGGTCAGTGTACCTGTTTAATTTCGCCAGAAATTTCCGGTTGCGCGTACTCTCGAGACCCACAAAGCTGTGGACTGAAGACTAAAAAAAAAAAAAAAAAAGAAGTCCCATTCTGTATAACGTCATGACGTAAAAGATCTCTCAATACGTGCTCACCGCTATGATCACAGTTATAATTCAAGCCAACGTCACTTCACCGAGGAAACATGTATGTAATTATTTTCTTGTTTCGCAGAAATTCACGTGTCAGCATCGTTAATTGTCAGCCAAAAATCATCTTATGCGTGACTAAAAAAACCGAGAGGGACGCTAATAAAAAACCCTGTAGCAGAGTGCACGGGGACCAAACCAGGGTCGCAGGGCTGTTGGGGTCTGATTGGGGATCGAACCCGGGTCGTTTGCGTGGCAAGCGGATGTTCCACGCCACGGTCACGCCTCTTTTTTTATTGCTTTTTTTTATTGAACACGGCCACGCCTCTGCTTGTGAAAAGGGTGAAAAGAACTTTCTCTGCTTGGAAACGCAGTGAAAGTAGCTTTTATGCCTCACAAACACGTGCGTCCTGTATACATGCTTCACAGTACAACATCTATTATCGCAGTAATAATGCATGGTACAAGCGTCCGTTTCCAACGGGCGTCATAATATGTGATTATCATAATGGCTCCATGGTTGAAAGCCGGTGCCCCACTACAAAAGGCACACACGTAATGCGCCTATTCCCTTAAGACTACGTAGTGGATGCATATCAAATTCGAACAGGTTTCATGCACCAAGTGTTTGAAGTGCGCACTAAGAACAGTATGTCGCTACCGCGTTCAACTTCTGAAGGCGAAGCTTTAGGGCCCCCTAATTTTTGTTATTGAACTCCGAGGTCGAGAAACACGCACCGCTAGAACAATAGAGAGGGAGCCTGGAGGACGGCCAAATATCGGAGCACTCGTGGTGAAGTTATTTCCGCCCTGCCGCTGCAGGGGAGTCGACCGCGCCAGTTTATTTTCGCGGAAAGAACGCGAACAGACAGAAGCCACAACGTGCGAGGCAAGCGCAGGCGTTGATGTTTTCTCATTACCAAGGCGGCTACTCGAGAAGCGAAGGAAACGAACAAACTGCGTATATATATAGGCTCCATCGTCCGCCCATCGCGCAAGAAAGGAAACAGTGCCGCTGGCCCTTCGCGAAACACTAGCGTGCGTAAGTGCTTCGTTCGACTCTTTTCAGTGAAAGCTCGCTCCTGGATTACTGGTCGAAATTTCCGGAGCCCTCCACTACGGCGTCTCTCATAATCATATGGTGGTTTTGGGACGTTAAACCCCACAAATCAATCAATCTATCGCTCCTGGATTACTTCGCAGGGACGCAACGTAGTGTTTTCGGTGCGCAAATGTTTTAGTGATCGTGAAGTCGCGCTCGCTCAACACGAGACTTCGTTTGATCACTGTTTCTCGTAAGGAGCAAGAATACGCGAATGTAAGCCGCGAAAACAAAAACAAGAAGTTTTTATTATTTTTAAAATGTTTGCTCAGTCTACACCCGAATTGGACACTTATCGGGTGGCGTGGTGTGCAGGTGTGTGCAAGACGGTCCAGAGAGAGAGAGAAACGAGAAATAAGGAAGGCAGGGAGGTTAACCAGATGCTAGTATCCGGTATGCTACCCTACACTGGAGTTGGGGAATAGGGGGTTGAAAGAGTAAGGAAGAGTAAAAAATAAATAAGAGAAAAACACCGACACACACGCACGCACAAAATCAGTCCACTCAGAGGCGTTCCGAAAGGCCAGTAGTTCTGTCAAATCTACGCCGTGGTCCACACGAGCAGTTGGTATTTGAAACAGCAGAAATGCTACACCATATAACAGAGAAAGGGCACCACGTTATATTTCAGTGGCTGCCAAGCCACTGTGAAATTATCGGTAACGAACGAGCTGATCAAGCTGCCCGTTCAGCCCATACAGAAGACAACGACCAGTCAATACCTCTCTCAAGGACGGACGCTGCTAGGAGGCTCCGCATGCTTGCTCGCCAACGCTCCCTGGCTCTTTGGAATGAGCCTTTCTTTACGCATGCAAGATTACGATCCCTTGATCCAACGTTAAGCATGCAGCTTCCAACAAAAATTCGACGAGGCGACGCTACTGCTCTGTGCAGACTATGGTTGGGAGTCGCGTTTACCCGTGCGTACGCGTTCCGCATAGGTATGGCCGACACTGCCGACTGTGCACACTGCGGAGATGAAGAAACAATTCAACATATTCTGTGTGACTGCCCGAAATACAACCTGGAAAGACAACCCCTTTCTAATAAACTGAACAGGTTAGATGACCAGCCGCTGTCAGAAGAAAGTATACTGCGCCATCGTCATGACTCATCGTCACAGAAGAAAGCCGTGCAAGCGCTACTGGGCGAGACGGTCCAGATTAGCATAACGCAAGGCAGCTGCGCTCAATGTATTCATCCGTGCAACGTTGCAGGAGATAATCAAGGAGAACCATTTCTTTGAAAACCCTTTTTTTGGAAGCACTGCTACAGTGACCGCGAGATGCGTGGCCGTATACTCATTTCATCCGTTGTTCATGTATTCCTCCACAGAATTTAGACGCAAGAAGAAAAAAAACTTGGAGGACGCTTGAGCGTCCACTTCAAGAGCAAAACGAGATATATTGTAATCGGGATCGCCTTCTGCATTGCTAGCTTAGCTTACGTTTTCGTGCCTCAAAAAAAAAAAAAAAAGCGACTGGGCGAGTAACATAGGCCGTTTCAAAGTACCTCAGAATGTCTACTGTCCGTAAGTGCAGTTTTAAGTGTCCACTACGCCATAAATATCCCTTTTGCGAATAAGCGAAGGGTGCACTTGAGGCAACCTGCAAACCTACGCTTTGTAGGTTGCGCGCGTGAGGCAACCTGCAAACCTACGCAGGTGCTCACTCTGTTGATGCTTTTGCAGCTGCCGAGGATGAAAATGCGTGTAAGTGATTTGAAATAATGGGTGGGGCTTTAAACTCAGTCACACTCGTTGCACATGTATCGGCACGTGGCGTGATTCTATACGCATCTGCCACGCAAAATTACTCCATCCACTAAATAAAGCTCATATACTGTTTTTTTAGATAACTCTTGAGATAACTTTGTGATATGACACCTTTCTTACCACACAGACGGCCTGTGTTTGATCCTCACTCAAACCGAAAATTTATATTATTTATTTTATTTGCATCTTTCTCGATTTTTTTTTTTCGCTCACAACCAACGACACTGACAACAACACCGGAAGTTCGGCGAAATAAGCCCTTTAACACTATAAAGTTAAAAAGAAAGAAACAAAGAAAGAGAGAAAGAAAGAACGAACGAACGAAAGAAAGAAAAAAAAGGAAGAAAGGAAGAGAGAAATAAATAAAGAAAGTTAGCCTGGCAAGCTACAGTGAGTTGGAAATAAGTGCGCATGATGCTTTCCGATGTGTTGAATAATCTGGCGTACGAAATCACTTGAATAATTATTTTCACTGAAGGTCTCCAATGCTGGTCTCCCCAGCTTGCACAAGCCGATGCAAAACAGTGCTAGTCTTGTCGTAGTGTTTTCTTGCTTCTTAATAGTTAGTTTAGTTAGTTAGTTAGTTAGTAAGTTAGTTAATGATTTGTAGGGTTTAACGTCCCAAAACCACCATATGATTATGAGAGACGCCGTAGTGGAGGGCTCCGGAAATTTCGACCTAGTTAGTTAATTAGTTAGTTAGTTGGTTGGTTGGTTAGTTAGTTAGTTAGTTAGTTGGTTAGTTAGTTAGTTAGTTAGTTAGTTAGTTAGTTGAATCCTTCTGACTGTCCGTCCGACGGGATGGAACTTAACGCACAATTAATGATACAAACCATTAAAAACAGTTCAATAGAAAATTTACGATTGATGACTAATTTATTCGAAAACTGAACCTACATTTTGGTCATTTCAACGCATTATCTGAAGGTATCAAGTGGCGCTGCCATGGTGGTCTAGTGGCTATAAGGTACTTGACTGCTGACCCGCTGGTCGTGGGATCGATTCCCCGCTGCGGCAGCTGCATTTTAGATGGAGGCGAACATGCTGTAGACCCGTGTGCCCAAATTTTGGTGCACGTTAAAGAACCCCAGGTGTTCGAAATTTCCAGAACCCTCCACTACGGCGTCTCTCATAATCATACGGTGGTTTTGGGACGTTAAATCTCTCATATCAATCAACCAGATATAGCGGATTAATAGTCCAGTGATGCAAAGCAGAAGGGAAAGAGCTGTATTGGTTATACCTCTCTGATGGTGTGGTTGAAGTAGTCCTCTTCGCCGTTGTAGTAGCCGTAGAAGCTGTCGAAGCCTCGGTACGTTGGGGTGTACTCGTCTTGCACGTAACCCAAGTGCCACTGCGAGTGCGTGCGAGAAAATACAGGCGCTTCTACACGTTGAATACATCCGGAGACAATGTCAATTTGACTAGCTCGACGTTGGCTCGCCCTCATAATACTACGACAGGCTAACGCCCGAGCCATCCATAGCGATTAGAGAGATTTTGTTTGAAAAAAATATTACGCTTTATATTTTGCTTACAATTTCAAACTGAAGTATAGGGGAAAAAACTGAATTATCGATAAACCATCCTTGAACGGCGTTTTCACTATGACACTGATCCCTAAAAGCGTATAAGCACGAGCGATGAAGTTTCTCTTCTAGTACTTAGGTAATAAATTAAACAAATGAAAACTCCCTCACCTTACCGACCATGTGAGTGGCGTAGCCGAGGTCTTTGAAGTACTGCGGCATCAGCTTGAACTGAAGCGGCAGCCCCCAGGCTTCGGCCACCTGTATCACCAGGCTCTGCATCCCTGCGCGACGACACGACTACTTTGTGACATATATCCAACTCGCCGGCAGGCGACGTTAGCCGGGCCGGCTATAGCTTCTTTTATTTATCAAAAAAAGCTCAGATATGCCTCGTAAAACGAAAAAAGTGACGATACGTGTCAACAAAAGGGATGCGAAAAATATTCATGCGTTGACGTCTCGCCTGCTACGTCATCGTGGCGTCACTTGTAGCCAAATTCTCTGACGTCATCATAAAATCGACTCAAACTGATCGAGAAAAAGAAAAGGAGAAAATGGCTTTCACATTTCAGCCGTCAGAGTCTTTCCATTTTTCCACTATAGATGACCAAAAAGTGTAGCCCACATTGGCATGAATATATATATATATATATATATATATATATATATATATATATATATATATATATATATATATATATATATATATATATATATATATATGTGTGTGTGTGTGTGTGTGTGTGTGTGTGTGTGTGTGTGTGTGTGTGTGTGTGTGTGTGTGTGTGTGTGTGTCAGCCAGACACATATTGTTCAGATTCAGAAAGTAGGAAAAGATTGTGTGTTCTGCTGATGTTGATGTCCGTGGGTGTCTCCTTCTTTCAGCCACTTAAAGCATCATTAGATAGAACTCTGTCCCACTGTAACTTTCAGACTTGACATGCATCTACTCCATGTGCTTAAAATGAACACGCTGCAAGTAGTCTTTATACTGACGCTTCAATACACGTATAAATGCCACATGTGTACATACAAATGCATTAGAGGACTTGTATGTACACCCCTTCCGGCCTCCGCTCAGCATTTATGCAAGTAGGTCAGATGGGAGTAACATTTTATCGTTGGAGAGCAACGGGGAGACCAATATTGTCGCGACATGAAGATAGAGGAGGTATTTGAAGAAGCTGATGAAGCAGCAGTGTGTCGGTCTTTTTATTTACCGCGCGCCCGAGATTTCCTCGTCTTTCTCGTTGTTGCGTTCTGCATAAAAGCGTGCAGATGCGCGTATGCACTGTCGCCTTCGTCTTTCTCGCAGGACGCACGTGACATTCTGTTACGTGCCTTCCGTTAGTCCCCATTTAGGAAAGGAACTAACAACTAGTACAGTCAGTTAGTCTTTTTGTCGTTACTCTAAAGGGAGTGATGGTTGTGGGAACGCTGTTACTCCCTCAAAGGAGCGATGCCTGCAACCCATTTACTCTCTTTTAGTTTAGAGAGAATATATCCAGCTAATGTTAAATATAGCGGTGATATTTCCTGCGTTTTTAACTTAGGGCGTTTGATTCTGGTGCGTTCAGATAATTTTTTTCATCATCGTCTATTTCTTAATAATAAATATTTTCTCGAAATAGGGCATTTAGTATTTTCATAGTTGTGGGCTTTTCACATTTTCGGAAGCTCTCACCCGCGCAAAGAAAAGGGGTATCGAGGTTGTTCCTTTAGAGGAGTATAACCAGCTTGCCACACCCATTGTGCCATTTCGGGTGTAACTGCGAAGGAGTAACCACGCTCTCGCAGTTACTCTTCAAAGGAGCCACAGTTAGCAAAAGGGAAATCAGGTTTCGCTTGGCTTAGCCAACCTTTCGAAAGGCGTGCTGGCATTTGCCTAGACGCACAATCGATGGGAAAGCATCAGATTCAGAAAGAAATTTCAGAAAATTAGCAGCAAACATCCGGGATTCGAACTCCCGACCACTCAGTCAGCATGCGCGTACACTAACCCCTACAGCACACCACGCTACGAAAGAAAACAGTCTTGTGCAGGCACGGATCGGTCGTTTGCATACGGCGCGAACAATCCTGCAGTTTCTCAAAAAAAAAAAAAAAAAACGGACGCTTTACTCCGCAAGGAGGACAGCGCCCCTCCTTGCCCTGCGGAAATGTCGTAGGCCCGTGTGCTCAGATTTGGGTGCACGTTAAAGAACCCCAGGTGGTCAAAATTTCTGGAGTCTTCCACTACGGCGTCTCTCATAATTATATGGTGGTTTTGGGACGTTAAACCCCACAAATCAATCAATCCTTGCCCTGCCGTGTGCAATCCTTTGTGCACATTTCGTCTTAAGGAGGAGCAAAAAGCCCTTTTCGGGGGTAACTGCTCAGTTCCTCCACAAAACTTGCATACATGCGTACGCATATACACGTACCGGTGTGTATGGGATAGAGTCCCGTCATCAGTGCTGCCCGCGACGGAGTGCACATGGGCTGGACGTAGTAGTTGTTCAGCACCACGCCGTCCGCAGCCAGGGCGTCCATATTGGGAGTCGGGATCTGGCTGGAGCCGTGGAAGCTCACGTCGGCCCAGCCCTGCAGAGAGGCATAATTGCTCGCTCTACGAACCTCAGCTCAGCACTACTACCTCAGTGCCTGTTCTGCACAGACTCCCGTATGGACTAACCATGGCACTGCACACGCATACTTGATTGACTTATTGAAGGAAATAATGTTATTGAGGTCCGTCTGGACACGCTCCACAATAAAATTGCTGTCTTTCTACGTCCTTGAAGTACCCGTTCTATTTTTTTATTGGCCAAAGAAATTAGGCTATAAATACCCCCCCCCCCCCCCCCTCAACCCACACACACACACACTTTCCTGTCTCTAAGAAGAGGAAAACATTCACGATTCTCCACCTTTCTTCACGCAGCATGTGTTCTTTCGAAACTCGAAATAAGTGTAACTTTTCTTAAACTTGTTCAGCTGTATCCATGAACAGTCTCGTGCGACATGGTATTGGTAGACGCGTCGATAAACACATACGTGGTATGTAACTCCTTCATTACATTTGCACGTGCTTGCCGTCCGTCACGGCTCACACAAATACGGCATGATTGTGATCTCTTAGGTCGCTCGATAGAGCTACAGCCTCATCGTAAATCGCTGATGTTACACCGCTGCATACGTCGCCGAAAAAGAGTAAGATGTCTAGAGCAAATGTTCGGCCATTTGTACATATAGAATACATTATATGGGAGAACAAGAAGATGTCCCAGGTATACCATTGTACCACAGAGACTAAAGGGGATGTTGCTGCAGAAGATGTGCTTAGTAACGATTCACAGTACTTTTTACGCTACTACGGGAGGGTAGGAAGCCGTCCCACATAACGAATACTGTACTCGCAGTCACTACAATCACTGTGTGCAGAAAAAGTGGTTAACGATTTAGAGTACATGGTACTATAAAATATGGGAGAGCATATAGCCGTCCCATGGGGCTATATTTAGACCATATTTAGAGTGATTTGTACTCTGCTATGCGAGAGTGTGTTCATAAAAAGTGTTTAACGATTTAGAGTACTTTGCAGTCCCCTATGGTAGAGCAGAAAGTCGTCCCGTGTAGGTGCCACCTGTGTTTACAAAAAGTGGTCAATGATTTAGAGTACTGGGTACTCTGCTATGGGTGAGCATAAAGTCGTCCTGTAGACCTCACACTTGATGAGGCCCTGTTGAAAAAAATTACGCCGTGAACGAGTTCATGAGAACCACCTGTTAAGAAAAAGTGGAGAAGAATTTAGAGTACTTGGTACTATACTACAAGAGAGCTGAAAGCCGCCCCATGGGTCTCACACTTGATGAGGCTGCATCGACAAAAATTACTCGACATTGAATCCAAGAGCCCGTATACCTATCTATCACCGTATCGGCATAGACCTGCGTGTTTAGAAAAAGTGTTTAATGATTTAGAGCACCTGGTACTCTACTATGGGAGAGCCTAGGGCCGTCCAGTGGGCCTCACACTTGATGAGGTCGCGTCAACAAAAAATTCATTGCGTCCACCTTTGGGTTAGTCGCAATCACTCTCGAGAGTATAACAGTTATCTCACGTTGACCGGCTGCGCTCAACATTCTGCTTGATTTCTCTACGTGGAAGAGCCTCCGCACATGCACTACCTTCTCTTCAGGTTTTGTCAGCGCATATAGCTTGGGACAATACCAACCACAGCATGAAGCGCCAGCCTTGAAAACCTTTTCTGAGCGCTTAACATTCTCTAAGCTAACGCCATCAAATACAAAGTATAATGCACATTTTTTGAAGATAAGGACCGAAAAATCAGAAGCCACAACAGAGGGCACTTCGATATATCCCAGCCTGCTATAAACAACGAGGTCGCATGTTTCAACTTCACCGATTAATCATCCGTGCAAGATACTTGAGTGGTGAAGGCATTAAGATTTTCTCCCCCTAACACCTTTTCAGCATTCACCTGATCGCAGAGCGGCGCGCTCGGCGACGCTCCATCGTCAGACGTCTCGTTGCAGTAGTCGAGTCTGCCGGATGGTTCCCCCGCTGACGCGTCTCACCTGTAGCCCGGTCACAATCCGCCCACACACGCAAGAAGGGAGACGCCCTCATCGCGTTCCATTCTGACCGACCCCGTCTCATAGGCTTTCGCCGAATACACTCTGGAATTTGCAAAGTGTCCTTCAGTTTTGAATAGCTGTGTACAAGAGATGCGTTTACGTATAATAGAAAGTTGGTTAAGGAAAATGCGAGTGATATTTACATAATTCGCTTTCTTTCGTTCGTTTTACAGGGCATGGCACGATCTTCAGGCATCTCGATGCACCTCCGAGAAATGCGGGATAGAACACCTATTCGCCAAAAGATTCAATCGGTTAAGGGTGAGGCTCACGACGTTGTTGCGAGTGTGGCCTGAAAACAACGTTCCTGATCATGAGAGATACTGGTTACAACACAGGAGACGCTGAAAACTGCACACAAGTGCGAAGGAAAGAGACAAGACATCCAATAAAGAAACATCGTGGGGCGTATGTGGGTCTCAGTCAATATGTATACATACGCACCAAGTCGTCGGCGAGGATGAAGACAATGTTTGGTGGTTGACGTTGTACAGCGGCCACCTCCAGTGCAGCAAGGTGCAGGGCTGCCACGAGTGCTGTCACTATCTGTCGGAAAGGCGACAGGTTAGAGCGGCCAACTCGCTGAATGGCATACGAATTAATTTTTGACACCGCCTCGATGCACGCTTCAAGATTACTTGACGGTGCCCACATGAACTTGAAGTAAGCGGAGCAACAATTGACCCCGGCTTTCGCCGGTAAAATATTTTGCGAGGTCTCTTTTCATTAGTTCAGTGGAGAAAACGTTGCTTGAGGAATGAAGGCTGAGCTATCACTTAGTTTAAATTTCGCGCCAGCGCTTGTTCGACCTTCACTGTGATGCAGAGGTATTCAGTAGGTTCTTCCCTTATATGTATCGTCTTCGCGCACGAAAAGTACTCGAATATTGCTGAGTTGAATGCTTCGTTTGGTCATAATGGGATGTATCTTTTTCTTAATAAACATGTTTTAGAGTTAATGACGTCACTGGATGTCTCAGTTGGCGAGGGTACTGTACCACAGTAAAGCACCATGGTCGCCACTGAGGAGGTTTTAAGTGTGGAGCACTATATGTGCTTCACACAGTGTGGCCAAGCTGTCACATGCTTTCTTATGCTGTCGTCGTCACTTGGCATAGCGCAAGCAAAAGCACATGTAGCAGATTGAGCGCTCTCTCGCGCTAAAAAGAAGCCTTCTTCCACTCGTTCATCGAGCGCCTTCATGCTGATACAAAGTGTGGACGTAACTTACCCGTCTATAGTTTACTCTTACATTACTTACTACATAGCTTACTGAGCTATATAGTATATCTGAACACAGCGATTCCTCGAAGATAGCTTGCGCCCATCACTTCACCGTTATTGATAGCACATCCTGCTTCTAAGCATAAGATTTCCTGGTCATTAATGCCTTAATATACGCCCAGAGCAGCCTTTGCAAATGCGCACTTTTACTGGGGCAAGCAGTATTCCAAGGCCATCGTAAGGATGGTTCCCGCTCTCGGTGATGGAAAGTTGCGTGAGTCAGAGCAATAAAGTCTTCGCTGAGATTATATTTCTAACTTTCTTGGTCGCCACCCTTCTACTCGATCTCGGTCTTTTCTGCATATTGACGTACAACTGCTCACTTAGTCACCGGACGCAAAATAACGGCAATCGCAACCAGAAAAGAAATGAACGGCACGTCAGTTCTTTTTTTTACAAACTGGTCTACCGTTAATTTATTCTCTTGTTTGCCAAGTATCTTTACAAGATAAAAAAGAAAAAAAAAACTATTTTGCAACTTTATAACAGAAGTCATTCGCATGCTTGTGGTTCCGCCTAATAATCCTCATTAGTGTCAATGTGATGCTTCAGCTGATGAGCGGCGTCCATTCACCTCTCAGTACCAAAACTAGGGTTGAATAACTGATTGCATTACATATGAGGAATGTGTGATAACTGCATGGCACGTCACATCGGTTAACGTGGGCAGATAATCTATTCAAGCATATAAACACATTTGAACTCATGTTTTGAAAGTTGGAATATTATTATACGAACCTGGATCGATGCTGGCATGGTTGTCGTTTGAAAGATTCGTTCCCAAAACTTTCTGATCGTTCATCCGTAGGCTGCTTATATATACATTTACAGCGTCACTGCTCGCTCCCAGCCCTTGCAACGGACATGGTCACGTGACTTGTCCCCTGGAGGTGACTGAACTCATCATTTGGCAAGCTCATATCTGGACACGAAATAATAGAAGCTCTGCAGCTTTGGCCCACCACGTGCTTATCTTACGAATGGACGCCGTGCTTCGTGTACGAGAAGACGGCGCCAGACTCGGTATTTACGGGTTCTGTACATTTCCCGATACGCAAAGCACTTCCGGGCTCTCCATACAAGACCAAATTGGAAATCTGTTCAATTGCTATCGTCAGGGCATTTTTGGTTTGCTTCCGCTCCTATTTTTTTTTTTTCATTTTGAGAGGCCACCGGCACATGTTGGGACGTGCAAGTGAGTAGTGGAAAATGTACGAGTGACGCGAACTGGTGAACGTCAAAATTAAGAGTGTACCTCAGTGATCGATCCACTCCATGATCGTCAGAGTTGGGCCCCCATGTATTAAATCGATATCTCCATGAGGTGAATATGCACTGGAAGTCTGGCACGCTGTCAGTAGAAATCTCCAGTAAGCTCACTCACTCTCAACCAACCAATCAATTAATCATCAGAGACCAAATTTGTTTCATTATATTTTTTTCTGTGATAGCAGTATTTGAGAATCTTGATGACCTTTGTGACTGCGTTACACCAGTGCTGCTAAGGTCGATTATTTGATTTTTATGTGGGGTTTAACGTACCAAAACCACCGTATGATTATGAGAGACGCCGTAGTGCAGGGCCCCAGAAATTTCAACCACCTGGGGTTCTTTAATGTGCACCCAAATCTGAGCACACCGGCCTACAGCATTTCCGCCTCCATCGGAAATGCAGCCTCCGCAGCCGGGATTCAATCCCGCGATTTGCGGGTCACCAGCCGAGTACCTTAACCACTAGATCACCGCGGCGGGGCGCTGCTAGGGTTGAGCTCACTGACGCAGTGCATCGAAATAGCAGAAAAGGAACACAGGCCCCTGTGGCTAGCATTTTTGGATATCAAGGGAGCGTACGATAGTGTGGTTCAAGAGGAATTGTGGGGAATACTGGACACACTAGGCGTGGAACATGTAGTCATAAATCTTTTAAAGGATATCTATAAAGGTAACAAGGTAGTTATAAAGTGGGAAAAACAGGTATCCAAGCCTGCAGAGGTAAAACAGGGGCTTAGGCAGGGGTGTCCCCTGTCACCCTTATTATTCATGATGTACCTACAAGGATTAGAGGCCAAATTAGAGGGAAGTGGACTGGGCTTCAACCTCTCTTTAGTCAAACAAGGAAAACTCATTGATCAGGCACTACTAGCATTAATGTACGCAGATGATATTGTGCTAATGGCCAACAACAAGGAAGATTTGCAGAGATTGATGGACATCTGCGGTAATGAGGGAGATAGGTTAGATTTTCGATTCAGTAAAGAAAAATCAGCAGTCATGATTTTCAATGATAACGAAGGTAGTGAGCTTAGAATACAGGAGGTCACGCTAGAGATAGCAGATAAATACAAATATCTGGGCGTATGGATAAGCAATGGGACGGAGTACCTGAGGGAACACGAAATATACGTGACGACTAAAGGTAACAGGAATGCAGCAGTGATAAAAAATAGGGCACTGAGGAAATACAATAGGTATGATGTTGTGAGAGAAATATGGAAAGGGGTCATGGTTCCTGGGCTGACGTTCGGCAATGCGGTCTTGTGCTTGAGATCAGACGTTCAAGCAAGATTAGAAATTAAGCAACGTGGAATAGGTAGGCTTGCTTCAGGAGCTCACGGGAATACACCAAATCAGGGAGTACAAGGTGATATGGGATGGACATCATTTGAGGGCAGGGAAGCTAGCAGCAAGATAAAATTTGAGAAGAGATTGAGAGAAATAAGGGAGGAGCGTTGGGCTAGGGTGTATTCAGCTACTTGTACATGAAGAATGTCGATACAAAATGAAGGAAGCGAACCAGGAAATTGACTGGTAAATACTTGGAAAACAGCAGGTGGCCAAACCAAAAAGAACTATCGGTTAAGAAGAAAGTGAAGGAAATGGAGACTAACATGTGGAGAATGGGCATGATTAAGAAGTCCGCACAAGAGATGTATCGTACTTTTAAGCAGGAAATTGCCAAGGAAAGGATCTATGATAATACTCGGGGTAGTTCTCTACTGTTTGAAGCCAGGACGGGAGTATTGCGAACGAAGACATATCGGGCCAAATACGAAGGGGTAGACACAGTATGCAGTGCGTGTGGAGAGGAAGAAGAAACTGCCGAACACTTGATAATGTTCTGTAAAGGGCTTCACCCTATAGTTCAGGATGATGGCGCAGAGTTTTTCAAAGCACTGGGGTTTAGGGACCGGGAGGGCAAAATAGACTTTAAGCGGGTAGACTTAACTAGAAGGAGGTTATCTGATTGGTGGCTAAAGTCAAGGCACGAGTGAAAATTAAACCCTTCACTGCAAAGTACAAATCCTCAATCTCACTTTTTAAAGAAAAAAAAATAAATCTAGCTTTTGGTTCATTAAGCATTATGCCTTGGTGGCGCTAGCCACCGCCCGATCTAAAGGGTATACAGCCATATCCATCCACCCATCCATCCATCTGCTATGGGTCGCCATCATGAACCTGTACGTGTGCGCTTCATCCTCTATGATAGAAGACGAGTGGACGACTGCAGAGAGAAGAAGACAGAAAGGCACTAATCGAAAGGAAAAAGAACAAGCGAAGAAAGAAAAGAAAGATAGGGAGAGACAGACACTAAAAAGATGGAAAAAATAGATCATGCGTAGCCACGTATAACATACTAAAGCAAAGGGTGGGAGAGAGAGAGATGGTGGATGTCTAGCCAAGGCAGGACCAGCTAGGCGCTCACCTATAACCTTGCGTGACCAATGCGAGGATGTCTTTTTTTACGGCACACTTTCAAAGTGTGGAAGCCATGTATTCAACGCGAGGTCGTTGCTCTTTGAACCATGACGTCGAACAATGTAAAAATAACACACAGTCAACAATAAGGATCACGACGAGCAAGTGGCACTACATACAGTGATCAGGAATCGAGAAGCTTTTTTTTTCACCCTCTATACCTTTCGGGTACTGCTAAACTCCTATATCTCTCTCTCCATGTTTGTTTGCATCGCCATCTCTCTCTCACACACAGACACACGCACACATGCCGTGGAGGGCTCCGAAAATTTCGTTCACCTAAGCACATGAACATTTTCACCTCCATCGAAAATGCGGCGCCTACCCGGGGCCCGTCATATCATCTGAACAAATCACATTTGCATTTAATTGAGAAAGTCGTAAGCACCGTTCCTTGACGGGGGGCCGTTTCAGCTGAAAAAAAAAAGATAGGAAAGAAGTTCTTGCAGAACTAAATACAGCTCGCTTTCATGCGAACAATTTTACTCGGTGATCACATTCGTTTGCGCTAGCCTTCGTTGATGTCTCTACGTATCGGTGTGCACGTGTCTCCGGAAGAAACGCGTACGCATCGGTGACATAGTCAAGCCACTTTGTATTGACCTGCAGATGGCGGGATGTTAGGCAGTCGAGATGACAATAGGCTTGCATCGCGCTCACAGATACGAGTTGCGGCGTGACTGCGCACAAATGGAGGAAGATAGAACAAAGGTTCGAAAGTTTTAAGCATCGTTATTAATACTCAGTAATTTATGTTAAGTGCATATCACGTGCAAGTCTTTGCAGTACACGTTCCTTTCCTCGCGAATGAACGAAGTAGACAGAGTGTCATCGCTCTTTATTGTTCACGCGTGGTTCGCAGGCGTCCTGCTCGTCACGGCTCCTTCAACCATTTTGCGCTGCCGCGCCCTTTCCGTCCCGCGGTGACTCGTCAAATTTGCCGGCCGGGCCGCCGGCTTGTGGCAGCGGTGTGTACGTGTGGACGAACTCCCTGTCGACGGAGCGCAGCAGTCGAAGCGTTGCCACACACAGCGCGGCCACGAGCAGCGCAAGCACGGCGATGGTCAGGCACGCCTGGCAAGTGCTCAGCTCGCTGGGCGGCAAGGTCCCTGGTCCGCTCCGCGATGACTCCGCCGGAGAAGGTGTCATGGTGCCTGCGGCGCATGAAAGTATGTGGCGCAAGTCTTAAGTATTAGGAGTACCACGATGGGACCAAGGAGGATTAAAGAAAAAATTGCTGGAGTGGAAGCTCCCGCAATGCCTTGCCAGCCGAAGTGAAGCCACCTTTTGCCACTGCCAAGATGGCGGAAACATGCTCTTTTCCGATAGTGGCCACTTACAGACTAAGTGGCTTTGATATTTTATGTAAAGGCTACGTTAGTTCTATATTAAAGTATAGTTGTTCCCGACGAAACAACACACAGAAACGAGTATGGATGACTGAATCTTCAAAGAACTTTGCCTCCAATCATAGGCTCACTAAGATGGCCACCAAAGTCGCCATCTTGCCAGAGGAACGGCTTCACTTCTGCGCAATCATTTCCACTCCAGCAATTTCTTTAATCCTCCTTGGATGGGACTACCGCATGGAGTGTTGCGGCGCGTGTCTCGCACTTGACTGATTCGATTTGGAACGGCCAGGAATGGACGCGCTGTAAGTGTGCTCCGGCCAATAAAAGTCGCCCCGATTCCATCGAGTAGGCTTACTTTCTTCTACAAACAAGTTCGCCGTTGCTTTACCGAAGCTCCGGTTTTCAGGCTACAGTGAGGCCATAACGCTACAAGACAGTGCCGTGTGTCGTCGTCCCTGTAAAGTGTTTATGATGTTTGTCCTCTTTGCGCTATGAAAGTATACGCATTACTAGTTGCCACAGCTTTGCCGAGCATTCGTCGTAAAGCATAACAGTGAGGTATTGTTTTGGTTAGCGTGAACCGAGAGTGCACGCGGCAGAGGTGCAACTGATAATTGCCCGCGCGGGCACTGATCTAGAAGGAAAAAC